GTTTTTTTTTTTTTTTTTTTTTTTTTTTTTTTTTTTTTTTTCCGTCGCCGTATTGTTGGTTTATCAGGGTGAGTGGAAGTGTCGGTGTCGGTTTCGGTGGGAGTATCCATGGCTGTGGGAGTGTCAGTCTCCATCCGTCCGATGGGATCCAACTTCGAATTAGAGAGTAGAAGTACCCAGAATCTGTAACAATAGAAAGGGGAAACCACGTCTCAGTACTAATGATTATGACTTCCTGTCTACTTCTGTCGCTTATTCTTCTTCTTCTTCATGTCCATGTGCACCTTCCCCTGGCATTTGGTCTTGCCCGGGTACCCTTTGTGTTGTTTTTACCACGGGATGGACAGGGAGGTAGATATAGGTTGCGAAAGATGGAAGGCTGCTTCTTTGTGTTGAAACAAGTTTCACGCCACCATGAGGCCGCAGGTCAACCACCCTTTGAATGAGAACCAGAAACACGAGGATACCCTGAACATGGCCTGTTCCGCAAAGCCTTTCTGTTCAAGTCAGGCAAGCACTTGACGGCTTCGATGGCGAGTGATGACAGAGAGAACCCTCGGTGTGCCCGTTTGCGTGCGTATATAATTGAGATTGAAGGGGTTCGAACCATAAGAAGAACAATGTCCCAGGAAAATGACACAGAGAGGCAGGCGTCAACATATCGATAGGGCCTCTATTAAAGCCAGAAGAAATTTTGGCGTCAGGACGACGACAACGACACTGCAGTCAGTTCAAGGTATCAGACGACAACAGGTAGATCCTTCTTTTTAAAAAGGCTTCACAACTTTGTTGTGCCTGAGGATCACTAATCGAGCTTGTGTCTGGGCAGTCCGTACCGACACACTGCCTGAAAGGAAGGATTCAGTGGGGTTTTCGTGAATATATTGAGGCAAGAGCCGTATCGCGAAAGGCGACATTGGAAAGAATCGGTTCCGCCTCTAGTTTAGGAGTGCCCAATGGAAAACTTTTCCAAGCAACAACCCGACATCCTCCTCTCCCCTTGCCGCATCTCACTTTCCATCGAGCGTTTCATGACTGTGTTCGAGACGGTAGCCAGTCGCGTCGAGCACACTATGCTCATCCCATCGCGATTCAATCTCTATCCATCGCCACATTGATTACGTAGCAGCTAAAGCGAAAGCACTTGCTTACCTGCCTAATAGCCGCCCGTCATGTCGAAACCCTCCCCCCTTTTCAAGACCACCGATGCTCCGGATGATAGGGATGTCAACTTCCCAAAAGCTGCCCGGCTGACTACTATGCCCATACCGCCGCCACTAGACAGCAGTCTCGACCCAAACACTTCTCTTCAAATTGCCCACAGCTGCCCATTTCGCCGATTGATTTTAATTATCCCGCGGCAAGTCGTCCATAATCAACCAGCCGACGAGAACGACCCATAACAGTCAACCTCATCAAGTAAACTTGCCGAGTGAACGTACAGCCGCACTCCTCATCTCCATCCATTTCAAGCCCTCATTGAGGCATCTTGGTAGACGGGCTCTCATCGAGAAAAACAATCAGCCCAAATCTTGAGAACCTTCCTCCTCAACTCACTACCAGGCTCCTCATCTTCACCAACCATGCTCCATCACTTTTCGCAACGTGGAGCCCCAAGCTCTAAGGTTAAGGTCCTCCGAACTCTCGGCTCTTGGGCCCCCTCGAGTCGCTGGTGTCAATACCTTAATCTGAACCCGTCATGGAGTCGAGTCTGCCTTGTTTACCCCGTCTGCATCGGCGTTGCTTGACTCCAGTCTGTTTGACTCCAGCCTGCCTGCCTGCCTGTCTGTCTGCCTAGAGGTACCTGCCTGTCTGAACTTGACAGTAGACCTGACCTTGAGAGTGGACCTGACCTTGACAGTAGACCCGACAGTACCCAGACCCGACAGTTAGTAGACCCGATCGTAGTCCTGATCGTAGACCCGACAGTAGACCTGATCGTAGTCCTGATCGTAAACCAGCTGACCGTGTCCCGACCGTAGTCCTCATATAGCCGCGGCCGGCCTCTGACTGGTCCTTTGGCTTGGTTCGTTGAACCTTGACCTGACCTTGACCCGACCTTGACCTGACTTTGTCCGTGACTTAAGTTCGTTGGCCTGCTCAAGCTGAAGTCAACAACGTCGGCAGGCATCTTTTCCCATCTCTTCCCTCGGCTTGGCACTTGGCGCTTGGCAGCTTGGCGCTGACAAATATGATTTTACACTACGGCGTACAGCTGTGCCAATAACTACTTACCATTCCAATACTGCGTACGATGCCTGATCATGGCGACGTGTGTTACCCAAGCGCTAATTACACTGTGCCTCGTAGCAAGTGGAAGCAAGGGATCGCGGCAGTGGCAGGCAAAAACGCCTTGAGGGTAGGTAACACGACAAAAGAAACGAAAAGCTGTGGTTTGATGTCATTGCCAGGATGCCAGGGAGCCCGCGCCCAACGCCCGCCCCCACGCAGCACTTTGGCGTTGGAACGCGCCGGCCGGCGGGGTGGTACACTACATACGTATGTACGGATGGGCCTCACCGCCTAACCTTATCGCTTCGTCGGTTCCTCATTGTTGCCGTTTGATATCAACGTTCAACCAACTTCATTGACGACCTATGAGCACCATAAAGTGGTGGCTAAAAACCTATGTCTACCAAAAGGGTATTTTGTGGTGCGTTGTGTGTACCTATCTAGATAATCTACCTACTAAGTAAAGCGGGAGTCGTTCATGCTGAAAAGCGAAGAAAAACATGCAGGTCTACCTCCCTAGTTGCTTTGGCTAAGTTCGCGCTCTCCCATTCAGATCGAGTGTCATGTCCACATGCTGTGTGATAACGGGGGTATGATCTTGACGTCGTGTAAGCTAAGTCGGCAAAGTCCAACAACAACCGCATTAGCAGCTCACCCTTCTTCAACTTCCCATTGCAAAAAGAAAACATAAAAAGGCCTGTAAAATCGACGACCTCTCTCTCTTTTGCTGTCTCGTCTTTCTCCCTTTTGGACAGACTTCGACCGCTTTCTCTCATCCTCCAAGACGACGTGGTGACAAAAGGCTAGTTTCTCTCCAACCTGGTTCCGGACCGGCGACTGCCCCGAATGCGAAGTAATTTTTTTTTTGTCATTTGCGTCTGGAAGACCCGCTCATCCTTTCATAACGGACATTACCAATCTTTCATTTTCCCACAACTCCATGACTCCTGACCAGGGGTGTTCCGCCTGAGCCGGGCCCTGAAGCCGACCCTATCCATCCGCTTAGAGATCATCATCGTCCTCCTCGTTGGGAAGAGGCATCTGGGCAGCCTCGTCCATCTCGGCGCGGTACTTCTCCATAAGCTCCTGGTCGACAACGGCGGTAGGAGGAGCAAGGGCGGGGGCAGCGACGAACTCCTAGAGACACAGTTAGACATCAGACCTCTCATTAGGCTGGGGGTGAGATAACATACGAGAGCGTTGTTGCCGACGAGCTTGCGAGCGAGCCAGAGGAAGGGCTTCTCGAAGTTGTAGTTGGACTTGGCGGAGATATCGTAGTACTGGAGGTTCTTCTTGCGGTGGAAGGTGATGGTCTTGGCCTTGACCTTGCGCTCCTTCACGTCGACCTTGTTACCGCAGAGGACGATAGGGATGTTCTCGCAGACACGGGTGAGATCACCTAGATGTGTTGTCAGAGAGGGCTGTCATACGTCACGACGGGTCCTGGATGATGAGGGGTGCTTACGGTGCCAGTTGGGAACGTTCTTGTAGGTAATGCGGGAGGTGACATCGAACATGATGATACCGCACTGGCCGTTGATGTAGTAACCGTCACGGAGACCACCGAACTTCTCCTGACCGGCGGTATCCCAGACGTCGAACTGGATCTGGCCGAAGTTCTGCGCGGGGGGGTGGTTGGGTCAGCATCGGGTTCGTCGAGCGAGCGCGCGTGCAAGCACACGTTTGTTGTAATCGAGGGCCATCAAGACTTACGGTGCTGAAGCCGAGAGGGTGGACCTCGACACCGAGGGTGGCCATGTACTTCTTCTCGAACTCACCAGTCAAGTGGCGCTTGACGAAGGTGGTCTGGCGATGGCATCATAATGTTAGCGCAACAAGTCCCAGCAAGCAGACGGGTACCCACCAACACCACCCCGCAGCACAGCGATGTATACTGGAGCGCCGATGGTGTTTGATGATGATGCCGTCCACGTTCGCGGAAGATGGGATGTGGACTGACCTTGCCGGTACCACCGTCACCGACGAGGACGAGCTTGAAAGTAGGGGTCGCGGCAGCCATTGTGTATGATGCTTAATATCGCAGGCGAAAAGAAGCAGGTAAACAAGTCCTTTTGGGAAAGTCAGCTATCGACCGGTCGGAGCGACACAGATGGGCGGGGTATCGAATGGTTAAATAAGTGCGAGGGAGGGAGGGATCCAAATCGAACTAGAGACGCACCTTTGCGATTTTGCAGAGGGTGGGAAAATGGGTGTGGTCAAAAAGAGAGGAAGCAGTGGACCTCAGACAGCCTGGTGGATGATGTTGTGTTTTCAAGGCACCGCCGCTCAAGGGAATGGGCCACCAGCCTTGACGAAAAACTCGTTGGGCGGCGGGGTGCTTGTTAGGTGACGGGCACGTGACCCGCCTGGTCAGTGCGGTACCCTCAACCAACTGAAGGCAACGAACCTGACCTGATGGGCGCAAAGTCAAACCGATCGATGAGGATGCCATTCACTCCGTCTTGCCGCAATGCCGCCCGTTCGTGTCTTCTATTTTCTGCTCCTGACGTGCTGACGTGCAGACTGTCGCGTGTCGGGAACAAAGAAATGAACCTACCAAGGGTTTCAAGCGTTGGGCTACAGTGAATGCGCACTCTCATGGCATCAACCTTATCCATTTATCTCTTTTCCACTTTGACATCAGGTTTGCTCGTTTAAGTTCGTTTGTTTTTGTTTTGGTTCTGGCCTCGTTACTACGGTGAGGGAGAACCCCTGGCGTCTTGGCCTTTTGGTTCATCTTTCGAATGCCAGTCAGTCTCACATCCGTTGTTTCCTTCATTACAAAGCAAATTCCCAAAGAGGCCTCATTCTCAGGCGGCAATGGCGCATCCTGATTCTTCCCTAACACATCTGAGCGGATTTGGTGCCCAATGACGCTACTCTTGTATCACAATCTTCTTCTGCCTAGCTCCAGGCCATCATCTCGCCCCCGTTGCCTTTTCATAGTGGCAAGATATGGCATCCAAGCATACCTCTACCGCCCCAGTCGCGGCGAGGAGTCAACGTTAGCCGAAGCTCTTGGGTTCGTGTCCCTGCCGTGCTCCGAGAGACCTTGACGAGAATATTTTGCTAGTGTCCGGTTAGCTCAGCTTTCTCCAGGCTGACAACTACTAAGGGCAGACAGAGCCTGGCACGACTTACCCCTTCATTACCCTGAACACACTCTGCCACCTTCCTTAGGCTGTCATGGTTGGACTGGTTGACATAACCAAAGCTGCGGATCAGATCACCGGCCTTGAGACCTGCTGTGGCCGCCGGACTGTTATCAACGACACTGTTGACTTTGGCGAATGGCTGCTCCAGAACTTCGGGTACCGAATCTGGCAGCGGTGCGGCTTGATCAATGGGAACAGGTGTTGACTCTTGGTCGTCGTCCTGGATGCTGGCGAAATGCTCATGCAGACGCTTCTCGATCAAGGCCATCAACTCCTTGCAGTCGTTGCGAAGATGGATGATGCGCGACCTTGTTGTTCGGATTTGCGCGACATCAATATCGGATCTGGGAAAGCCATCGGGAGTAAGAAGGTTTGTGTTCATGTCAACGCCGTGCTAGATCACATTGTATCAGTTAAATGGCTTGATGAAGGCTCGATGAATATAAACTGGACCAACCGAATCAAGCACTCCGCTGAGCGCCTTGAGCTCCCCCTCGATAGCATCCTTCTTGCGCTGCAGCTCAGCAAAGGATAAATGGGCAGCACTGCCGTTAGTGACAGGGGCAGATGTCGGTCCCGAGGGGACAGTAGGCGCATGAAGGTTGCTCATGGTGAAGAGTTGTAATTAACGTATAATCTTATTAATGGGTAAGCCTCAGTTGTGAAATCACCAAGCATGATGAGATCTCGATCTCAGATTGGAGTATGTATGTAGAGGTACCTAGCTGGCTCGTGAATTACCTAGGTACTTTGTACGGGCAGTCTCCAGCGAATGACGCGATGCGGTGGCCTGGCCGGATGGATGCCTCTCTCTGCCGCTGCGGGAGCTTGAGCTTCAGTGAGCTTCCCTACCTCTAGGTAGCTTTGCTGCCCCGGTCTTTGGTTGCCGTGTCCCACTCTTCGCCGGCCGCCTGTGATGGTCGGATGGGCCGAGAATGAGGTGAGCGGCGGTGCGGGGTAGCATTTCCTCGTTCTCTAGCCCCTCCATTATGGGTCATCTGACCAATGGGGTGGCAGCTTTCACCTGGCCGACCCGTTCGGACGATGTTGACCGGGGCTCCCATCCCTTGAATGGCGCCTGCCCACCTGTCGCAGGGATAGCCTGCGCTACATAAAGAACCACAAGGGCCGCAGGGCTTAGGCGCAGAAGTGGACGGAACTGAAGACGAGAAATGGAGTGGTTGCCCGTGCTGTCTCTCATCGTCAAGCACTGCAGTTCCCGTCGGCACTCAAGCAGACCTTCCCTTTGAGAGTGAGCAACAAGCAAGGGTGCAAGGGCAACAAGCTCCGAGGAATGGGACACGGCATGAAGCGAACTTTACGACTTTTTGTTTTTTGCGCAACTGCATCTCAAACAACGTCCTTCCTTCCCGTCCATGATCGACGTCCCACTGCTCCTGCTGCAGTGCTGCAACTCGAGCTCGAGATGTGCCTCACCTCACCGTCCCTGGTCCCGGTCGAGGTTCATTTGAAATTATTACCTGACCCACAAAGACGGGCATCAATTTCAGCCATCATTGTTTACATCCCATAGTACCTATGTAGGATGCGAAAACTCTAATGGTCAAGTCACGATAGGCAGTGATTGGTTGTCGCTGATCTTCCACTTACCTCCCGTCTCTGTCCTCTCTCTCTCTCTCTCTGCACACTACCATAACCCATACATCTCTCGGCTGTGTCTGGATTTCTTAGCACTTCAGCGACCAGAGGGCACAGTACACTAGGGGCACGAGTACCCAGTGGTCCAAGCCCAAGAGACGAACAAATCCATAGGCTGACTTGAGCCACGTGTCGACCGTGTTGCGGTTTCACGTCCGATTCTCGCAGCCAGCCTTCCGCTTTGATGGCGGCGGACCCATCTGGCCGAGTCCGCCTGAGTCCTCCCTTCCACTACATTGCCTTTTCAGCTGGAGACCAAGACGTCCAAGAGAACATGGCTGACTTTTTCGGGCGGGCTCGAATGCCCAATGGACACCAATGAGTTCGAACGGGCATGAAATATCATCAATGACGTGCCTTGCGCTAGATATCCAAGAGCGGCTTTCCGGCATCCCCGGCCGCTTTAGTTGCCGACCCTCGCTCCTTAGTACAATCAATGGCTACTTATCTATCTAGCCTTAGCTTCCTGCCTTGCTGCCTTTGAGACAGACTTTTCCAGGCCGGGTTTGAGTTGAACCCGGCCGGCCTCTTCTTCCCGTCCTGTGCTGCAGTTACTCTTATCGACGGGTGCAGGTCGGAGTGTTGTTCCTCGTGGTACTACCTACCTACCTTACCTCTATCTACTTCTACTCTGTCCCTTGGAGGCGGGCAGGCAGGTCTCGGTCATCAACAGCAAAACGACTGGAGCAACAACAGCAAGCCGGCCAGGAAGGAACTGAAGCGACAAGGACTCACTCCTGCCCGGCCTAGAACTACTAGGTGTCCTGGACTGCCGGGGTCTCGGAGTGGACTACAGTAGTAAAGCGAAGAACCTGGGGGAACGCTCCTTCCCAGTCGCCCTCTCGTATCGCCCACGGCATCTGGCGATAACGAACAATCTTGCACCATCCATCTTCAAGCCCATGAAAATTTCTGCCCCGTTCTTTTCGTCTCCGACCCCTCTTCGAAAGAAAGACCTCTTCCCTCGCAATGTTCTGGTTGGTAGTACTTTGTCAGTCGGTCGTGGAAAGGAAAACGGCTCCAACCTTTTTTGGTTTCTTGGTTTCTCGGTCAACTACTCTCTAGCACGCATCGTGCATTATCTTTTCATCGTCACGGGGTCTTACCGCTGCGTTGCTCTTAATTACATACCATGTTTCGATAAGGGCCAGTGCATCATCTGGAACACTCGACTCGGAGAGGATTGGAGCCCACGGATCCGAGATACTATCTGCCGTGCTGCGGTTGCTGCAGGAGCACTTGGACTCGAGTCTCATCACGGTCGGTGCAGGTCATCTGAGCTTCAACCAAAGGGTTTCAAGTTTGGAGTGTTGAGCCTCCTCTGGTCTGGCTCTGGGCTCTCCTTCTACCTGATCCTCTTTTTTTTTTCTTTTTTTCTTTTCTTGGAACCTCCTCTCGACCGCTGGATCCAACCCACAATGGCAGCCCCTGGACCCGATGTCGATACCCATGTCGATCCAGTCACCAAGCCTTTACCGCCATCTCCTTATGCTCTACCGATAAGCGCCATTCATACCCCCTTCGACCCTAATGGGAACCCCCTGCCGTTGCTGTTAACATCAGACGAGACACAACCACTCGACCATGTACGGGAAGATCTTACAGTTACGGAAGAAAAAGACGTCAGCTCCAGCCCTACTGTGGCCGTGGTGGATGTGAGCGAGCCCAATGAGTGGGATACTTTGGATACGATACACGACTTTCAAGATGCCGTTGCACGTCATCAGGCCCTGGAAAGTAGCAACCATGTCTACCGGCAACCAACAGCAACACCATGCGAGCCCCCAGCCAGTAAGCCCTCGAAACCGAACAGGCCGTTTCAAAAGTGGATCAAGACTCTGCACAAACGAGCAGTTCGCCGTCAGGAAGCCATGGGTAACGAGCATGCTTCCACGTCTTACTACTTCAACCTTGATGGGGCGGGCTCGACAGCCTGGGGACCCGGCCACTACCGACCGTCATCTTCAACATCCTCTTTTGGTTTCGTGACGGCCGTCAAAAGCGCCAGTATATCTCTGACTAGTGCCAGCACTATTCTGACGCGCTCCCGGAGAAACACCGTTCGATCATCCCGTGGCCAGTCGAGGACAGAACGCAGCAGCAGAGCTTCTCTCTCCGGTGCGCGGCTTTCCGAGGATAGTTATTGTCCGGAGCGACAGCTGATGGTGGATCCTGCGGCTATAGGGAGGTCGTTGCAGCGACGCCGGGTTCTGGAGGAGCTCATCAACACGGAAGAGAGTTATATTGGAGATGTGCGCTTCCTGATGAATGTATGTCGCAGCTTCATCCCGTCCTGTTTCACTGTCTCTGACTAGTTTACCCCTAACCTAGGTTTATGTTACCATTCTTGCTTCGCTTCCTACTTTGCCAGCCAGCCTTCGCTCTTCTATCAATCAAAATCTCAATGACATTGTTGAGCTGCATGAGGAGATGTTAGGCGACCTCCATAGAGCTATTCCTCACTCTGAGTATACACAGCTCAAATTCCCTCTGCAAGTTCCTTCGGCCGGCTCGGGGTTTCGTGGTCATCAGCGATGGAGAAGTCTGGATGCAGTACCAGAAGACAAGGACGGCATCTCATGGCTTCGTGAAGTTCCCGGCATGCTTGCCGACCCCCAGGTTGCTGCTGAAGTTGCCAAGATATTCAGCAAGAAGATGAACCGATTTTTCATCTATGAGGAGTATGGTGCCAAGTACGAGCTGATGATCAAAGATGTTGCTTCTGCTCACAGGACAATGCCTGCATGGCAATCATATCAAAAGGGCATTGAGATTCTGGCTTCCTCTCTTAGCTCGGCTAACAGTCAGGACGACAAACAGAGGAAAAGTCTCACAATTGGGGATCTGCTTATGAAGGTAGGCGATATATCGCAAAATAACACGCGGATGTATGCTAACAAAGACCAGCCAATCCAGCGTGTGTGCAAATACCCATTGCTCTTCGCCGAGTTGCTAAAACACACCCCTGAGGCAGACTGCCCCTATTCTCATATGGAAATCGAAAACACGCTTATCCGATTGCGTGAGGCTACTGCCGAAATCAACAAAGCTACGGATGATTCCAAAATCAAGTCCACTCTGGAGAAAACATGGATCCTCCAAGACCGTCTGGTGTTTCCTAATCAGCAACTGGATGCAGCTTCAAAGAATCGCATTCGATCATTCGGCCATATCCAATTGTGCGGAGCTCTGCATGCCTGTTGGCAGACAAAAGAAGGCGTCAACGGGAAGTACATGGTTGCTCTACTGTACAAGGAATGGTTCTGTCTAGCTACAGCTAGTAGGACTGACCAGATATACACGATCCAAGCTTGCATTGCTTTGAGCAACGTCAAGTTGGAAGAAGTGGACAACGGTCGAGGTATGACATTGGCTCTGTCAGATGTCTTCATCCGTGTGAACCTCGTGCTGACGTATCTATAGGCCTTCAATGTCACACCGCGCCACATTCCTGGAAACTCGTGTTTCTCTGCGACCACCAGTTGTACGAGATCATCTTGACAGCATGCACGCCGAAGGAGGAGATGGAATGGCGTACACGCCTCGGAAACCAACAGACCACCGAGGGCCAAGACCAGATGCAACCGGCAACTTTTAGCTCGCTTTCTCTGAATATCAAGACTCTGGGAGCTGTTTTTAGAAAGCCAGGTATGTGTTCACTCTCCAATTGGTAAATGGACAGAAATAGCTGATAACTACCGATCATAATTAGGAACCATTGCCAGGAAGATATCTATCCATCGAGCGACCACCGTCGGGCCCAAGTCACCGTTATGCCAAGTGATACTTAAGAATACAAGTGTCATCAAGGATGCACCCGCTTCGGGAACAAACTCCTCAATCAGTCGATCTCAGTCCCTTCTGACCACCAATACCCGACTGCCAGTCCTTGCGCCATCTCGTGAAGAACGGGCTCGACTCGAGACTCTGCTGTCAGATGTCTGGACCCGGGATATCCTCCCCTTCCCCGGAATAACGGCCCGATCCCGAAGCGAGCAGCTAGTCCGAGCATCGGCTTCATCCATGATACGAAAGCTTAGTGTGGTGAGCATTACGAGCAGCTTTACCAAACGCTCGGCCAGTTTGACCAGTCTCCCACGCAAAGGAGGGAGTGGCAGTAACTGCACAGAAGAGGAAACTTGTGTCGGCTCCACTGCCACCAAGGGCACAACAAGCCCCAAAGTCCTGAGCAGAGTCTGCCACAAGGCGGAGGAAACCAGCCGTTCTCTGCTTTCCGTGATTCCCGATAAGATCGAGAGACGTAGTCCTATGCTTCGCAGCGCGTCTGACTCGGTGGGTAAAGAGATGTTTAGTGTGGTACATCAGCTAGACCGAGGTCGCGTTCGGTCAGAGAGCGAAAGTGAAGGGGCACAGATGGTTCATAATGATTTCTCAGGTATTCTGCAACATTCATCGGGAAATAGCTCGAGGGCGCCGAGCATCCAGCAGTCGAATCTCAGCAAGCAGACGACCAGGGAGATGTCTTTCCGGAGAGGAAAGGAGAATGATGGCTCGGCTGGTGACGCGGCTAGTGTTAGAGGTAGCGGGAATAGTATATTATCCGGTGACTCTGAGTACAAGGGGTCGACGCCGAGGAAACTGAGGAAGAGGTCCAAGACGTCAATATCAACCACGACGGGGAACAAGTGGGCAAAGGTAAACGTGCATAGGGAGGTTATGGTGCAAAGCTTGAGGAATATGTTTCGGTGAACAAAGAAAGAGGTGAAATAATGTTTACTGGGTCAGGCAAAATTTGATGACGGGCGGCAAGGGCAAGACGGTCGGCATTATTGGGTTGGAAAGGTGGCCGGATAAAAGCATCTCTTATAATACCCGCGTGTTTTTTCTTCTCATGTTTATGGCTTCATGGTTTTACGGACTTATAAGGAACGACCAACAGGTGTTGAATACCGTCTCGGCAACGGGGTCATCTGCTCGAGGATGGTATCGAAATGGGTTGCCAAATTGTTATCTCAAAAGTTATCAGATACCCAAATGTTCAAAGTAGTCGTTCGTTTGTGGGAGGTGGTATGGCTGATGGTGATGGTATTCCCAAGGTAGGGAATTCAACGTTGACATGGCGTGATGTTTTCACGATGATTCGGTATGGTTGTTAGCACATGATGGCTTATTGGCTCATGGCGAATGGACTCAAGATGGCTCAAATTGATCCGGAACGGAGCAACTCAATCCGATGACCAAGAACAACAAGAAGGCCAAGAATTTCACCGCCCTCCCGTTCTCATCTGCACTGACAGCAAACATTCATGGCAGTTGTCGTGCAGTTGTCGTGAATGCCAGATGGACGTCGCGACTGACGTGCCGTTGTCCGATTGACAATGACGTAATTGAGGTCACAAAAGCTCGGCTGCAAGGTACCAGCAGCAATCGCACTGAAAAGAGCTCCATCTTGGTGGATCGAAGTCGCTGGAACCTTGAATTATTTATAAAGAATACGCGCAGGACCCTCTTTCATTTCAAGTGTTTCCTGAAGGGTGAGGAAGGGTAAGGGGAAAATGAACACATCTCAAGGGAACTGATGCCATGGTCAACAAGGGAAAGGTTGGAGGTGGCTCGGAAGCAAGGTCTTGGTGACAGCGCTGGAGATCCACAGCGCGGTAGCGCTATTGCACGCTAGCTTTCAGAGCCCGCTGAAAATGGATCTGCGGGATTCGTCCCGCCCCACCATTTCCCTCTTGAGATTTGTGCCTGCCGCAGCAGTGGAGTAAGTGTTCAAGAGACCCACCAATTAACATCCAACTCCCCAGCGTCACCTATGACGTAGTTGTTTCTGTTTGTGCTTTGCTGGCTCGGCCAACCTTCCTTCGTCTGTAATTCTGTCGTCTTTATAATCTGGTAGGTGCGACGTAGAAACGGACAATAACTTCCCCTCTCTTCTCTTCATTATCCGTTACCCCATTTTCAACGACGAACTATCACGAATTTTTAACGACGACGACGACGATTCGATCAAGTTAATCAGGTGAGTTCGGTAGTGATGTCTGCAGCGCTCCAATCCAGATGCTCTCCTTCCTAGGTCCTTCTCATGTGAGGCACGGGTGGGTGGTGAATGAGCTGCGATTGGGAACTTTCATTCACACTCTGGTTGGAGCCGAGGATGGAGTCACGTCTTTGTTCACACACGGCGCCCATTCACTTCCTCTCTGCCTATGCCAACTACAAGAAAGACGAGCATAGAAGAATCACGATTGCATCCATCCCCACGACACTGCGACAAAACAGACAAACTAACCCTCGCCCGCTTTCTCCAGGACTTGACAACCCCCACGAACCCAGGAACAAACACATACCAACCCAACTCCCCACACAAATCCATTCAAAATGCGCGGCGGTGCCCACGAGCTCAAGGTCCACTACAAGGGCAACAACGAAGAGGACTTCCTCGTCTTCGTCGACAGCAAGGACGACTACAACAAGTGGCTCAGCGACAAGTCGACTCCTCTGGCCCAAGTCGTTTCCGTCTTCGAGGTCTTCACCACCCACAAGCAAGGCAGCCAGGGTATCTACTCGGCCGCGTCCCAGGCGATGCTCGAGAACGAGTTTGGCACCAAGAACGCAGAGGATGCCATTAAGCAGGTTTTGGAGAAGGGCAATTTGCAGGAGATGGCGGTACGTTTTTTTTCTTTCCTTTCCCCCCCAAGTTTCGAATAAAGCTTGCTTGCTGCCATAAACACAACAACAACGACACATGCTAATGATAATGCTTTGAATCAATAGTTCCCCGAGCGCCAAGGAAGGAAGAATGACTCCAACAACGACGCGTATATTACTCGCTAAGGAACTCTTACTTGTCGAACGACAACGACATGGCACGACACGACACGACATTCTGGAGCGGAAAGCATTGAACTAAGTGAGCCGGCGTTTTGAGAAACAGACGGGCTGGGCTTGGGCTTGAGCTTTTGTGGGCTTGGGGATTTGGAGTCGAGTGGTGGAGTGACTGGAGTGAATGGAGTGGATGGGAATGAACAATAGCAGCGCTTATGACGATACCATACTTAATGATGACTGCTTGATTCTGAAGACCAAACAAAACATTTAAAATTTCTTTGCGACGTGTGAAGGGTTAATGCATGGTGACTGTGATGAGCTCTGGTGCGCATGAAACTAGATTTGAGGTTTGAAGACAAGTCAGGAAGAAGGAAGTTGGTATCTGTCATCAAACTCCTTGAGGATTGGGTCGTTAGATGTAATGAATGAATTTGCCAATTCAGTTGGTTTCGTGATGTACCCCGTATTTAAGCATGGCTGCGGCACAGCTGACCATGACAAGAGGGACAGTTCCGAAACCTCGACATTCATGCCACAAACCACATAAGTTGACTGACCATTAGGTACGAACACACACTTTTGAAGTCTATATCGACTTTCCTCTTTCAGTCCTTAGCTCCTAGTATATGTACAAGTGCTCACCTTGGCTATAAATAACTCGCTTTAAGTCGGGTTCCCAGATCCCTCATGCGGCCAATTTTCGAGGCCTACTCAGGTAGACCGCGACAAGAAAGAAGCGATTCCATTAAGCGCGGCTACCAGATACTTCTATGCATATATACCCGCGCCAATTGCTCTCCATCTGCGGCCAATTTTCGTGACCTGGCTACGTAGATAGACTGGTTGACTGACTGCAACAGGAAGGCTGGAAGCGATTTCATCAAGCGCCGCTACCTAGATACCTTACTTGTATATGTATCTACGTAGGTATGGAGATATCCGCGCCAGTCGCCAGTCGCCAGTCGCCAGTCGCCAGATACGGTCATCCGGCGCTTATGGGAAAACAAATAAGCAAACATTATTAGATGTAGTAGAGGACGTCGTGAACGAACGGCCCCCAGATGATGACCACACGTGATAAGTTGCCCCTGGTGATATCGTGGATGTCTACCTACCTAAAAATTTTCAATTCGGTCTGTTCAATGTTCTAGTTCTAACAAGTGTCCGAAACCCAATTAATTGTTTTCCCACGAGCTTAGAGGTGAAAGAGGGTATATATATAGAGTTCAATCGCTTGGTCTAATGCCCCCCCAAACAGGCCTCCGAAACCCAAATTGTTTTCCTACGAGCTGATGAGGGTACATGGATAGAGAGAGTGACTGGTTGATGATACGGGTTATTTGATCCTGTCGGGCTGTTGGCGCGTGTCGTGTCGTGTGTGTCGAGTGTGTTTGCGTGTCGGTGTGTCGTGCGAGTCGTGTGTCGTGTGTTGTCTGTGTCGCCTGTTGCAGTAGGTAGGTTGACTAGAAACACACACAAAAACACACAAAGAAAAGGGGGTGGATGAGACGTGGATTGGAAGCGGCTCGCCAAACAGAGCGCACGCAGAATATATGTATCTACCGGGAACAGCGAGGTGACGGATTGCTGAAGGTTTTTGAAAGGATGGGACTGATGCGGCACGAGAGGATTGGTTCGCAGAAAGTTTCGAGCTAGGTAGGTAGCTTGGATTCCAGTCGAATAGGATGAGGATGAGGATGAATGTCTGGCGGAGGTGCGGACGAATTCCTGGCGGTTATTCTACGCTAGCATGTTTGGCGATGATGATGATGATGATGATGATGATGAGGTGCCTGTTTTTGTAAGCTGAAGCTGAGGCTGAAGGGTCTATCGTTGCGGTAGCCGCTGCTTAGATGTACTTCACCTAGCTCTACCATAGGTACTCGGTCACCTAACTGCCAGGCGCCAGCTAAGCCCTGGAGATGACTCCTACTTGGTTGATGATGGTGGTGATGATGATGCCCGTGGTAATGCTGTTTAGGTAGGGTGAACTGGAGGACTCAAGACGATACAGTCCAGACATTGGTGTCTACCTACCTAGGTACGAGAGACAACATCGAGTGACCTGTCAACTCCAGAGCAGCAGGTAGGCGTAGGGCCAGATGCAACGGATTAATCCGGTCAATCGGTCGGTCAGTTGGTCGGTCAATCGGTCAGTGATGAATCATGCCAAGAACATGAAGTGAGTGCTGGGTCAAAAGATCAAAGATGATATCTGATTCTGTACCTCTAGAGGTAGACCCTTGACTCAAGGGATTTCCAATGCGTGCCGAGTCGTTGCATGAGGTGAGGCACTGGACAATAAGTCAATAGCGTGATTTTGTTTCCCCTGTTGGTGGCTTCTGGTCTTGAATCTACAATGCTGGTTGGTTGGATGAAGAAGTTGAGAGAAAAGGACGAATGAGGGAGGAACGAACCCCATCGGTAGCGCTGAGAGGTTCGCTCCTCCTCGCTCCTTCTCGGACTTGACGGGTTTTCTGAATTTGGATCTTAACCTGGACTGGACAAACGAGGTTTCTTCTTATACGCTGATCTGTATAGTACGGGAAAAATTGCCATTGTTTAATCTAGAGCTGAGGACCTCGAAAATGAATGGATGTCGTGAATTGTGCGCTGGGCACTTGAGAGTCTTCGTTACTCGCTTGACCGGACTTGAAGGTGGATGAATGAAAAAAAAAAAAAAAATGAATGAATGGACAGATTAGCCGCTTCATCCTTCAGCTTAAAAGTTGGCTTCCATTTGTCACTGACTAGGTAGTCTAGAATCAACAGTACCTATCAACTGTCAATCGGCGTGAACGTGTTTTCAGCATTTCATTAATACCTTTCGCTCAAGCGAGTGTCCATCACTTCACTTCACTTCACACTTCTTCCGGGTCATGGTATAGTTCATTCTTTTTTCATCATTTATTTCTTGATCAACAACATTCAACACAACACCTCTACGTCCCGACCTAAAGTCATAGTCAAAAAGTAGGTACCTACCGCCACCACTCACGCCATTGGATACCTATGTGGTGGAAGGAGGGCGGCAACACCTGGTATTTTTCTTATTCATCACTGTATGCTAGGTAGGTAGTTTCATAAAAGTAATGTTACCTAGTTCCGCGACTGTCACATTGATTTGATGTCTTGAGGTCGATAGTGGATAGTGGATAGTCGTGCCATCACGGAAGAGCCTCAACCCGATCGATATCCACCTTCCTTCGAGCTGCCCGCTCAGTGTTTCCTCCCTGCCCGCCTTAGGTACTTTGAGTACCTAGGTAGATCTTTACTACCTACCTACTGTCGCTGGACTTCCCAATCCACTCACTATTGACATCATACCATCATATCTACTATTTGATTCCCCCTCTTCAAAACATCCTATCCTTCTGGTAGCTGTCTCTTTCTCTTTCTCCCCATTTTCTTGGGGGGTTTCTGCCCTTTCTGCCCCCTTCAATCAATAGAGTGATAAGTGACCACAATACGTCCATAAATAAAGTGAGGCATTATCACCGCTGTTAAGTCTCGCACCAGACGTACGCACGACGCACAAGCAGGATTGGCGTTGATGATGAAACTGACCGAAAACACCGAAGGAGAGGCCTGAGCGCTAGTGATGATCCCCTTCCCCTGTCATGTCTGTCATCAGGGGCTTGCTTACTCACTCACGATACCAAACACGATGGATGCCAAACACGATGAATGCCAAGGAAGAGCGAGCAGATTCTTGGACTTTGCTTCATAAGTATATATGTATAGAGATGTCCGCGTCTCTTGAGATGGACTGGCTTGACTCTGTCTCCAGGGAAGAGTGGAGAGTGACGAGACAACTCATCGGGAGATACCACGTAGTTTAAGCATCAATGTGGAAATGTGTATGTGTATGTGTGCGTAGACAGATGAATGCATTTGTAATGTGTTTCGTGCCCTTTTTATCATCAAATTATGTACAACTAACCCAGACGTTATTTATGAACACCATTCATTCCCTTTTTATGCCACTTTTGATATGCTCTTGCTCTCCGTCAATCATTGCCTCCATGTTCTCCTTCATTTTCTTTCCTCCTCTCGCGGGTATCATACTGCTTCTTCATCCTTTGTAATCACAAAAACGCCGTGGGTATCCAAATGCCACATGCAAGTCTGACATGCAGAATTGATGCTATATAGTAAACAGGGACAGTAAGAAAGGGAATATGAAAAAGGGGACGCTTTGCTTGCTGTGCATCTGAAGACAAAAAAAATCCAAATGATATATGTTATCAGTTTTGTATGTGCTGGTAGCGGTGTCTGGCTCGTATATGCGGCCTTTCCCCTTCTTTTGTGTTTACATCTCAAGATGGCTGACTGTTAGACAATCCCGCGCTCTCCGGTCCCTTTCTCGGAGGCTGCGTGTGATCTCGTCGTGTTCGCCAAAAGGTGATGATGGGTGTTTGAGTTGGTCCGGTAAGCAGGTTAACAGAGTCGTTTCGTTCGTCACAGGATGCTCGTTGCTGAGATCACTGATATGTAGGATCATGATTATTATACACGTCCAGTCTTGCCACCACGCTGTGGTAATGTCCAAGGCTTTGCGCAAATCATCTGTTCAGTCATGTTAGCAAGATATTCCTCATCAAAATCTTCCAAAATGAGACTAACCTCTCCCTCGCTATATGCCCAAAAGTACACGGCCAGCCCAATCACCTGATAAATAGCGGCGTTGGTCCCTTGGTAGATGAGGGCGGCGGCCAGGGCGGTAAGCGGAAGGACGGCCAGGCGGGCCTCAAGACTGCGGTGAAAGCTGGATCCGGCGATGAAACCAAGCGGCCACTCCCAAGCGATGAGCAGGAGTCCGAAGACGAGGTTGATGATTTGCAGAATCGGTATCGGCTTGACGGCGGCGTCTAGTGTTTTGGTGAGGAAATCCCAAAAGATCTTGGGCCAGAAGAATCCCTCGAGTGCGGCTGCGACTTGGTCTGTGAGATGTGTTAGTTGAGGGGTTCGTGAGACGTATAGATGAGAAATAGGCCACACGTACAAGTTCCAGCGGCCAGGATAATGAGTCTCGCCCAGTGGTTCTTGATGAGTTTTCCCATGTTGACGACTGATTATGAGTCGGGTATCTTGACCAAGACGCAAAACTTGGTTCCCTATCGTTTCCGGATCGGTCTCCCTTTTCTTGGAACTGACTTTGCTTCCACTTTGATCTTGCTCTTCCTTGCTCCTATGACTCGGTTCCTTCGCAGATGGTGATCTCTTTTCACGCAATGATGATTCCGTCCCAGTCCAAATCCTCCCTCGTATTATCCAAGCACTGACGATGAGGCAAATGTCGTAAAAGTCCGATTTTATAGCGATCCAGCGCGTCAAACAACCCAAATTCCAACAGGTACTCTGGTAAGTCCTTTCGAAAGAATGGAAGCAGGTAATCCCGACCTGCGGTTAAAAGAAGCGAAGTAGTTGAAAAAAGGGTTGTCGATGTGAAAGAAGGCTATCGACGTCCAGACGTAGATCAAGGCCGGCAAAGAATGGAATGGAAGAAAAGAGGAAGGGCAACCCAAGGATGAAGCGGCCGGACAGGGCCGAGGCGGTACTAATATTAGGCGGGTTGTCCCTTCTTCTCTGGTGATGATGATGGATGACTGGCACTCGCCCCGCAAGGGCCTTGCACCCGGGGGGTTCGGGAGAGCGTGTGTCAGAATGGACGGGGTGGTGGTGAGGTGGCGCAATTGAAGCTTCACCGATGACGATAGTGCGTATCCAGTATTGCTAGTCGCTGTTGTTGGAGATCCAGGTTCTGACGATTCGGTCTATGGCGACAGCGGGCATCCGGGCGGCATCTGCTGTTTCCAGGGGATCGAAGGCTGGTTCTCACCACCCAAACAACGGGTATTATGGTGAGGGTAGTTGGAGGCACCTGGCCTGGGCGATCTAACGGTGGTGGTGTTGTTTGAAAGGTGAAGTCTTTGGCGATGTCACTCTGGAAGGCCGGGAGCGTCTGAAGTTGGGGGAGAGGAGGCAGTCCTTGCATGAAGCTGTGTTTGAGGCCGACAGACTTTTTTAGGGAAAGGGGGGGATCAAGAGTGTATGATCTACCAAGGTCTGGGACACATGCCGGGTTTACCCACGTCTTGAGGGGAGGAGGATGGATGTCACTGTGTGGGGTGGTGATGGATGGAGCGTGCCGGGCTAGCACCGCACTTGGCGAGGACTGGGCATTGTCTGGGCAAGAGAGGGCGAGGAGAGGCCATCGCTGGGCATTGAGAACTAACAGGCCAGGAACAGGCCGAGACCATGAGACCGCCTTGTGTCTCTGGTGGTTTTTTTTTTGTGAGAGGTGAAGGCCTCAAGCCACTCTGTGAGCTGGGAGGCGGGCACATGGCCTTTCCGGGGACCCCTGGGCGGTTGCGCAGACCTCAGCTACTGTAGTGTACCTAAGTATCTTGGGGTCTTTTTTTTCTGATCCACGATGAGGTAAATGTATAGGTACCGTTCAGTTGGGAGTTGGGAGAAGGAAAATCCGAGATTCCGCTTAATTAATGGTCATGCCCAACCAAGACTGCATTGGGTGGTGGAAAAGGTAAAAAAGGATTTGTCACCAGAAGCAGAAACCAAGAATGACCAAAAATGAAAAAAAAAAAAAAGAGAAAGTCGTCGTCCACACAGAAAGAGCCCCGCGGTTCCTGGCTCAAAAGTCTGGCATCCTTCCTTCCTGGGCCCCGAGGTGCCCCTGCCGTCCGACGTGATTGGTGTTAGCGTGAGCGGTTAGCAGCCCCGGGCCTTATCCAATCACATGCCACCCCGCTCTGCTTTTCCGCTGCCAAGACAGGGGCTTCCCCCATGCAATGTGACCCGCCTATAACGTTCAGCATCAGGGATCTTGTACCTTTGCGATGCCGTCCTGTAACTGGACAGCGCTTCACCAGTGTCGAGTGACAAGCCGGATGCCTCCTTTGCCGTGGCCCGGTACTTGCGGCATCCATGTTGAATATTTGCTCCGGAGTGCACGGTGGACGCATCGTGCTTTCCGATATCACAGTTATTTTTGGTGGGCCAAGATGGCAGCTGTGGTTTTTTTGATTTTTTGGGGGTTTTTCTTTTATTCTGCGAATGCACCCTTTCAATGGCACGTTCGCCTCCAGAAAAGATGTCATTAACGAGCATTTGGAATCAACAATGGCCTTCTAGAAACCCAACTTGGACAATTCAGTAGCTTTGGTTCTATATGTATTCTTTGGTGCACTATACACTACATACTGGTAATGCAACATGGATGTGCTGAGACAGGGCCGTTGGCTGCTGAGGCGCAAGACGTTTGAGATGCTTCCCCGATCTGGAATTCCCACCTGAGCACAGACCCCCCTCGCTTCCTGCCTCTTGGCCCTTTTGAGAAGAAGGGAATTGATCCTTCCCTTTCGTGTATCACCACTGACTGCACAATGCGGCGACAACATCAACAACAACACGATTGTTTGTTTAACCTCGTACAACCACACACCTCACAACGTCTGAGACTCTTTTTTTTCCATGCATTCTTTATGCTGTGACGACTGCAGTGACCCCAACCCAGCGGATTTCTCTTATCGGATCAGATTGCATTCCGTTGTGTTGTGTCTGAGATTCCCACCACCACCGCCCTTTCCAAGTCGATCCGGTTAAATTGTTTCGCAGAGTTTGGTATGCCAATGGAGGAAGCCGTCAACCGACCTGGTCCATGTCCTCTTCAACATTTTCTTCACCATCACATCGGCACTTGGTTCACAATTGAACTCAATGTTGACCAAGAGTCTTGTCATCACCTTCATCACGCTCAATGACTTGAAAATTCAGAGAGATGATCCCTTCACCGCTCGATATACAAGATCCGTTAATCCTGTGGTCAGATGGTGGACCCATCCAGATTCCTGTTCCAGGACCGAGCCTTCGGGAATTTGTCTGTTTTTTTCTTTTCTTTTTTCTTGCTTTATTTCCCCTGTCTTTCTTCGGAATCTGCCCTGCCCGCCCCAGTCTCCTCTTTTTTCAAGTAAACACCCCAGCCACACAGTTCGCCAAAAACATGGCTACGTATGCAGTCATCACGCTCCTCGCGAACTCGCATATGCACATCGTGGGGACTACTCAATGCTGCCTTTGCACGCTTCGCTCTGCACATTGTACCTAAACCCACACAGTAAAGTGCTACGTTAGACCGGGCGGTTGTGCGCTGCTCGTCATTGGCCTCGCATGGGTCAATAGGCGGAGAACCACATGGGGGATCTCACAGTGTCCCCGACCGACAACCAATTAGGGGTCCCACCCTCCCCTCTCCATCACCTCGAGTTCTTCACTCATCTTCTCTCCCAACCGGGACAAAGAGCCTCTTCACATTCAAGTGACATGATCTTCATGCGAGGAGGCCAGGTCCTGTTCGCAGATCACTCACAAAAAGATGGAAAATGTCCGCTTCGCTACACTAGTTAAAATAATCTTATCATCATCATCACCGACACACCCCGAGCTTTCTCCAACCACGAACCTCGCGCACTCCACCAATTCATGCCGCATCATGCGCTACTTACGACTATTTCACCATGGCTCTGATCTTGAGAGATTTCTTGGGTCGTCATGTCGATTCCCGGCGACGTGATTGTTGCGTTGTGATTGTGATGGACCGGATTATGGAGCAAGGCAAGGACGAGGACATGCAAGACATCATGTGGTGATACACTACCTAGTGGGTAGCCGTCGGACGAGCAAGATTTCAACGTTTGTTTGGTTGACAATGAAAGTGGCATCTGAAGACGATGAGGAGGAGATAAGATGCCGAGCACCGATAACTGGTTTCTACAAAATCCGACGAACGGCGTCTAGGTCTCCTCATATGTTGATGGGGTCCGTTATCTCCACAGCTTATCGAATCACCTTCGTCAAGTTATCCTCCAGATGGTCATCACGCCCAGCAGAATGAGCCCTGGGAACACTAATGGAGGCCAGTTTAAAGCCGAAGGCGAGGTTGACATTTTGCCACTATGTACGCCTCAGCCGCATCCAATATCGCCCAACACTTGACCATTTATCATGGCGAATCGTCACAAAAGACCGGACGGTACGGACAAGCAATCCGAACCCCAATCGCGGCATTTTTCTCTTGGTCCGAGCCGTGTCCTCCATCTCCTTAATATTCAGTGGCGAGGAACAATGGCCATTGTTCTGTACATCAGCTTCTTGACTGTCTCTTTTCAGCTATGTATCGCCGGGTAGTGCTGCCAGCCAGATCCCAGGTCCAGTGACCAAAACCCACCAGTCCCAGTGGGATGGCTCGATGGGTAGGAAGCGCCCCGGGGGGGTTCCAACCAACCGAACCCAGTTAGTGTAGGTCCGGTGTGTGGATGTGTGGATATGTGATCCAGCCTGGTCTGTTGGGCTGGCCTCGACCGCCGGCCTGGCACCTTTTATCGCCTCTCTCGTCTCTTTTGGGATTTGGTGTGGCTTCTTTTCCTTTTCCCTGCCTCTTTTGTGTGCTCATTAGGAACCTGGCTCCCCGGATGACAATATCTAGGTATATTACGCAGTTTACGCATGGGGCGCCAAAGATATCTCAGCTCAGCATCAAGTGATGTACACGTGCAGACTTCCTCCCCAGCGTTGTTGATGAGAGAAAACAAAAAGGATATTCTTGGAGGGTGTAGTCCACATTGCAAAACACGGGAGGCGAAATTCGGCGGTAAGCTGTGCCTTCGGACTACATTAGCTCCTTGGTTTCGCGATTCACTCATTTTCACCCTGCCCTTTCTTTCATACTGATGCTGAACGTCCATGGTTCTACACTACCTACACTACCTGCATCAGCTAGGTAGTGTACACTTCCTCGGCGCCTATATCCATTATCATATAGGTCAAGGTCCAGGACCCCTCTCTGCCTCCTCACATTTATAGGGAATAACCTAGAAGCCTTTTTTCTGTCAGATCTTATTTTATAACTTTCGTTTGTTGTCTTGGTCAGCTCACTCCCCGTTGTCGTCGTGGTCAGCAGGAGCAGCATTCGTCACAGTGCGTCAGTCACTATCAATCACCGTGACGAGGCGGATATAAATAGAGAGAGACTATTTACCCTCTACACCACACTACTTACAATAGATTTTCTTGGCTACGGGCTACGGGCTACAGGCTATGTACGCAGTATGGGGAAAGTCCCTGCTTGGGAATCAGGACCGACAACAAAAATAGCGCAATGAAGGATTGGTAGGTAGGGTATCGTGTTGATGCCTTAGGAAGGGAGATCACAAATGGACGGAGGGCATGTCAGAAGTAAGGGATGGGGGGGGAGGGGAGGGAACTGGACGGGGGACTGAAGCAGAAGTGGAAGCAGAAGCAGACGTGGAAGCGGAAGCAAAAATTGAACTTAATGTTGAAGTTGATGCTCTTGATGCACTGAAAGGTACATAGGTACGTAGATATGGTATCTCCTTCGTTCCATCCCGACGCCTACGATAGAGTAGATAGCGGACAAAGGAGATCGTTGGATTGGCTTGGAGTAGATAGATGAATGAATGGATGGATTCAAAGTGGCTGGACTAGGAAGTATCATAATAGATAGATAGATACAAGTGACTGGATATGGGTCGAACGTTGTGTAGAGGTAGGTAGGTAGGTTGGTACTCACGGGATCAGGACAATAGGACAACCAACCTTTGGGCTGAGTAAATGACTGGATTCCTCATCATTTTTTTTTTTTTTCTGTCTCTCGGCGGTCGATTGTGGAATGTATGCTCTACCTTTTTTTTGTTTCCCCCTCTCTATTAGGGGGAGAGGAGGGGAGAATGTAGTTCGATACTATCTATCCGAATACGGTTCATGTTGGATACTTGAAATCCAAGCGCTTTCAGCTCCGTGTGACGAACCGTTACAAGCACAGGAGTATATCGCTGGGATCAGAACAACGGTAAGAGTAGCCGAAAGGTACTAATCGATTGTAGAAGCTATTGCTTGCTGAAGAGCCCAGTATTCAGGAAGCCTGGGGAGGCCTTCCTTTATACTGGTTCTTCAGTATGCGCCGTTGCGCCGTTGAGGCCATTCCCGGCCACCCGGCGCCCGGCGCGGCCCTGATTGGTCTAACTAGCTGCTTACATAAGTGATTCCTTATTGGATCGTAACACTCCCGTCTGGAAAGTAGTATCTTACTAGGCTCGGGTATATTATTATGAGACTAGCGTGATGGTTTACCAAGCCAGGCAGGATTCTGACCTTTCGATTAACGAAAGATGACTTGGACACTCACTCTTGCGTTACTTTTCAGGTTCAAGCCTTGATCGCTACCTAACCATGTATCTCACTTATATCTAGATAATCCTATTCGTGGAGTCCCTGAAGATGGTATGCTTACGATCAACGACGCAGAGGAGTTACCTCGTCTTCTTGCTTTGTCTGGTGCACGCTGAATAGCTCTGGCTTTGGTGATGTGTGTAGCAGATTGTTACTGAAGTCTGAAGCGTGAAGCTTTCAAGAATGAAGAACATGATGGCTGTTGTTAGTACCTCTAGGTTAACATTAAGAACATAAACAAAAGACCTTTGAGGTGAAGTACTGATTAGAGCTTGAGGTGAAATACTGATTCGGATTAAGAAGTTTTGACCAATTTTTCAACAAGAGCTTAAAGTGTGTGAAACTGATCCTGTTACTAACTACCCAGCCAGAACCGCCACTTGGTTTTCTATCTCAGATAACCAACCTCATTCATATACACCACTGCACAAACCTCACTCTACTTCTACTTCCTACTATTATTTGATCTTTCAAATCACTTCAAATCCCTAGTCTATTTGACTTCTCTTTTGATGGACATGCTGCTCTTCCCCTTTTGACTTTGTACCCCTTCCCCCATTACTTTCTAACCCCTTGCATTCGCGTTCCTTACCTCTACCTCTACCTAGGTAGCCAACGGAACAAAAAGTCCAGAGTGAGAGAAATCACCCAGTAACAAAAGTCACGCAACACACACATAAGCCCGTTTTGAAGGGCATAACAGCACATACGACCATAGATGGTAGAAAACTCGGGATCCCGTCCGCTCTCCCATAGATAAGCTACCAATCGGAAGCATGTCTATGGGAGGAGGTTTTTACAGGGGTTTGGATGACTCAGCCAAAAACGCCGCCGCCGTTTCTAGAACCGTTTTCATTGCCTTCGCCGTCGAGTGCACCGTTCCACTTACGCCAAGCCCAGCTGAGTGGGCTAGGCATACACTACACAAGGTGCTTACCCCTGCCATTTATTTACCCCTGACACCTATTCCATATACTTAGTACATCTACCTGGAAGGTATCGTTGGCTTTTGGAAGGTGTGGTTGGCTTTGGTGAATACTTTTCTCCGTACGTATATTGCTTCAGGCGAGTTAGAAGGGCCTCAAGATATAAATTGTGTCTTTACCCTCGGATTCCCGACTGAACCAAACAAGCAAACTTCTGTCCTATTCTAATTGCATTTATTGTATATCCATTCTTCCCCGTTGATTCTACCGTATGAATTACGGCCCTTACATTGCGAGGGTTGCGTTGGTTTTTATATGAAACCCTCCTTCCGAGTTTTCTAATAAATTTCTCCTCCCAAATATACTAAGCTCGTTAGCTATTGCAGCTTGAGAGAGTATTATTTGAGTCTTACGGTGCCGATTATACTCTATCTATATACAATATAGAAGGGATGGAGCTACAAAAACCGCCGATACCGCCGATTGTACCCGACGACGAAGAATGGAAAAGAAGAGTATTTGCCGACGTCGACGAATTTATAGTAACAATACATGAGCGTTCGCTTTGTAAGAAGATTAAAGCCTAGCGAGAACGCGCGTAGTATCTATAAAATAGGTATATACTTTATTATTTTACTATTTTCTTTAATATTATATACTAATACTTTTTAGATTTATTATAAATATATTACAATTAATACCAAAAGAGGCTAGTAAAGTTTAGTTTAATGTATACCGAAATAAGAAAAAGTCTATTACTATCTACAAGAGCTTTCTAGCCGACTATACACGCTATATAATATACAGGCATTTATATATAGACGGTACCGAGGAATAGAAGCAGGTACTAATAGTTCAATTAATAGTAATTATTATTGCTTTATAGAAGTATATAGTAGCTCAAGCTGATGTTGTAGTACTCGCGAAGAGAAGGGATTATAATTCAAATAAAGATTTAGACGAAGGTTCCGAACAATGGACATTGCTTGGCAACTGTCACACGGACATTCGCCCACAGTCCAGGGTCAAGGCTCAACAGAGTCTCAACGCCTGGCATTAGCCTCGAGATGCCCGGTGGCCTCCGGCCGAAACACTCACCTCGGCCGAACCCTCGGCCGGACCCTCGGCCACTAGGCACTGCTTACCCGAACTCCTCTCAATACCATCGGGCTAGCGAGCCAACCATAGAAATTCCGAAGACGCTGATAAAGCACCATAAGACAATCCCCAGTCATCCCAGAAGCAACCACAGCCAACCAAACAAGAAGCAGAGCGCCCAGATAAAGGACAGCGCCAGAAGGAAGATGGAGAATGGATGAAGGTATTCAGAAGATCCACATGTATGCAGACTGTTAGTGTGACAAGGGCAGAGTTCTGGGCTTAGAACAGTAGTTCAATTCAGCCAATAAACTACTTTGGTCTCGAAGGCCTTGTTGATCCTTTCAACCTTCAACCGAAGGTTGGGTTTCAAGGCCTTCTTATGCTAAAGAGGTTTGGTACGTACTGAGGTACGTATCAAGCCTTGTCGCCTGAGGCTTCAAGGCATCTATCTAACTGTCACACGGACATTGCCCACAGTCCAGGGGTTAGGGTCGCAAGGCTCAGCAGAGCCTCAAACGCCTGGCATTAGCCTCGAGATGCCCGGTGGCATCCGGCCGCAACACTCACCTCGGTCGGACCCTCGGTCGGACCCACGGCCGGACCCACGGCCGGACCCTCGGCCGGACCCGCGGCCACTGACAATCCCCAGTCATTTCAGAAGCAGCCACAGCCAACCAAGCAAGAAGCACGGCGCCCGGATAAAGGACAGCGCCAGAAAGAAGATGGAGAATGGATGAAGGCATTCAGAAGATCCACATGTATGAAGACTGCTAGATAGATGCCTTGAGGCCTCAGGCGACAAGGCTTGATACGTACCTCAAGTACGTACCGATTCCCTTTGGTATAAGAAGGCCTTAAAGCCCAGCCTTCCCTTGGAGGTTGAGAGGATCAACAAGGCCTTCGAGACCAAAGTAGTTTATCAGCTGAATTGAACTACTGTTCCAAGCCCTGATCACAGTCCTTGTCACAGTCGGAGTCAAGGTCGAGATCATCCTCCTCCTCCTCGCTGCTCATCCGATCAAGTTCATTTTGCAACAATTCCATGAGCTTCTCCTGAGTGTTCTCGAGGACCTTTGCCACGATCTAGTGATAGTAAGTTTCCAGTTCCTCATCTAACTTTTTGCTACTCGTTTACTTACCTTATCTCTGAGCAGATTCTTAGCCTTCATATAGTCGCAACAATGCTCGATCGCAGAATCTTCCATCACTTTAGCCATTTGCAGGGAGAGTTCACAACCGGGGTGGGCGGGAATGGGAGGTGGGACGAGGACGGTTCCGTCCGGTCCGGTTATAGTGTGCGTAGATGTGCCCGCGATGCCCGTAACTGTAGCGATGGTGAGGCCTGTAGCTCCCGTGCCCGTGGTCTCTGTGACAATCTGGGATTGCTGGGCTGACGCTTCAGGTGTAACCGTGACAGTGGAAGGGGCAGTTGCGGGAATGGGAGATTTTTTTGTCCGCATCCGTGTCCGCTAAGGAGAGCCTGGCGTAGTATTGAGCCAGAAAGTCCTTTTCGGATTGCGGATGAGACAGGTAAACGGGGTTAGTATGATCCATTGAGGCTGGTGCTGAATTCAGGTCTCTTGGATGTCGTGTATATGGCTTCGTTTCCAAAATGTCAATCTCTCGACTATACGTACGTGATCCGGATTGAGTTCGGGTCCAAAAGTTGCAAGAGGAGAACGAGTGTGCGTGGAGTGGTGTGATGTTCGTTCCTATGAGGGTGTTGAAGAGTTGACAACTGACATGTTATCACGGGCAAGGGGTGGGTGTAGATGTGATTATGCGTAATTGCACGAAGGAGAAAGGGAACAGTCGCAAGGCTGTGCCCAGAGACTGGCCTTATGTAGGCGCCCAGATGTGGAGCGCCGCATAGGCCAGTCAGCTGACAGCTTGCAGCAGTCTCAGAAGCGGCTGCAAGCTGGCACAACGTGCGTGAATGGCATAAGGCCAATCACGTGCGACGAACCATCACAAGGCTAACCCTGTGACACATGTCCAAGTCTGATGATACAAGGATAGGATGTGAATGCGAGAATAAGGCACCCAAAAATCGGGGGATGTCCTGAACTTTTATCTTGAAACACAATCCATGAAGAAACTCTCTTCACCTTTACTCCATGTTGTATGAAGTACGACGTCTTCGACCATGGTGGATTGGCATCTAAAAAGCCCTTTCGGTTATCCATACCGTGCCACTGCTATCATCTGCGGTGGTTGTCATGCAGACGCTCGCAGATATTGGATGGTTGCGCTATCGGGAGACACATGAAGAACAAGTTGCATTGGCGTCGACACAATTTGGAATGTGGATCTGACGACAAGCATCCTGCTGCCTTGTCTAGGTGATCTAGTCTCCTTTCTTTTTCATTCGGAAGATACCTTCTCCGGCGACTTTCACTGCCCTCAGAAAGGCGCAACACATTCTCTTCTCTCTTGTTGGATTGGCGACGTCCTTTACATCAAGCCTGATGTCAGCGTGCCACATCAACGTTTCGTCTTTCAAGGATCAAATGCAGCTTTGATGCTGCAATGGAGGACATGCCAAAAAGGCAACCAGAGGGTTCACTTCGGGTAGTGTTTTATTTGATATCAAGGCTTCCAGCCTCGCTTCAAGCCAAGCCCATACAAGTATCCTATGGAGGCGGGGATGCTGACACGGGCCCCCACCCAGGCTTAAAGCCATCCCACCATACCGTCCGTCTACTCAACCCTCAGCATATGGAGGTAGCGACGGCGAGGTGCTTGGCTTGAAGCCATGCTTGAAGTAGTTGTGATACGCGTGGTGGCCTCTGGGCTTCGCGTGCAATATTAGCGTTCCTTGACATTGCTAGAGTATAACAGACGACAGGCTTGATCTGCCTAGTTCCTCAGGCATGCACTTAAGTCAAGGCAGACAATAGGGAAGAGGTGGGCTAATGCAGGCAGATGAAGAAGGTAGGTTAAGGCAGGTAGATGAAGAAGGCAGGTTAAGGCAGGGATGACAAAGCATCGCTTTATCTGATCCATCGCAATTGGTCCTCGCCATCTACTGCTGAAAGATTGAGCGTGTCTAAGTGTCTGAGAACCGTTCCGAATTGTACTAGCATAAGAAGATTCCAAAGGAGAAAGACACTCAACATCTGCGGTACGACTGACTCGGGGAAGATTGTCATTGACAAAAGATTCTGAAAGGGAAGAGTCAACTTCCGTAATTTCTTCAACTTGATACTTCTTCAAGGCGGGCTCCTCGCACGGCGAGGCCTCCTTTCTTCATTCCTCCAGTCTTGCAAATCCACGATTCCCTGCCGCACGTCAAACCCCGCATCCACGACATAATATCGACCATCTGGGACCCGAAAGATCGACCGAAAGCTTGAGCACAAGGCGAGGCATTGTTGCTAGAGCCCTCTGCGCCTGCCAGAACATACGAGAAAGTTCTATCACCTTTAACTATTACGAATACATTCTGCGTAATATTGGCACTGCGGTCCCTCTAGTGTTGCTATTGAGATGTGCGACGACCAAGGGGACTTCTAATACGATAGGAAGCAATAGGGAGTAAACAATAAAGATTGGGGAGTAAACCAAGATTAATTCTTGCAGGAGGAAAGATTGTCAAAGGCTGACTCAAGGTGGAGTTGTCCTCCAAGCCTGCCTCTTAGGATGCGAGCCTGAGTAGCTTAATAACCGCCTCATGCCCATTCCCTGCTGCCCAATGTAGCGCTGTCCATCCATTCTCATTCTTAGACCATGGCGTCCAACTCTCGTTGGGCCTTCCCTGCAACTTCCTCGTTCGAAGAGCCAGTGATAAGGACTGCACAGTCGTCTGCATATCCAAAATGCTGCGCTTCGCTCTCCCCGAGGCGGTGTACTAGCTCTATATAGAGCAGGTAGATAATTGGCGAAGCTGGTGAGCCCTAGGGGAGCCCGCATCTAAAGCGACGCATAGGAGTAGTCACCCCCGGGTATCGAACGCAGGCCATACGGTCCGTCATAAAAGACTCAACCCAGCGGACCACGCAGTCTGGCCACCCTTGCTCCCGCAAACGTAAAACTAGCCTATTCACTAGGACGGCATCAAAGGCACCTTTGACATCCGCAGTTACTAGTACAGCAACGAGTCCCTTATCGAATGCAGCTTCGATATCGTGGACTAGAGCTTCTACAATATCAATAGCCGAACGCCTTAGGAAGGCACCAGCCTGCTGGGGATTTAAAGCCCCGTTAGAAATAGCCGTCCAAACAATCCGCCTACCAATAAGGCGTTCAATGCCTTTCCCGAGGCAAGATAGGAGTGAGATGGGCCGCTATCCCTTAGCCGTCGTTTGATCTTTCTTTCCTAGGTTTTAGTATTATAACCACTTCCGCCTTTCGGAAGACTTGGGGGTAGTAGCCGGTAGCGATACAGCCCTAATAGAGCTATTGGACGGTCTATAATAGATTCCTAGGATGCCTTCAATATACGGACTGTAATGCCGTCGGTACCGGGGGACGTATTGCCAATACCGTACAGGGTTTTATAGACTTTATCCGCGTAGACGACGGACGACTAGGGTAGGCGACGGCGTAGTACCGTAGGTATCCAGCCAGTTTCGAGGTCTTCGTTTTCACTATTCCTTTCTAGCAGGGCCGTGCGGAGGGCCTCTGCCTTAGCCTCTGGCTCAATAACCGTCTGCCTATTGATGACTAGCGTGGGGGCCTCCATTCGGTCGCGGGGCTTGTGCCACGCCACGATCCGATAAATATCCTTATCATCTTGCGCCTTAGTAATAAGGTCGTCGAAAAACAACTGCTTTACTTCTTTGACTACCCTCTTAAACTCCTGCCGAAGCGCTCCTACCCGTTGGGGGATAGGATTCGGGTTGTTGTACCGATAGTTGCGTAATATTCTAGATGCCTGCGCACACGTCTTATTCCACCATTTTACGTTCCTCTCAGGTCTCGAGGGCCTGCAAGATATTTGGAGGGCCTCTGTGAGAACGCTACAGAGGGCCTCAGCGAGCTCGTCAAGCCTCTCCGGGGCTTGTTCAACTGCGGGAAGGAGCGGAACCAAACCATAGCGAAAGGGGCATACAATGCCAATTCGCTAAACCACCAGAAGATGGAAGAATGTTCTATTCGCTAGACAGACCATCTAATGCACGCTTATATAGCACATGTCACAACCTGTGACACCTACCCTATATCACCAGATCATACACACTCCTCCCTCCCTTTCTCTTCACGTACAACTACGCATATCCAATCTACCCCTTACCCTTCGCCTTGCCCCGTGATACCATTCCGACACAGTAGCCAAGGACGACAGCGTGTTAGGATGCTTAGGCCCAAGGACTCGCTGCCGAGCCTCAACACAGTCTTGCATCAACGCTAGGGCATCTTCATGTCGACCTTGACCATTCCACGTGAAAGCCAGGTGGCCCATGCTGGCCAGTGTGTCTGGGTGGTCGGCCCCGAGCTTCGCCTTGATCGTCTCCATTCCCTGCACCTCCAGCTTTTCGGCCTCGTCCCACCGGCCTTGGTTCCTATACGTCGACGCCAGGTTGCCCATGCTGGCCAGTGTGTCTGGGTGGTCGGCCCCGAGCTTCGTCTTGCGAGTCTCCATCACCTGCACAAACAGCTTCTCGGCCTCTTTCCATAGTCCTCTATCTCGAAATACTAATGCAAGAAAGGACGTGCTCGAGAGAGTCGCCATATCGTCCTTTCCCAACCTCCTCTCGCGTACTTTCCTCGCCTTGTCCAGCATCTGCTGCGCATCTTCATATTTCCCTTGCGACCACGCGTACCATCCCCCGTTGTGCAAAAGAATCGCCCATGACTCGACCGTATTCTCGTTAGGTCGATAATCCGAGGCCACTCGGGCGTGCGCAAAGAGGGTCCGACACATGGCCCAGTTCTCGAACTGGCCCGTTGGGAATGAAGCTGCCATCCGCTCGATGTACTGCTGCCTGAACGTCTCCTCTTGCTTAGACGCTTTTAGCCACATCCTCGTCGACAGCTGTACGAGGCCGTGCATCTCGAACGTGTTTCCGCTCTCGCTTACAGTTACGAGACAAAAGTTTGTTAGCATTGCTACATTGTCTTCGAAACCGTTGTCCGTCTCGTCGTTGTCTATCTCATCATCGCTACTGTTGGATCCCAAATCGTGCTGTACGTCGGATCTCCTCTCCTGTATTGCCCCGTCCATATGAGGCGGCCTTAGCAACGACTCCGGAATGCCTTGTCGGTCGAAGAAGCTCATGAATGAGAGCAGATCTGCCGCTGAAGCTCTCTTAGAGCGGATATGTTCGAAGGATATCTGCCAGGTCACAAGGATTGCACTCAAAGCCCCTCCCTCTCGCCGAAACTCGCCCTCGTCATGACTTAGAAGCCAGGCTCTCTTGCTTTCGCCCTTGCGGAACTCGGCCAAATACTTTTCGACCGAGCTCCGTGGCGACCTTCTCTGAATGTAGGCCGCCGCCTGGCTGATAGCTAGTGGAATGTATTCCAGCGTCCGTACAAGCTCCTCTGCTGAATCCTTGTCCGAGAGCAAGCTCAATTTCCTCTCCAGGAGCAACAGAGCATCACTCTGCGCCATTGGCCCGATCTCGATTGTATTCTTGTACCCCCCTACTAGCCTATAAGCTAGATCCTTATCACGTGTTGTGACGAGAAGAGACCCGTTTGGGCTCTGCGGAAGATAGGCAGCTAGCGGACGTCGTTCAGGGTTACTGCCAGCGCCAAAGAACACGTTGACGTCGTCGGCGCTGTCGAGGATTACGATCCATCGGCAGTTTCGCTCGTTCGACAGCCAGCTATACACAAGCTGCGGTACATCGGCCTTCGGCTGCCTCCGGCCTGGTAGCTTCACGGCATCGGCGATCGCCTTCAACCCTTCCTCGACGCGTGCTTGTGTGCCGACATGGACCCAGAACACCCATCTGTCAGGCTCCTCCACCGCTGTTCGGTGCGCGTATTCGATAGCCAGTTGCGACTTGCCCACGCCACCGAGGCCCACTAGGGCCACACGGCCGGCCGGCTCCGAACATCGTTGGTCGATCTGGTCGAGAATGTCTCCACGGTCGACAAAATCAGGGTCGCGGGAGAAAGGAATGGTCGCGAACGGCGGCGGCGGCGTTTCCAGTCGCTCTAAGAACGTCAGCGGGGTCCCTCGGCTCGAGCGGCGCTAACCCTACCCGGCGGTTGATCAGTCCCAGAGCAAGGAGCTATTAGTTGTTAGCACAAGCCCATACCGTCACCACCCGTAATGGAAACCTACGTCCATAGTAGTTGTAGTTGTATTGAGGCCCGGCGGCGTTGTTGTTATACTGAGCCCCCGGGCCGGTATTGGCATTGGAGAAACCCGAACCAGAATTGTAGAAAGACATGTCGCAGGGATTGAACTTCAGGATGTGTATAATGCTTGCTTACAAGGTCAAGCGTGTGGAATTCAAGGAGTTGATCGTCTTCCAATATTCAGGGCAAAAGCGAGGGGTTGACAGAACGGAACGAGTAGATGAATAGTGTCCAACTGGTTTGGCCAGCCAAAATTTCATCAATCTCATAGGCAACATAAAGGGAACAAGGACTCCAGCGTGAGTGGATGCCGTGGCCGAGGCTGATTCACAACTCCATGCTTGAACTCGTGGTCCATAAAGATTGTATCGGGATCAAGAATGGATGGCGTTGGGTTACGTAGAACGGTGATGATGAGGAAGAATTCACGAGTTCAAGAAACGTCGTCGATGGCAAACAGTTGATGGGGAATACAGTTGAGGATAAAAACGATGGGGGACTGACTCTCCCGTCTCCACAGCGGCCAGACCCCATTCGTCTGATGTGTTTTCCATGTGCATTAGCGTGCCTGGGCGCGCCCTTCCGCTATGGAACAAGGCGGTAACACTAAACCCTAACAGGCAATTTTAGGAGCGCGATGCGTTGGTTTCTGACTCCTCTTTCCCAGGGCTGGACCGGCAGCGCTAACAATTATTTATTCGAGTCGTGACCTGCGCCGAGAAGTTCGACATCACGTAAACTCACTCAGCTGAAGGAAGTCGATGAGCAAACATCTTTCATTTTAACCACCGGCCTGATAACAACTTGCACGCTGTTAATTCACTTTCTCGCCAACCAAACCCACCTCAGTAACTAGACAAGTGAAAACCGCAGCTACGGAAATCACACAGGTACGTCCAGTCCCTCCCTCCCTCCGTCACTCCATGTCACTCATGTTCCCGCGCCTCCCTCCACTCATGTCCATTCCCCTCATGTCTAACCCCCAAAACACCAACACCCCACGCCACCACCGAACTCTCATCACCACTACTGCTAACATCCTCCTCAGCTCTACGTCTACCCCATAAAAGCCCTCCGCCCCATCCCCCTCCAACACGCCCAACTCACCCCCCCAAGGCATCAAATATGGCCGCACCTTCATGCTCTACCACGTCAAGACCAAAGCCAGCGATGATGGGTCCGTCGAGCTAAAGAAGATGCAACTTTCTTCCTACCCGCAATGCGCGCTTTTCGAACAGACCATTCTCTCGCGCGAAGATGCACATGGGTCAAAAGAGGTTCTTGTGAAGTGGCACGCCCCTGCCCCTGCTGCTGGCCAAAAGGGAGCTGAGGAAGAGCTTGAGCGGGAGCAAGCAGAGAGCGCAAAACTCAAGAGGCTGGAGGCAAAGACGATCACCGTTGAACTTGACCCGCCGCCGAGGATCGAGGAGCTGGAGTGCGTGGAGGTGGATTTGCATGGGAGTCCGACGACGTGTTACAAGGTTGGGGAGGAGTATGATCGGTGGTTTTCGGAGCGGTTCGGCTTGAAGTGATGTTTGTTTATCTTGGGGATGGGAAGCGGAAGATTCTGGGGACGAGTTTGCTGCCGCCTGCAACAGCAACAGCAACGACGTCAACACACTCGCATGCTAGCTCGAGGCGTCAGTCCGGCCAGTCGACGCCCCAACTGCAGCAGCAACCACAGCAGTCAGGAGGTGTAGGAGGGGGGTGGCTATCTACCCTAACAAGTATAGTATCCTGGTTCCCTACCGTCCCGATTTCGGTTCCCGGGTTCATCGCCATCCAAGGAGAACGCGAAGAGGAGGAGGGTCAAGAACAACAACAACCGAACAAGCCATGGATCACATTCACCGACGTTGCCCCCCTGCTCATCACCTCGGAATCTTCCCTATCCAACCTCTCTGCCCGCCTGGTCCCCGAGTCTCCCAAAGAATCCACTGAATCAACAACGCACCCCCAACATAAAGTCCCAATGTACAAAATGCGCCCGAACCTCGTCGTGGACGACCAAGGCGAAGAAGCCTGGGCGGAGGATTACTGGGGCGAACTTGTTGTTACTTCTACTTCCACTTCCAGGTCAAGCACAAGGTCAACTTCCAACACATGCACCGCACCAACAACCACCAACAAGAAAGCGAAGAAGAGAAAAACAAAACTCCACTTGACGGGCAACTGCGCCCGCTGCACCAGTCTCAACGTCGACTACGACACGGGCAAGCCGGCTAAGGGGGAGATGGGTACTGTGCTCAAGAAACTTATGAAGGATCGGAGAGTGGATCCGGGATGAAGTGGAGTCCTGTGTTTGGGCGGTATGCGTTTGTGGGGGAGAGTGTTTATGTTGTTGAGGAGGAGCGTGAGGACCACGAGGAGGAGAAGGAGGAGGAGGAGCGCGAAGTGTGGATTAGTGTGGGTGATGAGGTGCAGGTGACGAGGAGGAATGAGGAGAGGACGGTTATGGATTGGCCGTTTTGAAGTCCAGTCCGGTTACCAGTATAGCCTCAAACTGTGTAATGGAAGAGCTGACTACACTAGGGATCTGGATGGGGCTCATTGGGATCAGATCATGAAGAAAAGCACAACTAAGGGTGGCGCGAGCGAGCATCGGAGTAAAAGGTGCGTTTCTTTGTATATATAAGGTACCATGCATTTTAGCCACAGTATCAAGTCTTGAAATTTTGTTAGGATGGATCATGATCGGTCCGTGGTGTTATGTTCCCGTCGTTATCCTGGCTGCTTGCTTCCACGTCGTCGTCATCCGCTTCTTTCGAAGATACCTCTAGGGAATTATTCGTCTCCGTGTCCTTGGTTGACGGCCCCTGTTCATCATCACCACAATCATCATACAACCTCAAGCCATCCTCACCATCCGGTATTTTGGCCATCGTCTCCACCGTCGCACACATACGGAGTTCCCACCTAGCCATACAAGGCTGCTCGAATGCTCCATAGATGTTCTCCATATCAAAACGGTCGTCCGTCGCCTTTATGACAATATCCCTAGGCAGAAAGCACGGGGAGTACTGTAAAAAGGGATCAAACGGTTCCTTGATGACTCTCGCTGCGTCCCAGCACCAGTCGTGCGCAGGATAGTCGCACTCCGTAACCAGGCCCTGAGGGAGGGGGCGGTCGTCTGCCACTTGTCCTAGCTCGGAAGCACGACGCTCGAGGTACTCGACAAAGTGGTTCCGGACGCTAGCATCGCGCTGAGAAGTAGCCATGTCCCACAGCTGTTTGGATGGCTCCGGTGCCAGCTTGTCCCATAGCTCCTTGTAGTTTCCGGCGATGCAGGCCATGGCCACTTGGAGGTGCATGTCCGGCCGACGTTTGGCGAGGACCTCGAGCGTTCTCTCGGCGGGGACGAGTGGCCACCAGATCATGCCGGGGATCTCATTGTGGTTGGCTTCGGGATCGGGATCGTTTTCCGTCATGTGCGACAGGTCGTTGACCATGATAAAACGCGCAAGGGTGGCTGCTCGGATAAACCCCGAGTTGTGTCCATCCCGTGGCTGAAGCGACCACCACTTGGCAAAGGTGGTGTTGTGGTATATCCCGCGAAGGACGGCGCCGTGCTCGCCCATGATCATGTGCGGCCGACGCAAGCGGAGATAGCGGTCCAGATTGCCTTCATAAGCGGCCATGATGATCAGCGGGTCTTTGACCATGGTGGGCAGATGCAGGGGCAGAGGTAAATAAAGCAGCTCGACGTGTTCCGGCGGTAGTGTTCCCTGCTCTGCCTGATTATACGATGCGTGCGTCGTGACCTCGCCAATGTGGCCGTCCTCGGTGATGTCGAACGGAAACCCGTCGCTGTCCAGATTGAAATAATGTTCACCCCAATAATCCTCCGGGGCGACTGTCACGTCCAGCGTTGATCGGACGGCTGTATCTCCGTTCATAAAGGCCGGACACCGTGGGTTTTCGTAATTGTTAGTCCTGGTGTAGTCGTCCAAGACGGCGTAGCAAACCGGCTGTTTCATGATGTGCTCGAAGATGGCCTTGGATCCTGGGTTATTTTGTTCCCTAGCCTCTTCGGCAATCGACACCTCGGGAAGGAGGTCAAGCTCATGATACAACTCATGGTATCCTGCCACGGCGCATGCCCGACCAGCAAGATATGCCATGTCGGGATAGTGATTTACCAGCCGACGGAGTGTCCTTTCGCTGGGAATGTCGGGGTGCCAGAAACAGTAGGGTTTAGCGTCGTCCGTTACCATTTTCGGGATCTGGTTGCTCATGATGAGCCGGGCATTGCGTGCCCGAGCAAAGTTGCTCTCGGGAAGCTTCCTGCACTGCTTCACGACCTCTTGAGACCTGGCAAAGGCTTCGTTGTGTCGTATGCCGCGGATGACGCAGTAGAGGAGTCCGCTTACATAGTCATAGGGAAGGCGCTCCCCACGTAAGGCGACGCGAGCCTCCTGGAGAATCATGTCACGCTTGCTGATGGATTGGAACATGTCGCCGGGCTGAGGTTCGTTGATGGATGGCGACTCGGTGTTTTGCGGTTCGGAAATGTGCTGATCAATCAGCGTTCTCAAAATATGCCCTTGCTGATCCTCGAGCCACTTGGAATTGTGCTGATCAACCATTTGGTGAGAAAAGAAATGGAAGCTGCTGAAGGCCTTTCGTGGGGCAGACTTTCAGATAAGAAGATGGACATTTGGTGTGTTTCGTGTGCAGTGCCTGATGGAGGAAAGGGACAGGTAACGATTAAATAGAAACGGCGTCTGGTACTTCTACTGCAGTACCTACCTAGATAGGTACCTATGTACGTACTTCTCTTTGGTGCACTAATACCCCTGTACGTAAATATCACTACACTACCTACGTACCTGCCCAACCCTACCTAGCCCCTTGAGGTTGCACCTTAACGGCGTAGGATCGGCGCGCGGAGAAGAGCCAGGGTTGGTTAGCTCCAAAAGTTTGGAAGGAAAGTCTGGCCCGTCCCGTCTGTTTGACACATGCAGGCTTGCCGCTTCTTCAGAGGCAGGGGGGAAGGTTCTGTCTTTTGGCTTCCCATTTTTCTTTTATGTGAAAACATGTGACTGTATACAGTACTACATTATTACCCCACGAGTCTCCAACTGAACTCGCCACTCACTCGCCAATATCCCCCAGAATACACCTATTTACTGTACAATCTTGTAATATGAATGTTTCCCCCTCCTCAGCAATATTTACACGCTCCTTCGGGACAGTAACCCCGACTGCAAATAAACTCACACAAATCAACATAATACGCATAGTCCGAGTTGGTAGGTTTCTGATTGTCTGCCGGGCACCCGTGTTTCCCTGCCAATTGGGCTGGTGCCGGAACTGCTGCCGCCGCAAACCGGGTGCAGACACAAGCAGAGTCGAGGCAGTGATCAAAATCACAGCTGTAGGAACAAAGTCCGAGGAGATTGCCCGAAATCCCTTCAGCCGTGGTACCACCTGGTGGGGGAAAGAAGGAAAAAAGGTTAGTTTGGAGAATTTTTTGCAGGAACATAAAGACGGTGGTGGTTGGTAATGACACATACCTGTGCAGTGCGTAGTGGAGGAGGGCAATGCAGGCGCAGTGGAAGTAGTAGTCTTGCTCAGAGTCAGTGACGACGATGAGGCCGGAGCAGTTTTGGAAGACATAGCCGTACTGGACCCAGAAGACGATGACATGGAAGAGGCCGCCGACGTTGTCTTTGAAGATGCTGAGCCTGACGAGGTCGAGGTAAAAGAAGAGGTAAAAGAAGGAGCAAAGGATGAAGAAGTGGTGGTCTCAGTCGGCTCTGCGGGCTCTGGAGGTGCGATCCACTTTGGTCGAAGACATGAAAGTTCCACCCTCGGCTGGACTGAACTTTTATACCCAGAACTGTACCCAAACACAGTAGCAACAAGATAGGTCCTGTTGGCGGCAGCATGGTACGTTGTCCCTGTGCTTGGTTCCTGGAAACCGTCGCCAACCATCCACGAATAGCGTCCGACTTGATCCACTGTCGCATCTCTGGCCCCGACCTCATCTTCGAGATAGGACGCATCAAAACCTACATATCGAAAGCAAGAATTAGTCAACCTCGATACATGTGTTCAGGAGCAAGAATCAATGAGATTGCACTTACCCAGCACATCTGCTGTCACAAATCCCAGGGCCTCTTGGCAGCTTGGCGTGATGGTGTCAAGGGACCATCCGCTGCACATGATACCGCCCGAGTCGTCCGCGTATGCTCCCCAGTCCGCAACCATGTCGGTTTTCAAGTCCTTCTGACATTGGCTCGGCAAAAAGGAGCAGTCGTGCGCAACGTCAGAGGCTGCGTCAGGCAGGTTGCTGACATAGTAGTGCTGACAGATGTACCACGAGGGATGCATGCTCTTGGGGAGGCCATCTGCCTTTCTCATGGACGGTGGGATGCCGTTGTTGAGAGCTGCTACGTCGATTGTGGCATTCTCCTCCGTCACAGCGGGCGGAAAAGGCAGGTGGTCCGCTATCCGCAGATGGGCAGTGAAGCCTGGCAGCGGGCTCCCGGGGTACGGCTTTGTCCAGTCTAGACCGGTGAAATTGGCAACGTCCTCGCGGATGGGATCTGCAAAGCCGGCTTCCAGCGCGGACCAGGACATCGGGATGACATTGGAGGCGTTGGCAAGATATGGGATATTGTCAAAGTAAATATAAGTAGTGTCCGGGTCCTTTGCTGCCTTGGTGAGGTGGCCATGGCCGAAGAGCAATAGCGCCAGTGACAGAGTGCCAGAGCTGATGGCAAACTTGACGGACATGATGGAAAAACTGAAAAAAAAGACCCAGGCGGCTCGAGGTCCGGTAAAGAGGTGGGTTGTATGTGATGGTGGAACAATATCTTGAAGGTCAGTTCAACTTGGGAGCATGGCAACAGTTGATTTTAAGAGAGGCATCCATAGATAAGGTAGGTAGCCACCTTATTAGCCTGGCCAAAACATGTGCCTTCACTTGGTCGTTGTACTTTTACCTGACACTGGAGGTCTGGTACCTTGGCTACCTAGTCTAGACATGGATAGAGGTACCTAGCTGCCGAAACCGGCCTGGATCATGCAATTGAAAGTAGTGTACGTTTCCGAGGTACTGAACTTAGTCGCCTCATTGCGATTAGTCCAAGTACGACTGACCCCAGCCCGAGCCGCTCCAGGTTAGTATACAATGCTATCCCTAACTTATTCCTGATTTTCCGTCGAGGCCTGGATCCCGCACAACGGGACCCGGGAGACGGAGATGATCCCCTTTTCCGGGGCTTAGGCACTGCAGCAGTGTGATGTGGACTGCAGCGTACCTGCGTCAGGGTAGAAGGTATCCGCCTTGCACATGGCATCAGTTCCGCTTGATGGTGTGAGCGTAGACTGTAGAGATAGAGTGGCGCGGTGGCAGACGCAGGAACGAGGAGTCTGAGCCAAAGAGGAAGGTGAAGGACCAACTGAACCTCAATACAACATAGCCTACCAACTGAAGCCTTTTCTGTCGCTACACCTTGCACTAAAAGAAAAAGCAGGGGGTTGTCGGCCCGCAAAAGCTTGTTGGTTATTGCCTCTTGGTTCCTGAAAAAGAAAAGCACTGTGTCGACTGCAGTCATTGTTGTTGGTTGTTGCGCTTTCTCAACATGAACCCTGCTGGCCGAGAGTCGAGACTCCACGCTATCTGGTCCGAGTTTGTCGTTGAAGATAGCAGAGTCACAAATACATGTAACTTTCCTCATTCAGGATCGGCAAAACAGGCCCTTTTAGCGCGCTGTAGTGGTAGGTTCCGTATGCGCTCTAGACTCATGCTGACAGTCGGGTCGGGGCGAGTAGCCCTTTCCTGGGTCAATGGTACCTAGTCTAATGCGATGGACCCGTGATTTCGAAATCGCTCTTTCCGCGTCTTGAAGCCAAAAGGCGAGCACACATGGAAACATGCATCCTCTATGATGGGATACCGGTATACGTTCTTGGTAGAGGTAGGTATGTCTTTCGGTATTATGAAACTAGTGAGTTGATGCATTTTGCCGAGATTCTTAAAAGTGCTCCTCATCCAGCCCGACTTTTGACCCCCCGCCTGCCAGGTGATGTGTCTTACCTACAGTGGGTGCCCCCACCCCAAAAACATGGAAACTTCGGTCCCGTCCACTAAAGTGCGCTGCAAGTCCACTGTAACTTTTTCATCGACGGAACCTAGAATGTGTACCCTAGTAGGTAATTGCACAACGACAAACAATGTTAAGGAAATGAAGTTTCTTTTCTTCGATGCTACTTCAATTTTTCAATTCATTTTTCAAGTGTCTCAACAATCGCACTTTGCCAAGAGGCTGACAAGTTGGAGTGACCAAGTTGAGTTTTGGCATTTTTTTTGCGGAATAAAATAACCGGTCGTTTATTTTGTGAGGGGGGCTGGACCAGAATGCGTTTCGGGTGCTGTGCTTAGCAAGCAATGGTTTTTTTTTTTTTTTTTTTTTCACGTCATTTGTTGAAATCCCCATTCCATATATGCCCCCAATCAATGATTCCTGTGGTAACGACGGGAACTTCAGCAAGGTCGAGGTTACCTACCTACCTACCTACCTACCTACCTACCTACCTACCTACCTACCTACCTACCTATCAAACAGGGCAGTAGGTCCGTGGCTGCACCTTTGCTGCAAATGGAAGGCATGGCAAGCTGCTTCGCAATGATACAGGTACTCGTCTGGTCTCGAAGCGACTCTCAGACCAATGGCGCAGAGTACCTGACCTAACGAATGAAAAAAAACAAATAACGAAAGAAAAAAAAAATGACGACAGAGAGCCATGGAGTGGTAAAGGTAGAGATAACTAACATACATGTGCTTGCCTTTGTGATTTCACATAACACCGGGTTGACGATATGAAAATAGGTACCTCTACCCTATATATACTCCTTCCATCTCATTCAAGTCCCTTCGGCTTCACTCAAGCCGTATACATGTACCTAGTGTCCCGCCTCAGATACCTACTACATGTAACACTCCCGTCCCCAGTCCACACCTCATGATGACCATCTCTCATGGTACATGTATACATGCATGTTGTATCTTGTCAGTGGCTGCCAATAACCAGAAGTTGTCAGCTTATGAATCGTCGCACACATAATAGTCATTCGCCTCCAACTCGAATCTTTCCACAGCCATCAACATCCTGTGATGGGTGTGTGCCGTCCAGTCGCTCTTCTCCATATCTCTCTTGGGGTTCGCTCCGTATGTCGACGCCCCATAGTCGTGTACCGCATTCATGAACTTCAACTCCCAGCCGAAATTATCCGGCAACCCAAGGATTGCTGGCATCTTAGCCTTATTGAGGGGGCTGGTAATAGTTGCCAGCACATCAACAACGGTGAGCTCGCGCTTTCTTTTATATAGTTCTTCGAACTCGGGAAAATCGACTTTCCTGCTTTTGATATCGAGCCCAGGGAACAGACGTTTCATATCTTGACCGAGATATTCCATCTGCCAAAACTCGGCTCGTCGAATATCGGCGGCCTTTTCGCTCGCAAGGCCCATGCCTTTCAAATCTTTCGCGATGGTGCTTGTAGCTCTATATGTGGCCGAAAGGAGTCAGCAAATTATTCCAGGTTCTAAACAAGGTAGGTGTGTCCCCCATCTTGGGTGCGAGTGACATGAGTCTCATGGAACTTACAATTTTTTTCGAGCTTTCAGCACCATGTCCATCCACTCCTTGAGCAATACATAATAACTTTTGTTGAATACGCCTGCTGCGAGTTCATGCCTCACCAAGGACGGCGCTGAGACCAGCGACAGCGCTTTGGCCGTTTTCGGGAGATCGTTCATATCCAGTTCTGGGATCATGTCAGGGCTCAACCGGTCGTCCTTGAACCAAGCCATACAGAATTCTCCCCAGTTCATCTGACCTTTGTCCAGGCTTCCTCGATGCCCCTGCTGCCTGTAAGACTTGTCGAATAGCGTTTTGTCCTTGTCCTTGTCGAGGAGAGGATAGATGTACCGCTGGTCTGCGCCCTCATACAACCAGGCAATGTTGTAAATGTGGTAGGCGGACATCATCTCGTAGACAACTGCAGGACTCTTGCTTGCGACAAGGCTTGCCCATGCTGCAATGAGGACAAGCCAGGCCCATGCTGAGCGTGCCAGCATTGCGATGGTGTGGCGTGGAGGTTGGTTCAGGTTGTTTGCAGAGAATTGTCTAAGGTAGGTAGGTAGAGGTATGTATGTATGAAGGATGTAGAGGTTGAAGGAAACGAGAAGTTCAAAGAATGTAGATCAACCAGACATGTACATCCCAGTCTGGAGTTTGAATGCCAAAGGGAAAGGGGTTGGTTAAGAGGTCATTCTATGAGCATTCCAAGCACGCCCGTTCAACCCTTTTCACATTGTACACTCATGTGTAATAACCTTCTCTCATCTAAACCTAGGTACCTACCAGATATCTAAGTACGTACTTACAAGAGGAGGTACCTCTAAAAGTATCTGCACACCCACAATCTTGAACACGGTATCCGTGGGTACATTGCCTTCGCGTGTGTATGCGCGCGGATAAACCGGCACGTCTCATCGTTCGCCTTGAAAGCGCATATGATGATTTAGCGAGAAGTCCAGGCGTTTGCATGTCTGGTGCGAGATGTTCCAACCAAAATCAAGTTACCGTAGTCCGTAGAATACATGTATGTCCACGGGCATGTTCAGAGAGCCCGGTGTAGGTAGAGGTAAGCTACATCTACTCAGTGAGTTGCCCCGGCAGAAACAGAGGTAGAGGTACCTACCTGACTTTGTTGATATATCACCATCAACGGTGACACTTTAGGATCATGTCAAATCCTGGAGACTACTGGCCCGCTCCGCTCCGTGTGTTTGTCAGGTGCAATAGGCCCTCATCAGGGTAGGTACCTCTACCTAGAGGCATGCATACCTCTAGATTCTCATCGAAGCCTGGGTTTCTACATGTAGTTTACATTAGCAAGTGCACCAACACACTAGGGGTCCCAATCCTGACTTTAATTTTGGCCTTTTTCCTGGTCGTGGATATGAACACCATCGCGCCTTTCTAACCACCTCTAGGCAAAACACCTCCAGGTAGGGGTCTGGTAGCGCTGGGCAGCACGGGAGCAAGGGTATCTCTCGGTAGGTGGTAACCGCAACGGTTTAGAGTATACGACCCAACGTGCAGCCATTACAATACCACCCTGTACCAACAACCGTTCCGCCGGGACTGGAACTTTTTAAGCGACCCCAAGTGGGTAGGTACATGCACCCCTAAGAGGGACATACCTAGTTGCCACTGCCTTCCATGTCACCAACCAAGTTGGGAAGCCCGGGCCGTGAGTTATCGTTTGACGAGCGTGCATATACTACATTGTAAAGTTGTTAGTAGATCCTTCGGGACCCTGGAATGGTGTGATTTTCATGTGATGAAGCACACATCTTCGAAAACTCTGCAAACATGGGAAGGAACCTACCTACCTACCTAAGCCTAGAGGTATCATGTTGGTGACTTGCCCCGACTACTTCCTAGAAGAGAGGTCTAGTCGGGTTCAAGGTCGTAGGCGACTATCTCGAGAGTCGAGACTTTCCAACGTGGGCGGCTCCGGCAACGCTTCCGTGCGTTCTATCCGTCCGCAGTCCGACAAGGAGGCAGGTGGGAGCAGACCTAGGTAACAACTCGGTTGATGATCGGAGCATATCCCAGAGGCATCCAGAACTGGGACTGGGTCTTGTTGCGTTGCCTGCGTCGAACAAGAACTTCATAAACCATAGAAAGAGACAACTCTACATGTACCAAAGGTTGCTCGCAGACACTCACTCCTCGCTGAGAGATAGCTGGTTCACTCATCTTATCGACCCTTCTCTTTCCTTACCTACACACGCCGCTACCTTGGCCTTGGAACCCAAATCACCGGCAAAGCTTGCAACGTCATGCGGTGGTTACCTCTGGCGGTGGCTGTCGCCGCCACCGTGACTCAGGTCACGGCAAAAGCTGTGTTTGCCCACTTTATGGTATGAACGAGATTCCAGTCCGCCCCCATTGATGCATTCTGGCCCATTGCATTGAATGTTTACAAAATCAAGCCCAGCCCAGCTGTGATGCTAACTTTGTGTGTGTGTCCTTAAAGGTTGGCAATACCGAGAATTACACAACAAGCGACTGGCTGGATGACATGCGTCAAGCCAAGAAGGCACACATTGACGCCTTCGCCTTGAACATGGCCTACGGCGAAGCGACCAACGAGAAGTCGCTCTCGGCCGCGTTTTCCGCCGCCGCGAGTGAGGGCATGCAGCTCTTCTTCTCGTTCGACTACGCCGGCAACGGGCCTTGGCCCAAGGAAACGGTGATGGAATACATCACCAAGTATGGTTCGAGCAGCGCCTATTTCCACCACAACGGCAAGCCTTTTGTCTCGACTTTTGAAGGGCCCGACCGGGCCGACGACTGGATCGACATCAAGAGACAAACGCCCTGCTTCTTCATGCCCGACTGGTCTTCTTTTGGGGCCATGAAGGCGATGGCTGCCGGAGGCGGGGTCGCTGACGGGCTCTTTTCATGGGCGGCATGGGCCTGGGGAGACTGGGACATGTACACGTACACGGATGCTTCGTACGCCCAGTACCTGAACGGAAAGCCGTACATGATGCCGGTTTCGCCGTGGTTCTACACCAATCTGCCCGGGTACAACAAGAACTGGATCTGGCGTGGTGACCGAGCGTGGGGTGACCGTTGGATCCAGGCGCAGTGGTGGCAGCCCGAGTTCATCCAGATTATCTCGTGGAACGACTACGGCGAGTCTCACTACATCGGCCCGGTTCGAAAGCACGCCATGGCAGCCTTCGACATTGGCAGGGCTCCGTTCAACTACGGGACGCTGCCTCACGACGCCTGGCGTGACATCCTGCCGTTTGTCATCGACATGTACAAGAACAACGTCTCCAGGGTTGACTATGAGCGAGCCGTGGCGTGGTATATGTTGGTCAACCCGGCGTACTGCGACCATAACGGAACGGTCGTCAATACCGCTTCTCAGCTGCAACAGGAATTCACCCCCGAAGGGGAACTGGACGACAAGATCCATTTTACTGCATTGCTGAACGGCAAGCCAGACAAGGTCGCCTGCAGCGTTGGCGGTAGGATGAAGGACTGCAAGGTCTACCAGGGTCCCGACAACGACGAGCCCGGCATGTATCTAGGTGAATGCGGCAATGGGTTCGAGGGGCCAGTCCAGATTACCATCACGAGAGGCAAGACAGTCCTGGTCATCAACGGCGAACCACGGCGCGGCGAATCCTGCGGAGAATGGAACGGGTTCACAAACCACAACGCGTATGTGGCTGGTGCGGTAGCCCCGTCGGCCATTAACGCGCAAGCGGCAGACATCAGCCAGGCTGTCTGTGTCAACGGGACGGGCATGGAACTCGTCAAAGACCTCTGCGAGTTCACGTGCTCGTTGGGATACTGTCCCAAGACCGCCTGTGTCTGCTCTCGACTGGGCAAGCCCCCTACTCTGCCAAAGCCGACGGGCGTCCAGGGCTATCCCACGAGCAACATGGACGAAAGTGTGTCGGGGCTTTGTTCCTTTGCGTGCAACTACGGCAACTGCTCCGACTTTTCCGACTACTGCTCCACCAAGAAGGTGGCACTTGCAGTGCGGCCGGCCTCTCTTTTCGAACCCCAATATTGTGATTCCGGCAGGGCGCGGGGAGGAGAAGAACGCTTTGAGCAGCTTTGTAAATTCAGCTGCAGCCATGGGTACTGCCCGTTCTGGGTGTGCGTCTGTGAAATCGAGAAGGGATTTGCCAACATCCTTGACCCCACCATACCATCCAGGGCCAGCATGAAGTCTCTGCCTGGCCTGCTCGACTATGGCCTCTGTGGCTTCGCCTGTCAGCGTGGTTACTGCCCAACTGACATTTGCTTCGATGATGGCGTGTACGACGACGACGAGGGCTGGGGCCCAGACTATGACCCGATTGAGGGAGAGTACATGGATTTCACGCCCATCGAGGCGCTAAGCTGCGATCCCGACAAGGCGCCGCGGACGTTGGACGATCTTGTTAACGCGGTTGACACCGGGTCGATTCCTTCCATATGCTGGAATCAATGGGCGCTGGAGATCCTGCTCCAGACGCTTTTGGGCATCGGAAGCGAGTATCGAGAGAGCCTCAAGGGATATGATAAGCTGTTTTCCACTTATGAAAAATATATCAGGGAGAGCGTCGGCCCGCAGCTGGAGAAGTTCGCCCATCCAGGAAGTATGAAGTCGCCCGGACTCAAGTACTTTGACTGTGTGGTGTCGATAAACGGAAAGAAGTACTCGGACAAACAGGGTTGTCAGTACATCGTCTTGGAGAGGCTCCCGGTTGATAACTGGCACATCGACTATACCTTGCGTGATGCAAAGGGGTTTTATGCCGAGGTCGACGAGAAACTGGGAATAGCGAAGGAATGGATCACTTTCGGCGAGTGGAAACTTGAGAAACAGTGCGACGACGACATGTATGGTGACGATGGAGCTCATATCCGCACGGGCAATAGACCAAAGCTCTGCAAACCGAAGGTCACGAGCATGAGTAACTTTCCTATAGCTATCGACAAGGACAAAGTAAGTGTTGAAACCAAACTTGCACGTCGAAGAGACAAGCGCTGACATTGGGTACCTACCTTTACCTACCAACAGATCGAGGTCCCCAACCCCAAAGTGGTGATGGAGGCGGCCATGGCCAACATGACAAGTCTGGTTGACAGCCTGCTAACCGGGCACTTTCTGGTGGCTACCCACACCAACGAAGTCGATAGCGCAGACATTGTCACGGCGGCCAGCATGCCCGTTTTCATGCTACAACAAGCCGTTGACGCCATGAACGGCATCAAGAAGACGGGTTCCGATATCATCAAGCAAAACAAGAAGAATCTCATCACGTTCATCCTGAGCATCGTGTTGATGGTGATCCCCATCATTGGCGAGATTGGCGGAGCCCTGTTTGGTGGAATGGCCATGATCGCACGCATCATTACCCTTATCGACGTTGCGGGCAGCGTGGGAATGACTGCCTATGACATTGTCGAGGACCCGGGGTCGGCGCCCTTTGCCATCATGGGCATGTTGATGGGATTCGTAGGAGGTACAAGGTCCGAGAAGAGCTTGGCGGATGCTGGCAAAGCACGCAAGGCCATGCCTGACTCTGCCGTTGCAAAGCTCGGCAAAATCTTTAGTGAGAATGACAAGAAGGTTCAGAAAATCATCAATGCCTGTACCAGGAAAAGGTAGGGAGTTAGTCTAGAAGCCCAAGGGGATGGAAGGAAGAAGGGCACCTTACATGGCTAGAACAGAAAATAAGTAGCAGGACCTGTCCAGCAAGGTGTGGAGTGATGGATGTCGCGAAATTGGAGAGAGTTTGTGAGATTTGCCCGACTTGGGAGTATATGGAGAAACAAATGGATAGGTAAATGAGGCTTCCGAGTGTCGGTGGTTGTTAGTCGGTGGCTTGTCTGTTACAAAGTCGGGACGGAAGACGAGACGCATGCGAATTGGAGCTATGGTAGACGGGACCGTGGCCGTAGGGCGAGGCACGCCCTTGGAAGCGCGCACGGGCCCCTCAGCCGTCATAATAACCCTAACCCGGGGATTCTGCCTACTGTGTACACTTACAAAGTCGCACAATGAGGTTCTAGGTGCAGGGGTCCTCGCAGTCAGGTGCCCACGCGACGCGGTGCTGTGTTAGTGGTAAAGTGCACTGCCTGCAAGCCGTAGAGGTGTTCGCGGTCCACCAGCTGGAGTTCCCGTATGAACATCAGCTAGGTTGCTTCAATTCTTCAACAGGACAACCAATGCGACAAAATGAGCGCCGGATCGCCATCGTCAGACCCCGATAACGTCCTCTTTGATCCCTCCCATCCTCTCAAGGGCGTCTCGTCGTGTGCTGCACCAGCGTCTCTCCAGAACTAAGGGTACAGTAACTGATTTCCTGACTCTCTCGCTTTTGACAGCCAACTGACTCTTGAATCAACAGAATGACATCGCCAGCAAAACCGATGAACTCGGCGGCAAGCACAAACACGACCTCACCCCCGATTGTACCCATCTCATTGTCGGCGATTACGATACCCCCAAGTACCGCCATGTCGCGAAGGAGCGTCCCGACGTCAAGGCCATGGCCGCCGGCTGGATCGAAGCCATCCGAAAGCTCTGGGTAGAAGATGCCGACATCGATTTCATCGCCCTCGAGAAAGAATGGGAGATGAAACCCTTCGAATCACCATGCCAGTTCTTCTCGTCCTTTAGTCCGCATACGACCTTCTATTTCCTATTGGTGCCCCCTGGAGCGCAAATCCAAATTCGGTCCTTCATGGCTCTTATACCACCAAGGAATTCAATGCCTCCTAGCTTCAAGCCATGCTTTCTGAGTGGCTACATACCCCCTTGTCTCACTCTCCATTGCTGTATTCACTTGTGCGATCTTCACTTTCAACCTTCTGGACCCACTTCCCGATTCTTGCTGTATTTCGTGCAATCAGACATGCACTCCTTCTTCTTCCTTCTTACTCCCCATCGTTAGTTATTTATTACACTTGTCAGAGTAGCTGATGCCACTCACTTGCCAAAATCTACGTGCCGTGACACCCATCATTTGTTTCCTCATCCGCGCACTGGACATAATGCGGTGGAAGTTGTTCTTCGCATTTCGCAATGCCCGTTTGCCTTGGCCATGAACAATAATCGAGAGCTAGAGGTATCGATCACTCCGCACAACCACGGGACTGCTTCGAATGATAAACCGAGCAATGCCCGAAAGAAACCACTGAGAAATGTTTTATCTACCCGAATACACAGATGAAACAAATACTAATACAAGTAACGAAGCTGTCAACGCCATCACAGTGCCATCCCCAAAGGGCATCGCCTCATCTCATTTCGCTCTTCCAGAGGCAAGCCCACTCAGTTATACATTCTTCGTCCGGTTCTGAGGACGGTAGGCTTGCCTGTTTTCTCCAGCACTTTTCGCGTTTCGTCCATCAGTGCCAAGTCATACCCTGCAATCGCGGTCAGTCTCCTCTGTGCACGGCAACTTGACCATAAGACAAAGTCTAACCGCGAGGCTCTACTCGAGGCTGGGCAGAAAGGGTTTGCGTACCTTGCCTCGCCATGAGGGCTATCACAAACGGAAGCTTCTCTTCCCGGCTCGAAATCCGCGAGTTGTAGGATATTTCGTCAACTGGAATTTGTGCGCCACTGTCAGCGCCACTGTTCTTTACGAGTCCTATTGGCTTTTCTGGGACTGGGGTTGGGCTCCCTAGGAACAGCCAGAACCGGAGACTTCATCACCGGCGCCAAGCCTAACGCATTAATTCCGTCTTGAGGTGGTCGCCGAAACCTACGACCCGTCCACGATGATTAGCCACAAACGTCCACACTCAGAAGCCACGTCAACAGGGGTCACGGGGCACTCACGTTGGAACTTCGTCCCGGTACCTAGGGCCCATCGATTCCAGCGGCATCATGACAAGCGTATTGGAGTGCTTCCCTGTCAAAATGGTGGACGCGGGTTTATGAACTTAAATATGGGCGCAGGGTATCAAACGAATAACAACACCGCCGGCAACCAATATAATGCGCCGTTTTATGGGCAACCGTCTGCCATACCGCAGTGGCCCAAGTACTGGCAGGCGGGGTTCAAGTAGACAATGCCGCTCTCTCTCCTCCGTCGACTGGGACAACTTCTCCACCGCTGACGAGCTCCCTTGCTTTTGCGTCGCAGGCTTCGCGGGTTGCAGAAGTCTTGGTGAAGAATGTTGGAGCACATGAGTGGGCACAGGGAATTTAGGGCAGAGGATCGGCAAGAGAATTCCTTGATTGATTGACTAAAGAGCAAAAGGAGAGTAGGTGAATGATGAGAGGGAGACTCTCGATATATATATACATGACTGAGGTCCATGTGTGGATCGACTGCCGAGACGGTAGTCTGCTTCAACAGAAATCTCTGGGACCAAAAACACTTCAATACTGAATCGAGAGAAAACAAAGAAAAAAATCAAGCAATAACACTAACAAAGTCCCAGCGCTTCAGCCTTTACACAATCTCGTACGTGTAAAATCCATTCCCTTCGCCCATTCCGAGTACTGGATCTGGAATCCCGTTTGCCTTGTTGGCCCGGGCAATTCGGGCAATGGCTCTGAGAAAAGCCAAGATGTTGGGGCTGAATCTCCGTTCTACTTTCGGGGGATACCGGTCCTCCAGATTAGTATTCAACGGAGGGCCGTTAACATATGGGTCGTTCTTCAAGTATCTCATGCGCTCTTCCGGTCCTTCTCCAACTCTTTCAGCAAACCATGCGTCGATGTCCCAAAACAATCCTTCCTTGACCAGCTCGTGCAGATACCTTTGAAACCGCCACCTGTGGTATTTGTAGACATCCTCTTCATTATTGCCCTCAAGAGATGGACGTGAAGGACGATTATCCATACCATTGGGAGAGTGTTCATCAAGTCCGTCATCACTGTCGTCATCCGAGTCGTCGTCAGAAGCACGAACATAGGGGTAAAGTTCGCCATAGAGTAACGAAAAGAACCCAGCCCTTTGAAACCGAGGTTCACAGGGATGCATATGGGCTTCCGTCTCTCAAGGACCAGTCCATACAGCCACACCCTTTCGACATCCTGAGTTTCAATCTGCATTGGTGCTAAGTAGGCATATTGTATAGCACCCTTGGCGTCATTATTGTCGTCCCAAGCAACATTAAATTCCTCGAATGTAAGCTCCGTCGTGTCACCGTACTCCTTGAGTTCTAAGTGGCACGAGCCATCCATGTTTTCGTCCGGAGGTTCGGTTATTCTAGCTCGAACAACGGGACTCCTTATCCTAATGCTTGCGCCACAAGCAACTGGCCCAAAAGGACTTGTCGTATTTCTGGGAGTTACTTTGGCATCCAGGACCTCAGCCAAAACATCCACAGGTCCTGGGTCATCATACACGCCTACACACATGGCCATTTCAGGTTGACAGTCTTGAATGACTTAGGCCCAAGACCATGAAGGGGCTATGTCTGTGTGTTTCTGGCCGTATTCGTTTCCGCCAATCCACAAAAGCTGTTGAATGAGGCGATATGACCACAATCCGGCAAGATAGGCTATACCACTCCATGTGCTGCTTAGCTGCTCTGCGAGCCCGGATATAGCCACAAGCCTATCTGAAGGCTCGGTCAGAGACCTTTTAGAGTATGTCCCTAGTAAGAGCATCCACGCCCTCCGCCGGTTTGAGTCAACTAGCCTGCCGTTAAGGAGACTTTCCCAGTCATGTGGGAATATCTTATAATAGAAGGAGAAAGGTCTTTCAATCGTGTCGGGAAAAGATTCACTTGCTTGGCACGTTAAGCATTCCCAATATAGCTCCTTTTTACCAAAAACAAGGGTCCGTCGTGCTAGGAGTTGTTCCTGAAGCACCCATCCACGAGTGTATAGAATGAGCTCCGTTATCTCCGGATCGGTGTGTTCGCTTTTATATGCCGCCAATAAGTAACGATCATCTTCTAATTGTACGAACCAAGGTCTGACCGAAAGCCGATCTCGTCGGTAGTATAAGCCGCCACTCGAATCTGGTGAGGCGCCAGCAGCCAGGTTTAGGAAGGAATTCCGGTAAACATGTTGCATTTTGGCTGATTCTTGGATCCAGTCCTTGTTTTCAGCCGAGTTTTGGATGATGCACAGGGAATCAATCCAGAGGAAGGGAACCCCCAATTTCCGAGTCAGTTCGATGGCATGACGAAAGGTGTTTGGTAGCTCGCCAAGTTGAATGCCGTTCAAGAACTGGATGTAGTTTTCCTTCAAGAGACGAATGGGGACGCCGTTTTTCCCCCAACAATGACTGAGTGTCATGTATGACCGCTCCTTCGAAAAAGTATCCCTACTTGTTTCGCAAAGCCTGACGTACGCCTCTCCGGTGAGTCCCACTGCGAGCAGCCGGGCAGGATAATTATCTTGCAAAGTTGCGACCTGGACCGGGTTACAGCGGGGATGCGAGCGGCAGTTTTTGATCCATTTGAGTGCTTGATTCCAGCTAGCGTCGCTTGCCGTACTGAGAGAAGTTGGAAAACCCCGTGCTATGAAAGTTATTTATGATCAGCCAATGCTGTGTATTTGCCAAATAAATTTTCGTTTGTATCATCTACCAGGAAGCTTGGTTAGTGAACACTCACCTCCGTTGTAATACCAGTCTAAGAACATGCACCACACAATGGTTATCTTTCCATCACCTCCCACAACAGTAGACCTGATAGACAGCTCAGTTTCTTCCCCGGATTGTGTTATTCGTGTATGTAATTGGATGGCCCATTCTAAGGCCGCGTCCACGCACCCAAGTGCATCAACACTCGAATCAGGCTTTTTGACGTAGTCTCGGTCGATCACGGACTGGGCCGTTCTGCAAAATACAATACATCCATGTTGTTTTAAAGTCGCAGTCATGAGCCAATGACAGACATGGCAGTTTCCTTCAGCAGCTGATGTCAGGAACTCCTTGACGCTGCAAAAGGGGATCTTCCTGTCGGTGTTTCTTTGAGTAACCATTTCGCTTACTATCTTGAACGCTGCCGTACAACTTGCGCATAGGCGGTCGTACGCAATTTCAGGAACGCCTTCCGGTTCGAACCTCGCGATGGAATATTCAATGTAGGCTTCATATGATCTGAAGTGCGGTGGCAAAGATAATAGGCGTCGTAATTCTGAATCTGAGTCGGTACCCTCTGAAAGTTCCGATGGAGAATGCGTTGTGTCCGTCCAATCGTCCTGCTCGGCCGTGTCGCCTGTTGAGTCCATGGTAGGCGCGGTCATCCAAAGAACAAGTCAGTGTGAGGCCTGAAGGAATTGCTGGCTTGGAGAAGAATTGTGTTGAAGGGTGAGAGACCACCGGACTTCTTCGGAAAAGAAGAAGACACGGAACAAGAGTTTCAGGTGATAAAAGATTGGGCTTGTCGAGTGCAGCCCACTGCAGGCCACCAATAGTTCTGGGATCGGAAACCCCTCTTTCTGCAGTTTCCGTGCTGACTTCGCGCAAGGCAGTCACGCCAAACGTTCCTCTAGCCAATGACAATATTACCGAGTGGTGTGACGGCGGTGGCAGACCACTACGCTAGCCAAGCCGTGTCCTCGCAAAAGGGTACAAGTAACCGAAGCTGGCAATTCGGTTGCTCAGGTGGTCTTATATAGTTGCGACGGATGACCAGGCCGTTACAAGTGGTACAAGTGACTCAGAATTAGAGACCGAAAAGCGATGTATTAGATAAAAGGAGAAAAGCACAAAAGAGGTGAAAAGAACGGTCGACTGAACTGAATGACAGAAAAAATGACAGAAGAAACTTCAGGGAAAAAAAAAAGAAAGAAAAAAACATACAACACCAGGGATTCGCTGGTCGTCACCGACCCGTCAGAACGATATGGAATGGGAGGTGGTTGTTCAGTTTCTTGACCCTACCACGTGATTAAAAGACCCGGTTCATATCCTTCCCACTCCCATAGACAAGCAGTAAGATGCTACTAGTGAGTCCACCGACCGGTTATTGAACGGTGGTACGAGGTACTAATCTATTGACTATCTTCGCATTGGCAGGTCTTGCGAACTCGGGGAGGTCTGAAACTCCAGGGGGCACCAATAAGAAATAGAAGGTCGTATGCGGACCAAAGGACGAGAAAGAATTGGCATGGTGGTTTGATAAGGCAATTCGTTGTTTGAAGTTTTACAGAAAAGATGTCAAGATTTGTTCCAGTGATAGAATTGTCATAACATTTATATTCTCTTCTACAATCATTTTAGGCGTTCGTCGTCACATTATACATGTTATTACACCCCATCGCAATAATGTTAATATTGAAAGAATCTTTGTAGTTTGCCACCTTCGCCCTTCTCAAAAGAACTAGAACTAGAAGTGATATACGCTATTAAGTCATAGACTCTAAACATCCAAGGCATCCCTTCTAGATTCAAGAAAATTTTCACCTGTTGGTGATATCCAATATATATAATACCGTGAGATATACAGTATAACTAGGCTATCACTTTGAGATGCTACGTTTCTTTCCAACCGTATACTATCCAATTATTCTACAACAGACCCACTTTCTTTGGGGTACACCAAGCTAAATTAGCGTTCCGTTCCCTCGGGACACTTAAACTAAGCAGCTAATAATTCAGTGCGAACGCAACACCAATAATCACTCCAGCATACGGAAGATTTCTTACCGCTCTTGGTAAACCCAGATAATATCCGGGATTTCAGTAGCGGTTTAGTAGTGTCCGTTCTATAATGGCGCGGTTCGTAAAATCTCTGAACCGTTCCGATGCCATACGGCAGCGCTGTCTAGCGCCTACGATGGAGCTCTTCGGCTCAGGTGGCAGACCTTCCTGGGTCTCACATGGCCACCCCTCTTATAGGTTTCTGTGCGTGCGAAGAATTCATGTGATCCTCCTTGAGACTCGACATCTCGGGGTGCGGTTGCAATCAGTGGGGCGGTATTGCGGACCGGGCGGGGCCGTGGCGGCGGAGTGGGCCCCGAGAATGACGGAGCGGTGGGAGCACAACCGGACAGTAATTGCCGAAGCCGAGCAACTCGCAATGGCCACCAGCGCCTCAATCTCCAGATTGGGTGGCATCATTTCTCAGACCTCATCGGGGACCATCTCGTCAACGTGTTAACTGACCTAAGACCTAGTGTAGTAGAACCTATGCTCTTGGCGCATATATATAAACATATCATTGCTGTCACGGACCAGCATTGAACCACTACACCAATGAGCCATGTTCCTGGCTACGTGCAAGGTGTCATTAGCTCCGAGACCTGGAACGCACGAGACACTCTCGACATCCACCGTCTTGCGGCAGGCGGGACCTGAGGCTGGATGTGGAAAGCTAGGGGGGAAAAGCGGGCTCCGTGCGAGTACCGCGGGGAGCAATATGGTACGTACGGGATCCCGGCCGTGTGTCTCGCCAGGAAGATGCAACAACTGCCTGAAGACGCTTCTGAAAATTCAAGGTCCACTTTGAAAGTGTTGACCGTCGTCCAGGAAGCCTTGCTCAAGATCAAAAAGTTGACGACACGCTGCTCTTCTGCAATCGGCCAAGTGGCTGCGACAGGTGATGGGACGTTGTTCAGAAATATATTGGCGGCTCTGTTGTCATTTGCTCCCCTCCAGCCGTTGTTGAAAAAGGACAGGTACCTCGTACGAAACGCAGCTCTGCTGACAGGTGATGGGAAGCTGCCCGACAGCTGGCAAGTAGCCGACGAGCTGACGCCACTCACCACGGCACTCACCTCACCGTCTCACCGTGGTGAACTGCATCTTCTCAATCCCAGAACTTACAAGTTGCAACCTCTTCCGCCAGCACAAATTCTCGGATGTGCCAAGTGCTTTCCCGGTGCAGTGATGTTCCCGCGCCGTTGGATCATGAACGACAGACATCATTGGCGAATCGCGACATCTCGACATGAAAATGGAAACCTATTCGGCATCATATGCTCGCCATCATCATTGGAGCCTGGGGAGACGTCAAGCTTTTGATTCCGATTCTAACTAGTGGCCCGTTGAGTCTCAGCTAGCTCTGATTGGGCTGCTCGCATCTTCATCCTAACGCTCGGTCTTATGTCGATGCCTATCACCATGCCAGCATTTGAAGGAACCGTACCCTGCTCGCGTACCCTGTTTCAGCCCACCGTGTCGAGTTTCCGCTCCGGTGCATGACCAAATTACTTTTCGTGTTACCGTTGGGTTATCCTGAAGAATCCATCTGTCGCGGGGAAGCCCGTTAAAAACGCTCGCTGGCTCAGTCAATCAATTCGCGGCTGAGCACGAACGCTCTTCGGGGATCACCCCCTCGAGCCCCTCTACTGGGCAGGCTCACTTCCACAACAAGTCACTCGACGAGTAGTGATCAGCCTTATTTTTTGTGTAGTGCTGACTTGATGCAACCATACGAGAGTGGGCGAGCAGCCACCAGGTAGCAGTCCACGATGATCCGATCCTATAGGGTCATCACCTACCACCATGTCTCAATGGCGCTTCAGGAGAACTAGCCCTTTTTGTGGGTAGGAAGCTGACACGGGTAGCATATTGCCCAAGAATTCTTCTTCCTCTCCCATTCTTCTTTTCCCCTTTTCTCTCTTGCATTTTTTTCATATTTCCTGTGAAATCAGACATCATGGTCAGGAGGTCGACTCCCGTTTTATGGTGTGTAATACAGCCATGGATTTGCCAGGCGGCTAGCATTACCACCCTCCCCAAGCCAGATGATTCAGTCGTCCTTCCACGACAAGTCAACGGTGACGTGAGTTCCTCGACATTTCTGCGCAGAGCCTATCATGCGTGTGAGCATTGCCGTCATTGTCTTTTTCCTCAGTACACCAGGACCATTGGGCTAATTGAACCAAAGCCGCCGTTTTGGGCGGGCGAGTGTACATTGACGGTGGTGAGGTCTCGTACTACAGCGGTACTGACATCACCTTTCAATACTGTAAGACTCTCCACGCACTAACTGTCGAAATCATGGTATATCCTAACTCTACCCTAGCCAACTCGTTGCTTTCTATCGATCTAACCGAGGACTGGACAAGTGATTCAGTCCGGTTCGACTCAACATCCAAACCGACTGGTGCCGCCAATCTCAAGGGCGGAGGAATCTGGGTAGACGAGACGCAAGGTGTCCTATATACGGGATTCGCCGGCATTAAGTCGGATTTTGGAAATAACGCCAATCAGCCTCAAGGCCTATGGTCATTTAAGCCGGATGGTAAAGGAGGCGGAACCTGGCAAAACCTGAATAGTACTGCGGATAAGATGTTTACGGAAAAACTGAGACCGTTCCAGGGCAAGATAGCCAGTGGCAATGGCGTTGGTTACTTCCTCGGAGGTACGCAGGCTTTTTTCCCCCGACCTCCAAGACTTCTTTGTAAGTGATCCGTGAAGCTGACCTCGATCAACAGGCTTTAAATCAAACTTCGATGGACCGGTGAGTGGCCTTCTCACGTACGACTTCGCGTCGAAGAAGGCTATCAACACATCCGTCTCCCTTGCTTCCACACAAGGATCGGAGCAATTTGGCAGCATGCTCTACGTGCCCAACTTTGGCAAAAAGGGAATCCTGGTTTCCGTGGGAGGCTATATAGGGGATTTGCAGACAGACGATAGCAATGCCAGGCTGGCCTCCATGGACACCGCACGCATCTTCGACATTGACAGCAATGCTTGGTTCGAACAAAGCACATCGGGCACCTCGCCCAGGCCAAGGCAGGAATATTGTATGGCAGGAGTGGCATCGGACAACCAGACCTACGAGATCCTCATCTACGCCGGCTGGGGTCGCACTCTGGGCAGCGTATCTGTACCCTTCGACGATGCCTACGTGCTCACCCTGCCCGGGTTTTACTGGACCAAAGCTCCCTACACGGCACGGAATCCCAGACACGCGCTCAGCTGCAACGGGGTCGGTGGTGGTCAGATCATAACAATCGGAGGCGTCGACACTACTAGAGATGGACCCAACCCACTGTATAAGGTGGTTTTCACGACTACCGATCCATTCTCACAAGGCATCGCGGTGTTTGATCTCGCTACCTTGAAGATCACAGACACTTACACAGCGAACCGAACCTCGTACTCGCCTGCCCCTGCGATTCAGTCGTTCTATAACGACAAGTAAGTGACCTTCAACACCCCACCGAGAAACATGGCAAAACAAAGCAGAATAAATCACTAACCAAACTCTCCCTTGCACCACAACAGAGGCAGAAAACCCGAGTCCGGCTTCACCAACAGCCAACTAGAGTCCGTCTTTGCCCACCAAAAATTTAAAGCCACCAACAACAGCGACCCCTTCCCCCCCCCGACTCCCTCCTCGCCCCCGACTCCCTCCGACTCCTCCTCACCATCGCCCTCCGGCTCAACAGACCCCTCCAGCAGCAGCAAGGCAGGGCCCATCGCCGGCGGCGTGGTAGGCGGCGTCGCAGCCATTGCCGCGGCGATAGCGCTGGGCTATTTCCTTGCTCGCCGACGTACTAAGAAAAAGGGACTGTCTGAAGAAGGGGAACAACACCAAGAGCAGCAACAACAGCAGCAACAACAATCGCCGCAGCAGGGACAACAGCAAGTAGTACAGGAAACCAAGTGGCAGCCGGGGGGTTACGAACCTTATTCTGGTGGTGGTGGTGTTGAGGCGCCGTATACCGATGGGAATGGGAATGGATACAGCGGGGATAGATTGTACCAGCATCAACAGGTTCATGAGCTTCCGCCGCATCATGTTGTTCATGAGATGCCGGAGAGGCAGAATGTTAGTGAGATGCCGGAGAGGCAGAATGTTAGTGAGATGCCGGAGAGGCAGAATGTTAGTGAGATGCCGGAGAGGCAGAATGTTAGTGAGATGCCTTGAGATTATGGTGGTGACGGTGAAAGGATGGTGGTCAACACGACGAAATTAGATGAGACGAGTAATGGTGCGCCATGTAAGGGGAGTAAGGGGATGCTATACCACCTATTTTTTGGTTAAACCTTTTTCATTCTTTGACGAACTTATAAGAGATAGACGTTGATTCGATAAATTGAGGGTTATCCCTTTAAATGAAACGAGTAGACACATGAAATGGTGAACCGAGTGGTTGGTTATTCACAACATAGGTGGGCTACTGTTGCATTTCCTGTTTCTATTTCCAGTTTTATCTGGAAGTCTTTTTTCTACTTCAAGTCCCCCATCCTCCATTCTCACCGCCTCACAACTCCGCTCCATTTAGTAAAAAGCCATCTGCACAGCTGTATACGCCGCCGTCAACTTAAGCGTCAACAAGCCCACCGAGCTGATAATGCCGAACTTGGTGCGGGCCTGGGGGCCTCCCTTGGTGTAGCCAATGGCGTAGAACACCCTGCTCAAGCTCCACAGGCCGCCCAGCGCGCCGGCGAGCACGGGGTACTTGAGACCCGCGATGAGCATGGCGCCGATGGCGGGGGTGAGGTTTTCGGTGAAATTTGCGTGGGCGCGTTGGGCTTTTTGGTTGAATGTTAGCATTGGTTGACCGCAGGAGGTCAATGGAAAGAAGGGCCGGGGTGGGGGGATGGAAAGGAATAAATGACATACCGCAGTTAAAGGCTTTTGCCTTGGGGTCCTTCTCGGCTACCTCCTGAGAGGCATAGGCGGCGGGATACTTGACGCCCGAGGCCTTGCGCTGCTTGCCGGTGTTGATGGAGTGGAAGATGTTGATAAAGAAGGTGGAGACGGTGGCTAGGAGGACGTAGCTGTGATGTGTATGTTAGTACGAGGCCATCAAATGAACGACGGTGAGGGATGATGATGCAATGATTATATTACTTACCCGTACTCGTTGGGGAGAGTCACGATGATAGCCATTTTTGCTTGTTTGTCGTAGTGAGGTTGATTTAAGTTGTAGAGGTAATGGTGAAGAAGAGCAAGTAAAGGTGAGTGATATGTTGTTGACAAGTCTGAAGAGAAAGATGGTCTAGTATATAGAGTGAGGGAGGGAATGAAGGAAAGACCTCTCACGAATATCTCCTGACTATTTAACGGTTTTACTTTCAATCCTTTCCCTAGCCTCTTTCCTCTCTCTTCGGTGATATTAAAAGTTCACTTATAACACCGAACTTGATTAGTCAACCATATTCTATAACACCCGACTACAATGGCCCAAGTGTGAGTTAGTCCCAATTGAAAAGTGCCCAACTCCCCCCATCAAGAGGAGGTCATCTGTGGAGTTTCCACCTGCTTCCAACGCTAGCTATTGGCTAATCATGTGTAATCTCGGGGTCTATATCACGCCGGCGGCAGAAAGGACACGGGGCGATTCTGTGCCGACCGACCGACTGTTGTGACTTGTTTCCTTGTCGACGGCCGCTCGAAAGCCATCTCGAGGAGGTTATTTCGCTCTTCGAGGCTGTGCTCCTTATTCATTGTGAGTGAGTGCCATCTCGGTATGTTCTGTTAATCTTGGCCTCAGACTTTGCACGACACCACGGTTGCGGATATCGAATACAGTAGAAACCCTAGTAAATGCAACTAATACGGACTCTATGGGGAGGCTCCAGAAAAGTTGGATTTACTAGGAGTCTTGCAGTTACTAGGGTCACACTTACATACAAATGGGGCGAAGGCGCGCCACCAGTATACTTGCATATACTAGGTAACTCTATATGGACTTGCATTTTCTCGGGGTTGCATCTACTAGGGTTTCTACTGTAGCTTTTGTTGTGTGACGAACCGTTACAAGCACAGGAGTATATCGCTGGGAACAAAGAGTAGCAACGGTAGTAGTAGCCAAAGGGTACTGGTCGATTGTATCAGTTGGTTGCTTGCTGAAGAGCCGTAATATAAGAGGCCTGGGGAGGCCATCTTGCATATACGGGTCTTCACAAGGGGGCCGCCGCGCCGCTGTCTTGGTTGCGGCGCTGCGGCGCTCCGGAGCCGCCATCTCGGCGCCGTTGCTGCGGCGCCTGTACTGCGGCGCGCTCCTGATTGGCCTATCTAATCTGCTTACATAAGTGATCCCTTATTGGATCGTAACAACGTACCGGCCCTTGTCGCCTGAAGCTCCAAAGCATCTATCTAGCGATCTGTATATATATAGATCTTTTTGAATACCTTTATCTATTCTCTATCTTCCTTCTGGCGCTGTCCTTCATCCGGGCGCCGTACTTCTTACTTGGTTGGCTGTAGTTGCTTCTAGAATAGTTGGAGATTGTCTCATAGTATTTTATTAGCGTCTTCGGCGCTTCTATAGTTGGCTCGCTAGTCCGGTGGTGTCGAGAGGGGTTCGGGTAAGTAGTACCCGTGGCCGAGAGTCTGGCTGAGGTAAGTATTGCAGCCGGAGGCTACCGAATATTTCGAGGCTAATACCGAGTATTGAGGCTCTACTGAGCTTTGCCACCCTGGCCTTAGATTGTAAGCAATATCCGTATAACACGGCAATAATTGAAGCAAACAAATCTAGCTAAGTAATATAAATCACGGGTTAATCCCGTAGCATTTGGACTGTACAGGCACCTGCAAAAGGAGAATCAAAGGATAGAATAGTCTTGCTTCTTTATAATAGAATACGTTATCTTAATAATAATAGAAGGTTACTAGAATTTATAAAATCCCTATAAATTTGCCTATCCTCCCAAACCCTTCTAGTAGCACGCTAGAAAAATGAAATAGAGAGAAAGTAGTTGGGAGAGACTTAGAATACATTATATATCTCGCGAGAAACCGATAAATGAAACTTATCCTATTGCGCTACTAATAGATATTATCCGCTCTTGGAAGACGGAGCAAAAGGCTCGACGTTCTGGTGGCAGCCAGAGTACATTCTGGCCGTTGCAAGTAATCTAAGACCCATTTGAACCTAAGTTATAGCCATGTCTCTCTGAGGAGGTTGGACTGGACGAGGCTGAACCTGGTTGCCTGAAGCTATAACGCATCGATGAGGCTGATGCCAGGCCTTGAGGCCACAGAGCCTCAATATCCTAACCTTAGGGTGTTAATGAATGTTGCTGGCGAATGTCCGTGTGATATTAACTGTAATGAGAGTCGACGTATGATTCGGTCGGAGCGCCTTCTCGTAGCCTTCTAGTGCCCGTTTATATATTATTTCGGTGTACGAACCATCGGGGGAGTTAATGCAATATGACCATTGTTAGTCTGGCAACGTATTAGATATTAACTCAAAGCGCTAAGCTTATAACACCTACGAATGGGCGTAGAGCCACCGAAGACTTGTTTACTAAATATTTCGCCTTAATAGAAACGTAGATTTAGAAAGGCAAATAATATCGCAGATTACTTTAGAGAAATCTTTGATTGGGTTATTATTATAGCGAAGCAAGCGAAATATTAGTACGAGGCGGGCGTAAATACTAAGCGTTTAAATACCCCTAAAGTACAAACCGAGCGATATAGTATTATTAGAATACAATTATAATAGTATAGCCTAGTTACTATTGTACTTAATATTAGTTTAATACTAACCTAGTATAGTTTGTGATGTATATAGTTATATAAGGGGAGGAAAGTGGGAGTGTATACCTAATTGGGAATAAGGGTACTAGTATATTCTACTAAGGTACGTAATAAGTATATATAATATATATTAGTAATTATATTAGGACTACTAAAAGGCTTTATAGTTATAAAAAGGAAAAGAAGACCCAGCTAATTAAATAATTCTATAGTAAGTAATAAAGGTTATTTACTACTAAGAATAGTATTTATAATTTATAAACAATATTTATTTTATACCTTTTGGCTATACCGAATAGTATTTGATAGTCTTTACCTTTAATTATCCTATTTAGGTAGATTAGACCTGCCGTTCGTTATACCTATAGATGGAATTCCTTGCCTTGCTTTAATTACTATTTTTATAAACTTCTTTCTATTATTAATACTAATACTTTCGACCCATTCTAGCATATTAATATAAGATTTCTTATCTATAATATACCAATTCCACTACTTATTAAAACTACTTCGCAAGAGAACTTTGAATAATGGTTTAATAAACCGTCTATTAAGAAAGGTAGTGTAAAATTCCTTATATCTTCTTAATAGAGCCTCTACTAAGTCGCCTGCACGTTCGGATTCCAATAATTATGCTAGGGCCGTAAGGAGCTCGCCGGATAAGCTGGACTGGGCTTGCAAGACCTGTAAGGCAGCCTTTCTAACCCCCCAATCCTCATCTCCTAAACGTGCTATTAGATTGGCGATGGGCGGCGGGATTGTTGGTCGTTTTGCTACCGAGTTAAGAATGCTGAGCTTTATATCAATCCCTTCTTCTAAGACGTCTAATAAAGCTAGGTCTAGAAATTCCACCTCGCTTGCTAACCGTGTTTTGCCTATAAATTTATATTTAAAGAGCAGCTACTCTTTTAGCTTATCTTCCAGCCCCTTTCACAATAATATCTCCGTCGATACTTCGCTCAAATAATATATAACCAGCCATTGGTACGTAGGACCTAACAAATTATACGGTTCGTCCTCAATCGCTTGGAAGAACTCTTCTGCTTTGTTTTTAGCATTAAGCAAGCCGGTAATAAAACGCTATAGGATATTGTAACGGGCTGTATATTTATTCTTACAAAGAAATTGGATAGCCTTAATAGAAGTAGGATTTTCATTCTTTTAACTATTGAGTATTAGGTATTCGAGGGGCTTGTTAGCCTTCTATTACCGTACAAAGTACTTAGCCGCAAAATACTCTTAGTAGGTTAGATATAGAAAGTAATAGGTTTGATTATTAAATTTCGCTAATAAATTTAATGTTCGGAGAAAGGAGAGGCGCGATACTGTTTTATTAAATAAAATACTATAGGTAAAGTAGCGGGATATTTGGTCGAGATGTTTTGATTCAAATTCAATTGTATTATTCTGTAGTCTAGTAAAAGTAAGGCTTTCCAGAAATAAAATCTCCTTTGGAACGAGATTTTCAATTCCGGTGCGATTAGCCTTTTAGATGTAAACTATTATTACTAATTCGCCGTCGTGCTTCTTTTTCAACCGCGGGATATCCTTCTTCTATAGACTTTAGTCAATGGCTCGGTAAACGTCCGTTATAGTGTCAAGCCTCGAGCTACAATTGACGTCGTTGTTATCCTAGGCGAAATAGAGCGCATCTAGCTGAACTGGAATCCGCATAAGGCCTTGGATAAAGCTACGACTTTCAAGAAACGAGTGAGCGCGGTCAGTTGTTTTTGGGTTATTGAAAGCTATTTTAATATAGCCCTTTTGTAACGAACGGCAGTCTAATCTACTTAAATAAGATAACTAAAGGTATAAGATTATTAATGCTGTTCGGTGAAGCCAAAAGGTTCACAACAAGTATGTGTGCGTGATATTGGTCTTAATGATAATAATCAAGTTGTATTGACTACTATCGAACTATCTAATAATCTGAGTTCTCTAATCGTCCCTTTATACTCTTATTCTACTACGAAATGTCTATCTCTAGCTGTTTATACAAGCGTGAACCCCTAAGCGTAGTAACAGTTTATTTGTAGTATTACTTACTACGAACGCCTGCTTACTAGTGAACATCTGCTTACTATAAGCGCCTACTCACTATAAGTACTGGCTTACTGGTGAGCACCTACATATAGTGAGCCTATATATAGCTTCTGCGCCCTTCCTGACCAACCCTATCTCTAAGGGTTATACTAGTCACCTTCGAGCGGGGCTGTCGGATTCCGATGGCTTGGGCGGCCCCTATATCGCTTAAATTCGTAATACCTTTACTTATTTTGGGTAGAACCCAATCGTCTCCAATTCGAGATTTAGACTAACCGAAGGCTTATTATATAGATAGGACGTAATAATAACGTTCGGCTACTCTAGCAACTTATTAAGGAAGCTGGATATATCGCCTTCGCTCAAGTCCTACGATACTTCGTCTAAACCATTAAGGAGAAATAGAGTCCTGCTCCTCTTCTCCGGTATACTAAATAATATATCGGACAATACTCGGACGAGGTTTTCTTTACTCTCCGGCCCAGAAAAATATTTATAATTAAAGAGGTAGAAGAAATTGTATCCGGCCTAGCGTCGTTTTTCTTCCAGCTTTAGATTCCGTAGAGGCACCTACAATATACGGTCGAATAATTCAGTCCATTCGGGTTATTCGCCACGTATAAACAAATAGATAATTTTTTTATATAGAGTAGTCTTCCCTACTCCGGCGCGTCTTCGAATAAAGATTCTTCTTAGTTGTATCTTACAACCGTTAGATTCTTTACATTCCTTGAAGAACGATGGTAAATCGGCTTAAATTGTCCCGTATAGCGTTTCTACTTTTAGTCAAGTAATAAATAAAAATAGGGAAGATTGCGAGACCGATTCTTCTTATAATTCCTTTTTCGAATAGTCTTTATCTTAGCCGGTCCGCTCTATAATAGAAAGATTAATATAATATTAATTTATTGGTAATTCTATACCTAAGAGCTGTTTAATTGTAAGTCTATCCTTAGTATAGTATTTCTTATATATCTAAATATTTGTTTGCGCGAGGGGGATTCCTTTACGGATCTTTCTAATAAATTCTAAGATTTTTCCAGAAACCTTCTTATAATTTGCATATTTACGGCTACCGAACTTATTCATTAGACTATAGGTCCGATCGAGTAATAGTAATTCGAAAATGATATCTAGTATTACTAAAGACCTCCCAACTAACTGGTAAATATTAGTTATAACACAGGGGATACTAATACTTTAAAATTTCTTATTAATTTTCCTTTAAAAAATAAAGTAGGTAACCAAGGGAATATTTTACGCCACAAATTCATCATTCCGAATTTATAAAAGTTGAATATTAGAACGGGCCAATTTAAATATTAATAAAATTATATAAACTTACGTACGAGTGCTTCAAAATCAAAGGTCGATCCTTTTATACTATCGAGTAACTTATTCACTTTTCGGTCGCAAATTAATACCTATACGGTCAAACCTAGATCTATTTAGTAAATTACCTTTTGAAACGAAGTCCCTCGGAACGGGGTAGCGAGGAAAACAATACTACATATTACTATTATAAGGCAGGAATAGCTTTCGCTATATTTATCATTAGCAGTAGTCGTAAGAGCTCTTATTAAAATAATCCCCCTAAGACAAGAAGCAATAAAGAGGATCGGTCTATCTCTTATTTTATTCTTTACTAAGAGTTCTCTATCGATACTATTAATTAGGAGCGTAACGATCTTACTATTAAGCTTCGGGACTAAATCTAACGGTTAAAGTAAGTCGGTAAACTAGTCTAATATAAAGATACGTGCCTTTTCTACGTCGATCGGGAGTAAATCGGCTAGCCAATTAACGTTATCCTTGGGATTCCGCCGATCCTGCTATATCTACGTATCCGGCGACTTCGTATTGAGGCTATGGATAGTAATAATATTGATAACGGTGTCTCTATTATCCTTAGTAACTTAATTGAGACGAACGCCTTGCCTCGTAGATTATATAGAATCTAAAGCGAGTCTCGCCGGAGACGACAGTGCGGGACCGGGACCCGCGGACGCACGGAACCAAAGCCAAGCGGTGATCGCACCGATAGGGAAATATAAGGTCGTCTTCTATACTGCCCAAGAAATACTTCTATTAAAATCTATAGTAATTAAGGTTCGGGTACCGGGAGAGGAGCTTGTATAGCCGTAACCGAGAACCGTACTAGTATACCCGCACTGCGGATATTGTATTCTAGCGGACGTTAATAGGGCTACTACTAAGTAGATATTATTTCGGCCTTTGTATTTAATAGTATAGATAAAATGTTTAATAGCGTAGAATAATATATTTAATACCAATCGCTTCTCGTAGGCAGGGGCTCAAATACTTAATATTAAAAATCGAACTGGTTTAATAATCTTTGCTCAGCCCTACATCGAAATAAGGCCAAAATGCTATAAAGCGTCCATACCCAATTATCTCGATCTAAGAGGTTAAATATAAGGGGTTTGGTACCCGGTGTTAACTTAGCTTATATACTAGGCTGGAGCCTTTAATTAGGTGTATCCGACCATCGAGACTAGCTCGGCGGCTAGGTACAATTTTAATTGGCCTACTAACGACGCCGGTAGGTTAGCGGTTTGCGATTTGGAGAATTGGTTATACCCTATAGAGCATCTACTGCTATAGCTAAAATGATAGCGCGATGGGCTTTAAGTAATAAATTAAATTTTAATAGGCTGGAGGTCCTGTTGCGCGAGTAATGGAGGGTGTTTGAAGGAGATATTTTTATTTTTCTTTTGGTGTTGCGCTTTATCTATGTATTTTCTTACTTTCATAAAAGCATTAGCCGCGCAGTTGGAATTGTAGTACAACGACATCGACGTAGCTACCACCGACTGAAGACGGGAAGCGACACGAAATACCAACGCTGCGAGCACGATTATTATCACTATAAACGCGATAGCTCCTGAGCCGGACATGGACTAAAACCCCCCATTAAGTCCAAACCGGATAATATCCTCTAACAATTCCAAATCTCAAATTCAAATGACATACAGAACAGTATGTCCTACCAATTGCCATTCACTTCCACTTAACGTCTATATCCTCGCTGAGTACTAACAGTCTATCCTATTAGGTATTATTAACTCCTTTCCAAACAGCCCTCTTTCCCCTTTCCTTTACCACCTACTCTACTATCCATTCCACTACCAACCCTCCCTCCTCAACATCCTACACACACTTCTTCCCAGCCTCGCACTGCAATATCCGCCCTTATAAAGCAATCGACGACCTCGAATCGCTTTACAAAGGCCCTTCGCCCTCTTTTATCGCCCGCGAATTCGACCTCTCCCGGCTACACTCTATTCGCCATCTGCTCTGGCTAGCCGGGCGTCCGGTACCGCCCCACCCTTTGTACCAATAAGTGCTTATAAATCGGGAGCTAATAGTAACTAAAAAGCTCGAGCAATATTTAGTATAGGGAGGAGGCAGGGTATTTCTAAAGCCTATTAGTAAGTTTTTATTGACGAGGGAGTTTTGGATAAGGGAGTTAATATATAAAGGCAAGGAGAGCTATCGAGGAGTAATAGTAGCGCTAAATAATAAGGAACGGGAAAGAGATCGGGAAGCAAATAATAAAGGATAAAAGAAGGATGACGCGGGAGTATGTAAATAATACGAAAGCTAATAAGTAGCATTTGGATTTTTATTTAATTATATTAGTTTAGTATAAAGGGAGAGCGATTTTAATTTCGCTATTGTTAAGGGCCTTCTCCTATACGAAGTAACCTAGGATTAATAGTATTTCTTCGTAGACAAACTACTCGCCCCGCGAAATATAATATATAAGAATATTACTATTTAGTTTATTTATAGCGAATTACAATTAAACCAACTTAATTTTATTTATATATTTATACGGGGGCTTTTATTATTGGGGTTTATAATTATATAGACTTTATATAGGCAATTTATTATATAAAATAGCGCGTAGGTTATAGGCGGGACGGTATAGATTATAGTAATTCTATTAGGGATATAAAGTCGGGTTGGGTACTATATTAAAGGAAGAGGGGGTATTTAAGAGGGCAAATTATAGGTTTACGGTATTTTCGATCTTAGGGCCGATTAGTGCTATAGTACTAATTTTTACGTATATAATAGTATTATTTGTATAGAATTTTATAAGAACGAGGAGGTTTGAAGTCTAGAGGAGTTAAAGGCTCGGAAAGACTTGGAGTAGGTTATATCTAGAGATTGGGAGACTAGGGATAAGGATAGGGAAGAGGATAGGGATAGGGATAGGGATGGGGACAGGGATGGGGACGGGGATGGAGATAGGGATGGAGATGGAGATGGGGGCGCTGGGGAGAGGGAGGACGGGGGATATGGAGGTGTGAGGGAGTAAGCGGTTGGGCTGATGGATGTACAAAATGGAATCCCGCGTCAGTAGGTTAATTGTCTTCGTACTGAAGATCCCAATGGCTCGGGCGGTGCGACTGAGATAGAGTGTTAGTAGTAGGACAATACTAGCGAGTTTACTCGCACCAAGGTTAAGGACGGAGGGAACAAGAGGTACTTCGATGTGAATATTAAGTTTAGTGCCTCCGGTGTCTCGTCTGGCCATGTTGCGCTGAATGAGGTGTTGATCCCTGCACAGGCTCCGAGGGACACTACCTTAGAGAATAAGTATGTTAACACGTTGTACTTAGTCTGGGGAGGTGGGAGACTAAGGAGGTTCCTTTAATGTTAGAAATTTATTACAATTAAATTAAACTACTTTGGGGCGTTGCCTGCTACCCTCACCGAATTCAGCGGACATTAGTGTTAGTTATGTGCTATAGTAATAGCAGACTACCCACATCGACCAAGTAGTTGAGGAACCCTAACCCTAGAGCTGGTTGAGACAGCTCTAGGGTTAGGGTTTTAACCGCTATATCTAGAAATACAGCTCTATACAATTACTATTCGCTACATTTTCGCACCTCTCGAAGGATTGATTGATTAAAGAAATGCGAGAAAAGAACGAGCAAACGCTATTTCTCAGCTAGAAATAGGAACCTATTCCAACTTTTCTCTTATGCCTACATATGAAACGAGTTAGAAGGGAAATTTTTCAATACCTTATAGAGCACCCAACACTTTAATAAACGGACTATCGGCTTCCGAAGCAAACGTCCAAATTGTTGGAGTTGGATTTATTCTACTAGAAGACGACTATAACCAAGCACATCCTTAGTATCTACGTTCGTACTAAATTATTAGCCGCTTAGTGCAAGTATTCCGAGGGAACTGAACGATAATTTAGCTTGGTGTACCCTAGAGAAAGTGGGGCTATTATAGAATAATTAGATAGTATACAATTGGAAAGAAATATAGCATTTTAAAGTAATAGCCTAATTATACTATATATTTTATAGTATTATATATATTAAATATTACTAATAGGTGAAAATTTTCTTAAATCCAGAACGGATACCTTGGATGTTTAAAGTCTATAATGCAATAGTGTATATCACTTCCTATTCTAGTTCTTTTAAGAAGGGCGAAGGTAGCGAGCTATAGGAAGATTCTTTAATATAAATATTATAATATTACGAATCCCTGAATTAATTTGTTTATAGCGTGAGGCCGCTTTAATAAAGCGGGATTGCCGTTTGGTAGTGCTATTGTAGTTCTAAAGTGAAGTAGATTTGATCGGATGCGGGGATTGCGCGGGTAGTATAGCTGACTATTTCTACTAAATCGTTATCTTTTGGATCCGTATTACCTTTAGTTTATAGTCGATTATACTTTAGATTAGAGCACGCTTATAGAGAGGGAGATGTAGTATTGTGGTTCTAGGAGGAGATATTTTAGTAGGAGAGACGGAGATAGTATTCTAATTTATATTCTATATACTTAGGATTTTAATTTACTATATTTTATTACTTCTTCTATTATACTTTCTCTTTTCCTCTTCTTCTATTCCTATTTTAGTAGGTATTCCTTATTAATAACTACTCCTATTTATTTATTACAACTGTAAATATCTAATATATATATAAGCTACGAAATAAAGTTATTAATTTGAATATTCTCCCCTTCTTTCTTATATTTTAAATAATTAAATAGTTCTACTATTCTATAATACTTATTTGTATACTTTAATAAACTATTTCTAGTATGGAACAATTGGCCGCATTTTAAATAAGGAGCGGATTTCGATTTGGTAATTATAACTATTAGTTTAGGTTTAACAATTAATTTAATAAAGAGAATTAGAGTATTAATAAAACTATATACTCTTTTAATATAATTATTCTATTTTAATACCCTCTCGATTCTATATTCCTCCTTTCCTTACTACTAATATTCGGGGTATAAGAAAGGTTTAAAGGTTATTACTATAAAATAGACGTTCTAATAGTGTCTATTGAAGTTATATCGACGAATAAAACTTTATAGGTAGAAAAGTTATATAGAGAATATAAAAGCTACTTTTTTATATTCGGAAGCTATTTACTCTATTTTTTAAATAATTCTTTCTACTTTTCCGTACTTATTATTTAAATATATAAAAAGTATTTCCGATACTATAAGCTACTTTTGGGTAGTTTAATTAGAATTATTATTAATTGAATTTGGAAAAACTATTTTTATAATAGTATTGGAAATTGGATTTTTAGGGTTTAAATATTAATTAATAATTATTACTATAAGTAAATTAGGACTAAAAGAGTATTTAAAAGGATTTAGAGGGGGGGTTAATATATTTTTAATTAATAGGCTACAAACCCTAAGAGAATCAATTTTAGCGAAATAGTTTTCTTAAATCTATTTGATAGCCAAATTTAATAATACTGTCCGTAGATTTCCAATTTTTATAGTAAATTACTTTACCTCTCTATTATTTATAGAGAGTTTAAGCTCTTCCTAGAAGTAATAATACTATACGTAAAGTGCTTTTATATTTTTATAATTTTTAAACGTTTTTAGTGTAGCCGTTATTAAGTAAAGTTGTGAAAGCGTGATCCTACGAGAGATAGACTGCAAGACTAGAAGCCACAAATCAAAGTAATATTAAGTGTAAAGGAGGAAAGGGAAGTGGTACGAACGAAGGCATTCGGAATCGGACATATAAGTCCGGATTCTGCCAGCGGTCGCCGCCTTCCCGATCCGGATCGCTATCGATAAGAACCTGAGCCTCATTCCGTCCGATGTACCCATGGTGCCCGGTGCTCTGGGCATCTGTCCGAGCACGCCATGACACTACCAATCCTTATTCCTGTTAGTTCGGAATTGCGCTAATAGGGGTAGAATATAGTTTTTTTTAGGCGCTACCTCGATTTAGCGTATAATCTTCCCTCGCCTATACTAGAAATTATATATTAATTGCTTTAGATTATTTTATAATTATTAATAAAACATTAATATTATTTTAAAGGTATATTATAGTTCGGTGTATTATAGGGGTAGACGTTGTATTTAATTTTCTTTAAAAAGATATTTTTATACTACTAATAGTATATACAATTAGTAGCCGACCTATATTAAATTAGGAATTTAAGTATTAATAGGTAGTATCTATTAGGCATTTTAATATTTAAACTAATTTAGAAGGCTAGATATTGATAATTAATACTGTAAATATATATATTTTGCTAATATATCCGTTATCCTATAGCTTTAAGACTACCTTTAGTTAGGGATAAGTCTTTTAAACTACAAACTAAAGTTTAAGGATACTATACCTTTAAAATTTTGGTCGGTTAATTAATTAATTAATACTCATTTTTTCGTTCTATTCTATTAACCCCTTATTTTCTCCCTAAATATTATAAAATAATTAACTCCTTTAATTCTATACGTTTAATCTTGTAAATATGTATTATATATACTCCAAAGCTCAATCTTTATAATATAAAAAGGTGTGACGAACAGGCCGTCTGATCTGCCTAAGTGAGATAGCTGAAGGTAAAGACTATCAGTGCTGTTCGGTGAAGCCAAAAGGTTCACAACAAGTATGATCGTGATACTGGTCTCGGTGATATTGATCTATTGACAACTGTCGAACTATCTGACAATCTGAGTTCTCTAGTCGCCCTTTTATATCTATTGTGCTTACAGGTGGTTTGCTGTTTTCCGTAGGTTGGCTCATGGTGATAGTGTTGGCTCATTCCTGTGAGCCGAGCTCATTCTTGAGCCTGGCTCACCACCATGAGCTGGGCTCATTCATGAGCCTGGCTCACCTTTATGAGCCTGGCCTGGTTCATGAGCCTGGCCCACCGTAAGCCTTGTTCCCTGCCCATGGTTACACTGCCCAGCCTTCACGTGCCTGCTGTGTACCGGCAGTCCGGTTGGCCCGTGTCCTTCTGCTTATTAGTTCGTAACAAAAGGTCCTAATCTTTTTATAATTCTAATTTGGGTTTCCAATGCTAATACCGGCCCGGGGGTTCAATATAATAATAACGCCGCAAGGCCGCAATATAACTATAACTATTATAAATATAAATTTCTACTACGGGTAATAATAGTATAAGCTTATATTAATATTTAATAATATTAAAGCGGCTATAGGATAAGGTTTACGAAGATTACCTTTATTTAATAAAATTGTAGTCCGGAGACCCGCGAAACCCGTACGTCGAAAAGGAGTAGATTAAATTAGCGAAGGGTAGTCTATTAATTAATACTTACCGTTAGGTTTTTAATAACCCCGACTTTAACCGATAGCGCTAATTGTAGGAGAATTACTTACTCTAAATTAAGGGAGATCTAGAAGTAAGATTATATTGTTATATAGTATTATTAATAAATTAAAGCGGCATATAATCGCTAATAGCGGTAATTTAGCATATTTTTTCTACTAAATTACTAATTTATATATTAATAATATAATTACTATACTATAAAGTTTAATTTACCTATTTAGCTACTAATAACTACGCTTACTCTTATATTTACTGGAAAATATATACCCCTCTAATAATACAATAGTATAAATCGTCCTATTTAAAGTTCTACGCAAAATACTAAAAGACTCGAATCTAAAAATTATTTATCTAGTAATTAATACTCTAAATAAATATATAATAGACCAATTGTAACTTCTCGAATTAATTGTTTAAATATTATCTATATCTATTTGTATTAAGTAGTTTATATTTAGTTGCAATAAGGTATAGATCGAAGAATAGTTGGCGATCGTTGTACAGTAGTCTAGATTCAACTTTGAACTAAATGCCAAATCCGTTACTACTACTATTAGTATATATATCCGCTATAAAAAGTCCTTGACTTATTACGGTAGAAATAATATAATAATATAATATAAACGGTTATATATAATTATTTCTCTTCTAACGTAAATAGGATTTTTCTTTGGGTAGCCTTAATTTGTTAAGTACTTACCGGCCCGAGCGTTCAGAGGTAGGAGACATTTATAAAATTATAAGCATTCCCCCCCGGGTTAGATTCCTTATATATTGTGACGAACGGCAGTCTGATCTGCCTAAGTGAGATAGCTGAAGGTATAAGACTATCAGTGCTGTCCGGTGAAGCCAAAAGGTTCACAATAAGTACGCGTGCGTGATACTGGTCTCGGTGATAATGATCTATTGACTACTATCGAACTATCTGACAATCTGAGTTCTCCAGTCGTCCCTTTATACTTCTTCGTTCTATTGCGAGATGTCTGTCTCTGGCTGTTCACGCAAGCGTGAACCCCTAAGTGTGGTGATGGCTCATTCGTAGTATTGCTCACCGCGAACGCCTACTCACCAGTGAGCACCTGCTCACCGTGAGCACTGGCTCACTGGTGAGCACCTGCATATGGTGAGCCCGTGCATAGCTTATACGCCCTTCCTAACCAATCCTATCTCTGAGGGTTACACCAGTCACCTTCGAGCGGGGCTGTCGGGTCCCGATGGCTTGGGCGGCCCCTGTGTCGCTTAAGTTCGTAACATATATACAGATAATGGAGCAGATTATTTAATCCAATTATACGAATCTATATAGGCAAATTCTTACCGTCTCCTCTATCGTTCGCCGACCTATTAACCTTCAAGAATTAACTACTCTCGTTGAAATATTAAACAATATTTTAAATAATCCGCAATCCTTAAAAGAGCTTATAGGGCTTTACGGCTCGTTTTTGACTCTTCGAAACTAGACTATTTATTTTATTTACTAATTAGCTAAGGACTTTCTATTAGGTAATACTTCTAATAAAGCTGGCAACTAAGCTTCTTAGGAGGCGTTTAAATAGATTTTTCCTTCTAGGAAAGAAGATATAAATTATATTATCTTCTTAAAGTTACTTAAAGCTATATTTATAATATTACAACGCGATATATATAATTTAAACGTACCGGGATTTTTAAGCGACAAGGTCCAAGTGCCGGATCCGGACCCGCTAGCGACGGTACGGTACTCGTACGTTTACTAGGTTAATCACTTATATAATTCGGTTTCCGGTACGAATATAAAACGGGATAATCTTTTATGTAATAATAGGGTTATTTATATATTCCTTAAGACGAAGTACTTTTACTAACTGGAAGCTCTAAATTTATTTTAAATTATATTTGCGGGCGTTATTACTATTAGAAAGCTCGAGGGCCTACTAGTAAATATAAATCTAATTCCGTATTAGGAATTTAATTTAATTAAAAATATAAGGAGGTAAAAATTAGTCGTAATTATTAAAGTTTATTTAGGATATTTACCGGTTTACTCTATTTTACAAATTAATAATAGAGTAAATTCTACTTTAAATATATATATTAGCGCTTATATTTGCCCTAAGTAGTAACTTAATAAAAATGAATTTTAAGGTAGAAGAACCTAATTGGATTCGAAGTAAGTTGGCTATAGAATTAGATTAGAATATATACCTCCAAACTTTAGAAGGCTATAGCGGTTTGGTTTATTCAATAGTATTTTTGCCTAATAGTTAGCGGCTCGCATCCGGTGCGTGTAATAATATAATAACGAATTCCTATATCCCTAAAATATATAGTAAGAGTTCTCCTTGCGGCTATCGCTAGCGTCGAGGTGTGCGAGATGTATAGATTCTAAGCTTTACGGCAGCCTATTCACACTTACATCCCGCCAGTCGGGGACCCTACTTAGTAACTCGCTTGGTTGGTCTCTTGGACGGGGCAGACAATATCCGATATTATATAGTACATCGCTAGCAAAAAACGATATAAGAAACGCCTTAATTAAAGATTGCGTAGCCTAAGTAAATAGATCAACTTATGCTATATTTTTATAATTGATATAGCCAAACGGACGACGGTTATCATTAGAAAGGAAGCCGAATATACCGTAGACGATATCGCGTAAGTTAGTCGCGCAATACTATAGACGCTCGATTTAGTTGGAGAAAGCTATAAGAATAGTACCTAAGCTTAATTTCGTTCCGCAGCAAAGTAATTAACAAATGAATATAGCCTTATTTGGATAAAGATGGGAAGGGAACCGCTTATAGAACCCGCGCCGTAGTAGATAATTATTTAAGAATAAGGCATATCCCTTACGGAATTTCTAGAAGGCTTTTAGCACCGCTTCGAAGTATAAAATCGATATAAACTTTTCTCTATATATAAGAAGTACTTCCCGGGCTAAGGCCACCTCCTAAAATATTTATATCCGGTGCTAATACTTATTTATTAATAGGTAAATGATACTAATTTTTAGATTACTTAAGACGGATTTCCCACGTATCCTACGTAGCTCTTTAATATAGAGTAAATCGTAGAAGAACCTTACTATATTATACCCCTTAAAATTAAAAATATTATACATACTCTAGATATACCAACTCTTTTCATTATTATCGGATTATTAAATATATATAACGTCGGCCCAGAACTAGGATTCTATATTGTAATACTAAAGTATTTAGAGAAGCGTATATAGGTTCTCGCTAATAAAAAACTATTCGCCGTTAACCTTAATATCGTCTTTATCCTTTATATCTCCCTATATATATAATAGCGTACAATATTAGAGGGCATTATCGTTAAGAGAGGTGTAGTGAAGTTTAAGACTAATACGGTCGGGAGTCGATTAGTAGGCGGGACTGTATTGGAATATACAAGTCTCACGCTTTTTGCAGCTCAGAGGGCTATATATGAATATTATTAGCAATATTTATTTGTTTGGACTGGGAGGTGAGTTTCCCGGATTGGAGTAGCTATTACTATTAGTGGTTTAGTGCAGCGGGTATAGTAGTTTTACAAATAGTAAACAGAAGGAGTGGTTCCTTCTAAATATTAAATAATAAAAATACCAAAGATTTGAAGGAGAACCCCAGGTGATAAGAATATAACTATGAGGAAGGAGTGTATCTGGCCGAAGACCTCTACGTAATGTGAATTACCTGTCACCTGCGCCGGTTCTGTCTCTGCTCCTCCACAATTTGTGTAGATCCAACTTTTCCCTAATAACTATTGTAAGCAAAAGAACAAACTTTGACGGCACTTTATAATTTCTTATCCTCTTATTTGCTTTCAAATCCTAGGTTTATCTTATTTATAGACGATACCTTATTATTAGGCTATTACTATATTTGCTATTAATATGTACCCCGTACAGAATAACCTTCTATACCTACAATACTTGCCTATTAAGACTCGGCCTAACCCTGCCTATATCCGCACCTAGCTATAATTATTACTCTCGATACTATTAGGTATTATTTCATATCCCGTGATTAGATCATGGGCATTCAGGCCGAGTTCAGGATGACCACTGTCTATCGGAAAGTCTTGGCATGCGTGAGGGGTACCTGGCTGCGATGTGACAGAACAGGATGGCCAATGATCCAGAAATGTAGAGACCTCGTTGTCCTAGGTCTGTCAAAGCCAAACGAGGTTGAAGCACTTCGAGGATGTGGGTAAGAAACACCACAGAAATTCTGAGAGCTTTGAGTAGTCCGCTGTGTGTGAAATCTGACAGTTGCTGACTTCTTCTTCTGGATATCAGTACTTCTTTAGCGCACGCAGCTCCCGCAAAAAGTCAAGCTCCAATGTCCATACTACCAGCGAGAACAGAAGCTTCGAATTTGACGATGACATCTTGAGCATTTGCTCGGCATGTCTATCCGTTTATTCGTGCTAATTCAGAGCCCGTTGGTTACCGTGACTTCACATTCCATGGCACCAACAAAACTCCGTACCCAGAGTAGACGACAAAGGACGCGGAATTATGCCGTACGTTTCCCGCAATTAGCAATGCCAGTATCAAATTGGAAGCACTAATGGCCAGGACCATTGCAAGTTTCGGACGAATATTATGATTGAAGCACCCCTTCATCTATGCCATGTGAACGCTAGCATTGTCAATGCCGTCCACAGCACATACGGTTTACACTTCGTTCACATTTGATGTTAGGTCCGGGGATTGTATCCGAGATGAGATCATGACCGGTCACTGGTATGTATGTTGTATGCTGAGCTCAGCTCGTACATGGAGGGACAAGTCCCTAGGCGGTTTTTGACAGTTGGTGAGGCAGAAATATGATCACTTTATCCACAACAGTCCGTCGTCTTTCTATGTCCGAGGCGTTTAAGGCTACGATGAGACGAGGCTTGATTCGAATAGAGCAACCCGTGTTTGTGAGCGGCAAACATCAGCTGGCCGTTGGCGGCATTACATTCTGCTTTGGGTTTGGCGGGCGTGTTGCCGGTTGTTCCTTCCCGTCTTTCTCCTGTACAAGTTGTTCGTGAAATTGCACCTTCTTGGTGTGATAAATGAAAAGTTTTCGGGCTTTTCATCGTAGGTTCCCTTGGTACTAACAAATTCTACAGCTTCAGTTTCTTCGCGAAAAAAAACCTCGCTAGCGGCTCGCCACCAAAAGGAGATATGTCATCAACGATCAAACCCAAAAGCCACCCTCCAGAGCAACAGAAGCAGAAGAACCGGACTACTCACTATTCACCTCCTCCCAAAAGCGATGGATCATCTTCATCGCCGCCCTCGGCGGCTGGTTCTCCACCGCCAGCAGTTTTATTTACTTCCACGCGATCCCCTTCCTCGCTCGCGATCTGCACGTCAGTATCGAGAAGATCAACCTCAGCGTTACCTCGTACCTGGTCGTCTTGGGAATCTTTCCCTCAATAACCGGCAGCGCAGCAGATCGATACGGACGACGCCCGGTGTTCATCGCTACTCTCGCTGTGTATGTGGCTGTTGCGCGATTATAGCTATATGTAACGAACCGTTACAAGCACAAGAGTATATCGCTGGGATGATCAATAGACAACGGTAGTAGTAGCCAAAAGGTACTAATCGATTATAGAAGCTATTGCTTACTGAAGAACCCAGTATACCAGGAAGCCCGGGAGGGCTTCCTTATATATTAGGTCTTCAGCCGGACCCGTAAACCCGAGTTTCCCCCTCGGGTCCCGGTTTGGACCCGGCCTTCAAGGCCGGTCCTTCGGGTCCTATCTTCGGGTCCTACCTTATTGGTTGGTTTTATTTAGATATATAATTGGATTGTAATATAATACCCCCTCTCCTATAGCTTTATCCCAAACGCTATAATATAACCTTATAATATATAATAAAGGAATTACGGGGGTTGGGTACTAGCCGGTTATTAATTGTAACTTTATTACTTATTATTCCCAACGCTTCCTCCCTTTCCTACTTCCTTTAATTTTAATAATCTTATATCACCTAATTTCTTTTTGTCCTAATAAATTTTCCTTTCTATTGATCCTTACGCTTATTATTATAATTCGATCCCGTATCTCTCGTCCCTAGCGTTCTATTTAGAAAGGGGCGGCGGTTAAGGCGTTGGCAATCTTAGTCGAAAGTTCCGGAGAGCCCGCTAAAATGCTTTGTAGTAATTGTTATTATTATAGCCGAACTTATATTGTAGATCTATCAAAATCGAGTGCGTATAGCGAATACGTCCGTTGCAAAGTTGTTTGTAATAGTTAGGACGTTACTAGGCGTTATAAGTATTATATTATTTAGGTAGTAGAGTTGTTACTAATATTTATAGTTTATAATTCTATAAAGGAGGCGAAATATTTAGAGGAGGAAGAGGAGTAATTATTGAGGAGCTTAGTCGAGATCCAATCGAAGTTATTGCGTATTAAGGAGTAGAAGCATCATTTCCAGAAGAGGTAAAAGGAGATATTTAATTAAGGAATAGCGGAATTAGTAAAGGAATTGGGGGATGTTAATCCGCTTATTTCTAACGAGCCGATTTCCTCCATTACTTCGGGGGAGCCCGAAGTTAATTACCCCCGTCCTGTTCTATCGCCGATTGATTTTGACGCGTAGGCTCGGGAATAGGGGCTGGAGTTTCCGTTGGTCGGGGACGATCAGGGAATCGTTGGTGAAAGCTCTCAATCTCATCCTTCAGGTTGAGAAGGTTCCTCGTTGGTTCCTAAGTATTACTCTTGTAACTATAGCCTTGCTATTTAATTAAGTATTCGATTTCTCCCGTATTAGCGTTTAGTTTTGAGTCTAGGATTGCTTCTATTAAGAATTCGTCTCCGTCATTCTATATCTCTACTTGCTTATCGATTCTAGCGTTCTTTAGTACTAGTTCTAGTAACGAGACGTAGAACGTAGGCTATTGCCTTATACCCTTTGGGAGTTCTAATCGGTAGTTGTTCGTACCGACTTTTTCTATTACCTTAAAGGGTCCTAACTTCTTATAATTGAGTTTGTCGCTTGGTCGTTTGGTTTTAATATTTCGTTGGAGAAGGTAGACCTTATCTCCCCTTCTAAAGGTCGGCGCCGACGACCTTATACGGTCGTAATAGTAGTTTATACAATCCCTAACGAATGTAAATTCGTTTTTAAGGGTTTTGTATATCTCGGTTAACCTTTCTACCCGGATATATACCTATAGGACGATTAATTCTAAGTCCCAGCCGCGTCGGGAATTTATTTTATATCCGTAATTCGCAAAGAAGGGCGTAATTCTCGTTATTTCTATCTTCGAACTATTGTAAGACATTTACGCCGTTGGTAATAGCTCGGCCCAATTATCTTATTTATAATTAATATATACTTTAAAGTATACCTCTAGGACCTAATTTATTTATTCTATTTACCCGTCCGTCCTTATATAATATATAGTAGATATTTTATATTTGACTCCTAATTTGTTTATAAATACTTATTAATATTTTAACGAGAAGAGTTTATCTCTATTAATAATTAGTTCTTTCGGCTATCTATAGTTAGAAGTAATATACCTTATAAATATATATCCTAACTACTCCGTATTAGTATTTTCTCTAAATGGGAGGAAGTATAAGAACTTTGTAAATTAGTCGACAATAATTAATATACTATCGTACTTAATTCCTATAGCTAGGTCGTATAATATAGGTAGCTTTATAATAAAGTCCATAGTTACTAACTGCTAGGGTGCTTCCAACACTGGGAATAGTTCGAATAAGCCGTACGGTTTGTATCGGTTAGCTTTAATCTTGTAGCAGATTTCACATTCTTGTAGTACGTCCGTAACGACGTTTTTTATTCCTAAGAACCCGAAGGATTACTATACTCTTGCGAGGGTACGGGTAATTCCTACGTATCCTCCCTCTTCTAGTAATTCGTAGATATCTCTTACTAATTCCTTTTATAAAGGGGGAGGTACCCAGAGCTTTCCTTTATACAACCAGGGTATTATAAATATAACTAAATATATCCTAATTTCCTTATTATCGACTTCGTATTATACTTTAGTAATTCGCTAAATCCAATCGTCTAAGTCCATTTTAACTACACTATAAATATCAACGTTGTCGTCTATAGTTTATTCTTATAAGGGTTAATACCGTAGTAACCCGTCTACGTTAGTTTAGAATAGAATAGGGGAAGTAGTAGGTCTATTCTTTATTTTAAAGTCCTCCCTTCTACTAAGTACGTCGGCTCTCGCATTTTCAAATCCCTTACAATAATAGATATTAAAATTAAATTACAATAGGAATTCCGACCAACGGGTTTATCGTTAGTTAAACTCCTTCGTAGTTGTAAAATACATTAAATTCTTATAATCTAAATAAACCTTAACTTCGTACTTCGTACTATTAAACCACAGCTTCCATTCCTTAAAAGCCCAGATGATGGATATGAGCTCTTTGTCGTGGATTAGATAGTTGAGTTCGGGTCCTCGGAATACCTTAGAATAGAACGCAACGGGATATAATCTTCCTTACTCGTTGTATTGGCCGAATTATCCTCCTATAGCCCAATCGGACGCGTTAGTTTCGACTTCGAATTCCTTGTCTGGGTTTGGGAGTACGAGGATAGGATCGTTTAGAATTATCTATTTTAGGATCTTAAAGGCTTTATTATATTCCTAGGATTATATAAATTTAGTGTCTTTTTTAGTTAGGTCGTTGAATAATTTAACTATATTTCCGAATCCCTTAATAAAATACCTATAAAAATTAATAAAGCTTAAGAATCTTCGGACCCCGGTTACTAAAGTGGGTATTAGCTATTTAACGACGTCCTTAATCTTTATAGGGTTTATACGAATTTAGCCGAGTAAAATACGGTATTCTAAGAAATTAATTTATTAGACGTAAAATTCACTCTTCTTAGAATTAACCGACAATTTAGCTTTTTCTAAGGCGGCGAAGACTTTATATACGTATTTCTAGTATTATTCTTCATTTTTAAAAAATACGATAATATCGTCGATATATACTATTACGAATTCGCTTATAAATTACTTAAATATAGCGTCAATTTGTAATTGGAAGGAGGCGGATATATTCGTTAACCCTTAGGGTATAATGCGGTATTTATAATGTCCTAGGGGCGTCTTGAATGCAGTTTTCCACTCTTCTCCTTTCTTTATGCGGATTTAGGAGAAGGCTAATGTTAGGTCGAACTTTGAGAAGATAGTAGCCTTTTCCAGCCGGTCTCGTATCTTTTGGATTAATGGCAATAGGTATCGATTTTTAATAGTATCATTATTAAAATGCCGATAATCGATAATAAAGCGTAACTCTCCATCTTTCTTTAGTATAAAGAATATAGGGGAGCTATAGGGGGATTAGGATTCTTAAATATATTCTAATTTTAGCCTCTTATCAATATATTCCTTAAGCGCCTTTATTTATATAGCGTTCAATTAATAGATTTTCTAATACTTAGGTTTGGCGCCTTTTTTTAAGGGTATTTCGTAGTCCTATAGACTATATACTGGCAGGGAGCACTCTAACGAGCCCCGGAAGATTTTGTACTTTCGATACTATACGGGGACGTCCTTGAGCTTATCGTCCTTGCCAGGAGGTAGTTCGGGAGGTAGCGTCTCCTCTTCGATATTATTTATAAATATGACTATCCTTAATAGTTCGGGTGGCGTAGTTTCGTATAATAAAGGGTACTAATCCTTTCTATTAGTGATTGAAACTTCTTATTCTGGAGCTTTGGGAGCTTATTGCTTCCTAATACAGCTGTTACTCTAATCGATGTCCGGATTATACTTTCTTAATTATAGTCTTCCTAGAATAGCGTTGTATTTCCCGATGGGCGTAATATCGAAAACGATTTCTTATTTATTACTATTAATTATAACCTTTAATAGTACTGTTTTTCTTAGTACTTATCCCTATTCGTAGCTAGGGTTTTTCCCTTTAAATATATATACTCGATATAGTTTCTTCTTATAAACCTAGGGAATCTTCTAATCGTTTACGACTTAGGGTGTAATAAGGTTGATCGATGATCTTGAATCGATCATAGCCGTCGCGGTCCTTTTGAACGGCTGAGTCTAGTCTATTTGAATTTGGTAAATTGAATCGTCGTCTCGATTTACTTCGAAGACCTATAGCGGGCCAGCTATTCGCAGTCCTCTCGCAAGGAGTTATCGCTATTTCCCTATCTTTTACGTCCTTTACGAAAGCGGTGTTTCTTTAGGGGTTTAGAGCCGCCGACCGCCTCGTTAGTACTAGAAAATACCGTTGCAATTTCCTCCTTCCTAAGGACTAAGTATAATTATTAGCGGTAGTATCTTTTCTCTTTTAAGGCTTATTTAGAGTACTATTGCCAAACCTTATTAGTTACATAGATAATATAATTAATTTAATAACAATCTTAGTATTGAATATATAGGGATTCTATATATCCTTAAGGATACTCCTCCTTTAATAAGAACTTTATAAAACGACTACCCTTCTTCCTATTTTAAATACGAGTGTCCTACAAATTTATAGAATCCTTATAATATATTCCTCTAATAGGGACGGGGATACTATTTTCCCAAATATATTGCGGGAAATGGTTATACTCTATTTTGTAAGATAGGTACTATAAATAAATATTATATAAATATTAAATTTAAACGATCTTCCCGTAGGAAGGGTAGTTAGGATAGATTTACGGGTAGTCCCTAATTTATAGCTCCCAGGGCTAATTATAAATAGTATAGACGTTTGCGCTAAAAGTAGTTACTCCGACTAATTGGAATATCTACTTTAGGGGGTAAGTCTCAATAAATTCATCTTCGCTAAAGGGGCCCGTATAGTATTCGGTTTAAAGTTGCCGGTTGTACTTCTCGTTTAATCCGAATTTATAAGTCTATTTAGTATCCCTCGCAATCTTTTTCTTAAATCCTTAGAGCAATACTTAGATGAATACAATAAACTCTTCCGGTCGTTTATTGGATTCGTAGAAGGAACCTTCATAGGACCCTCTGTCTTGCCGATGAATACTGCGACATTAACGATTATATACAATTTATTGGACCTTGAATTCTTTGGTTCTGGACGCTTCGAGGTCACCAAAGCGCCTTAGGTCGTCGACTTCTTGTTGGAGTCTTTCTATACGGTCCATATGCTCGGTAGTGTCGGTATCCGAGTCGGACCTCATAGCGTCGGACAGATCGGTATGGATAGCGGACTTAGCGCGTTCGATGGTGCCGAGTAGCTATTCTTCTTCGACGATGGGGGCGAGCGGAACTCGGGCCGGATTGTTGGAGATGAGCGGGATGGCCCCTCTATGGGAATTCTCCTTGTCCTCGAAGTCCCACCTTTCTTGTTCAAACCGTTCATACTGGTCGTATTCGTCGAGAGTTATATAGTTATCGGTAGATCCATTATTGTAGTCTACTATATAGACGGTACGGGGAAGTTCGTTGTTGGTAGCGGCAGCGAGGGCAATAGTAAAATCATAGTCGATTTTAATATTGTTAATATCCTTACCCTTACCTTTACTAACGGAATTAGTAGAATAAGTAGGGACGGGCTTCCATCCGTTAATTCGATAGTTATTACCCTATTTATTGCCTCTACTACAGTAGTCGCGAGCGAAGTGTCTTAGTTTATTGCATTTATAGTACTTCTTATCTTTATTAAATTTTAATTCGCCGTTAGGCTTATACTAATTGCGGTTGCGGTAATTAACCGCGTCTACGTCTATCGGGCCGGCGTATATACCGTACGCGGTACTACGATTACGATTATTATAGCTATTACCGCCGCGCTAATACTTATAGCCGGTATTAGCGCGGGGGCGGCTATCGCCTAACCCTTTCTCGCATTTGCGTTCAAAAAGGCGGTTATTAATAACGATGGCTTCGTTTATATACTCATCGAGACTTCTAGTTTTACGATCGACTTTAATGAGTTCGTCCTTAATATTACTCTTTAGGCCTCAATAGAATTGATATTTGAAGCCTTCGTTATTCTAATCGATATAGAACGCGAGTTATTTAAATTCGGCTGCGTAGGAGGCGGCCGACTTAGTCTGGCGGAGCTCGTTTAACTTAATCTCGGTTTGACGGACTTTATCGGTAAGTCCAAAGACTTGGTTAATAGCGCCCTCGAAGTAATCGAAGTCGCTAAAAATCTAGACAATCTCAGGATATATATCGGGCCATTTATATCCAAAATAATTAGTTTGAGTGGGCTGGAACTATTCGAGAGCTTTACCGGTTAAGAAGGAAGCGGTATATAAGACTATCTAAACGGGGTCTTAGATATTGGAGAATTTTAGGTTGGCGCGAACCTAGGTGAAGAATCCTTAGAGGTCCTCCTTCTTAGTACCGTCGAATTTAGGAGGCGGGTTGAATTTAATCTTAGGAAGCGGGGGATTACTATAAACCGTATAATCGGATAGGACCCTTATATTTAATTTATTAATAATTTCGCGGAATTCAACCGTAGTAATAATTTTAATAACGGCGGGGATGAACTTAGCTAGTTTCTTACCTTGAATATCGAAGCGGCGCGCAGCGTCCTACTTGGCGCGAAGCTCGGCAGCCGTAACCTTACGTCTATTGTTATCTTCAATACCGGTTATAGAATCCGCTCCGGGGCCGGGGTTTCCGGCTGCGGTGCCCGGGAGACCAGCTCTAACGGGTCCTCCGGTAGCGGGGTTACTAGTCGGATTTCCAGATATAATAGTGAGAGGTTAGGGCGGGGTTTAAGGAAACTTAATAAACTTAAAGTTGAGGAAATTTAGGTGCAGCAGCAAATCCCAGAATACTAGTGTGCAAATTAATGAGCAAACAACGTGTGACGAACTGTTACAAGTACAAGAGTATATCGCTGGGATGATTAATAGACAATGGTAGTAGTAGCCAAAAGGTACTGATCGATTATAGAAGCTATTGCTTACTGAAGAACCTAGTATACCAGGAAGCCCAGGAGGGCTTCCTTATATATCAGGTCTTCAGCCGGACCCGTGGACCCGAGTTTCCCCCTCGGGTCCCGGTTTGGACCCGGCCTTCAAGGCTAGTCCTTCGGGTCCTGTCTTCGGGTCCTACCTTATTGGTTGGTTTTATCTAGATATATGATTGGATCGTAATACTATAATTCTCTTACTCCAGCTCCAAGAAATATTATTTATTCCGGACTGCTAGTTAGGTAGACCACATATAATCTAGATCCTTAGCTAGTCACAGGGGACCTATTGAGACCGGCTTCGCCAGCCTAGCTATCACAGTTGACCCTTCCTCTATTATTACGACTTCTTCCAATCATTACAAAGCAAGAAATAACTATTGAAACCGGCGAAGCTAGAACGATCCTGATACGGGAATATTCATATTACCGTTATTTCATGTATGATTAGATCAATTGACTGATTAGATAATCTGGGCATGGTTATTGCTATGCCCATCTCTGTCTGAGGCTGAGATAAGGAATTCCCATAAAGGGATTCCCGCGCGGGGCGGCCTTCGGCCACGCCTTTCTCCCTCGGACATCTTCTTCTTTGCTTTTAATACTACTGTTTGACTTTAACACCGTTGGTATTACGAAGCAACCTAGGTTACCCTATCAGATCCTAAGCTAGAACAATCCTGAGCCTGTTCCTTGCACAACAATCTAAGTCCTATCTTAGTGCTTGCCTGCGCCTCGTGACACTTTCCATTGATTGTACTTTGACCAGGGACTTTGCGAGGACGGAGCTACCTGCCAATGTGTTGGAGCTCCTCTATATTAGTATTAGACTTTTCAAATCTTCGTCTTCGTCCTTTAGCGGCAGGGGCGTAAAGCTGTAAAACTCGTTGCCCTATTCCGGGTTATCACAACCAAGTTCAAAGCCGCAGGTGGAATTCTGAGCTGGAAATGCCGGAGTGGAGTGACAACCATTCACAAAACTGTGAGCTTCTTCTCATCATCCAGCATGGTTGATCCAGAAAGAGGAGCATCATTTCATCGCTCATACAAGCGAAATTACTAGTGTGAAGGAAAGTCTTAGGTGTAATGCAGTTAACTTTCTTATAGGAGATGGCAACTTCTACTGCGATATGGTCAGTTCAATTCTACCCAAATCCCATCGCCCTGCCCATCCAGAACCCATTGACCTGACATGCCGGAACAGACCGGAGACGGCAGCGACGACTACATTTGGGTTTGGAGCGACGGACACGCCGCCGAGCTCTACATCAACCACCACGACGTCCCGCACTGGGAGGTCGGCCCCAAGGACCTATTCAACATCGCTCGGTCCCGGCGGTCCATCCACATCGCCGACTGGGACGGCGACGGCCGCTGCGACGTCATCAGCCAGCAGAAGTCGGATGGGGCGCTCGAGATGCGGCGCAACGACTACAACCCGGCGACGGGCGCTTGGAAGTTTACCTACATGGGCTTCGTCACTGGCGGTGTCTGCCCGCAGGGGTGGGGTGTCAACGTCCTGGACCGCGGGATGCGGCTTGCTATATCGAGTAAGTCCTCTTCCATCCCTGGCAATTTAACCAACTTGATGCTGCACATAACAGTCATACTGATACTGTCTTACAGCGGAGATGGACATGCAGACGTGATGTGTCTGGAAAAGAATGGTCGCATTACGGGATGGCTCAACCATGCCTCGGGGAATCTTGAAAATGTCGGGCAGGTCAAGTACAGCGAAGGATGTGAGTTCGTCTTTTAGACTGTTCCCCTCCAGGTGATTGGCGGTCGCTGCTGACATGCGAACCCAGGGGGTCGAGCCAACCTGCGCTTCGCCGATGTCGAGGACGGAGGCAATGTCACACGGACATTCGCCCACAGTCCAGGGTCAAGGTTGCAAGGCTCAGCAGAGCCTCAACGCCTGGCCTTAGCCTCGAGATGCCCGGTGGCCTCCGGCCGAAACACTCATTTCGGCCGAACCCTCGGCCGGACCCTCGGCCACTGGCACTGCTTACCCAACCCCCTCTCGATACCATCGGGCTAGCGAGCTAACTATGGAAGTGCCGAAGACGCTGATGAAGCACTATGAGACAATCCCCAGTCATCCTAGAAGCAACCATAGCCAACCAAGCAAGAAGCAGGGCGCCCGGATGAAGGACGGCGCCAGAAGGAAGATGGAGAATGGATGAAGGTATTTAGGAAGATCCACATGTATGTAGACTGCTAGATAGACGCCTTAAAGGCTCAGGCGACAAGGCTTGATACGTACCCTAAGTACGTACCGTTTCCCTTTGGTATAAGAAGGCCTTGAAGCCCAGCCTTCCCCTGGAGGTTGAGAGGATCAACAAGGTCTTCGAGACCAAAGTAGTTTATTAGCTGAATTGAACTACTGTTCCAAGCCCTGATTACAGCCCTTCACAGTGAGACGGTGCGCCGTGAGTCTTGAGAGTTCGTAGGATAAGACTGGCCTATCGAAGTCGAGGAATGAGTAGAGTATTGAAGATAAATAAGAGATACATTAAATATTGCGGCACGAAGGGGGCTTTAGATCGAGGTTATTGTGATGGTAACTTATGGTGAGTACTGTGATTCCCGAAGAATATCCCAATAAGGTCCTCTCGCAGTATCGCGGGACCGGGGTCACGCCCCCACTCGGGCTTAAAGCCGGCTCGATGCCATGCATCGCACCACGACCTCCGCTTGGTGCGCTTTGAAAAAACCCTTGGTATATCCAGTGCTCGTAAGGAGGATGTGGGGAGGTGATAAGGAGTTCTTGTACATACTTGTTGTTGAGTTGGATGAGGAAGCTGAAGGATGACGCGTGGTTGACAGTGGTGGCGGTGTTCTTTTGTGTATATCTAAGGAGACTACCTTGATTGTAGATAGCGTACATACCTCCTTTCTGCCCAGAGGTATCTATGCGTCTATGTCCATGGGTACCCCCGTGCTGCCCGTCTGCTAAAACGATTGTACCTTTTCCCACTTTTCTAGTACATTAACCTCCTGTTCCAGTACGTCAACCACTTCAGTTCTAAATGCGTGACAAAACGACTCATCAAAAAACCCTCGGGTACCCCTATAGCTCTCAAGACACCATTTCACAGCATTCTCAAAGTAGGTACTACTTCCCTCAGTGAGCTTGTACAGGAAGGGAATTGTATACATATGTAAGTTCTGGATGGTAGAAAATGTTAGCACGTTTTCGCCGCTTGGCGTAGGTGCGCAAATCTTTGCTAAGTCAATCCGATCGTCGACACATTCAAGCATGAGCTGGATAAGTATGAGGGCGAGGGAGAAAGGGATCGCATCCAGGGGTCGAGAGCACGACACAGGGTAACTTAGCGGTAGCGCTTTGTGAGTAGTGATGAGGTCAGAGCCGCGATGCGAAGAATTTCCTGTCCTGGATCCCATTGACCTCAAAACGAACGGCTGGAGTTGATCCAGTTGGACGTGGGAGTTGTCGTCTAGGAAGAAGACAATGCTATCAAGGGTGAGAATCTGTGACAGCCATGGAGTGTCGTAGATGTATAGGAGACTGGCCGCGATGGCATGTGAGATGCGCAGCTTCATAAGTGGGCCCTCCAGACGGAAGAGTCCGCCCGTCGGCCCTTGCAAGTCTTGGTCGAGTAGCTGCCGAAGTGTGAACGATGTCGTAAATTCTGAGTTGTCCGGGTGGGTCCGAAACTGACCGCCGGATTTCCAACGCGGCGGATAAAGTCGAAATGTGCGAGGTCCAGCAGCGTCTATGATGCACCCATGGGATAAATCGTCTTGGACAAGAGCTCGCTTCTTTCCTTTGTTGTGTGTGGAGAGTTGGCAAATCTTCAACATGGAGGTAAGCTCCACGTCGATATCGGTGGTTTGACGCTCAGGTTTACCTGACAATGAAAGCCCGGCTAGGCTTGCCATTGAAACCTCTATAAGGGTATGTGCTGCGCTCTGTGAAACCGGCGCAAAAGATACCCTTTTGGGCCTCTTCTTTGACTGCCCCGAAATTTTAGACGAGAGTAGTTCCGTCGCCCATTTGACTGCCGGGGAGAGGGCTCCGAGTTCATCGTTGAACGTTTGAGATTTGACCTGTGGACATGGAAACGCGGTGGTGGATTTGGGGGGTATAGCAGGTGGTGGAGGAGCGCCAGGATCGCCGCATTGAAGCCGAAAACTGGTCCAACGTGGCCACAACTGCAATCGCTCCTGGGTTAGGTCAGAGCCACCTGAACTTAAAGTAACATGGAAGTCGATGTCCTTGGCTACCTGTTCCTCAATATCTGTGTTGTGGATGAAGACCAAGTTACGGGCCACAAGCTCGAGACAAGCGTTGTGAGACACTGGACAACGACAATCGGTGGCAGCGTTTTGCAAAGCGTTGAACAGACTCTTAACGAGCTTGCGAAGGAGGCTTATAACCCGATAGTCAGACCGCCGCTTGTTGCTGGTATACTGTCCCGTACCGGCACTGGTAAGCGTTTCGAGGAAAGCATTGGCCGACTTCAGTCGCAACATTGTGGCGTCATAGTCCTTCTTTCTTAGTGTGAATCCGGTCTTCGCTTTCAGTTGCCTGATAATCGACTTCTTATCTTTCAATACTGCCTTCATCAGGAGTAAGATGTATCAGCAGACGGTTTCTTAGTTGTTGTTCTCATCGTCAACAGGGCAATTTACCGTGCCATTTTCTTGCAAAGACAGCTTCAGCCTCAAGTCCGCTGCCACCGCTTGCATGTCTGTCATTGTCTGCTCAAACATGGGGTATGAGTCATAGAGCTTGAGTCTCAGCTTGTTGCGAACTGTCAAACTCAATTCCGGTGAAAAGGGATTTGCTCCAACTCCACCCTCACTACTGTCGAAAGGGATGATGTCGTTGAGTAGTTGTCGGCAACTATTTCGCAGTCGCGTGTCCTCGACTTTAAGATCCTGGAGCAGGTTGTGGAGGTCACTGTCAACCTTGCGTACAGAGGATACAAAGCCCAGATAACTCTGCAAGGCCTTCGCGGCCAAGGGCAGAATGCCTAAGACAAGGCCGACGACCTCAATTCCCGACATCGTTGGAGGTAGAGATGATGGTGATATGTGAAAATGTGGGGGAGAGCGCGGACATTCGGAAAATAAATCTGCGAGACGCAAGACAACAGACCCCGCACTTTTGCTTGCTTTAATTGGTTCATACATGCCATACGGCGCTACAGGAGCGGATTGAGGTTCGGGCACACTTTCGGGCATCAACAAAACACCCAGCATGTTATTGGCTCCTAGTTCTAGTCGCCATAGCAGGTCAGGCTGTTAGGGTCTTACCTGCCTCGCCTTCGATACTTGACGACAATACCTACTAGGGAGAGAACATAAACGTACCCGGGCCGTCGCCTGTCAAACACCTGCCTTGTACGCAAGAGCCAAACTCCTCAACATCTTCTCCAAGCGATGATGGCTGCGTACCTGTCGACTACCTTAGGATACTACTAGTTACCAGTTACCTGCTCTACGGTCGGTGCCTACCTGATCTTTTCGGCTCCCGTCAAGTCCACCTGAGAACCTCGCACGCAGAGCCATGGAGTCGGAAACTCAGATATCTCGACTAGTTTCCCAGGGCATTCTATCGTTCAAGTCCCTCATTCAGTCTTTGGAGGGCTATCCCGATTCTCCGCCTCAATATCGTCCACTGGCTTCTTCGTATTTAATGAGATACAAGCTCTGGGTTGCTAGCCTAGGTGCACATCGGCCCTGTGGAACCAGTTCACTCGAATACAAACTCCGTGACGCATCCGGTATACGAAACAACATCATTTCGTTGCTCCAAGATCTCTGCCGTTCAATCAACGAAGGTGCGAGCCAAATGAAACCTCTACTTCCCAGCGGCGCACCTTCCTTGCCAGTCGCAGCGACCCTACTGTTGTTGCTAAGAGCATTGATATCTGCTGACCCGAACAAAATTTGGTGCATCTGCAGCGCGGTCAGCGGTTACCCCAATTGGGAGCGGCGAGGTCTGCCCCGATGAAGATCATGATCCCCTCGATGATGAGCTCGCGGAACTTCTCTACAGTGATGATGAGGATCCTACTAGCCGATCCGAGCTTGATGATGCGCTGAGCAGAGTAGGAAACACGATCGACTGCTTGCTTCGGCTGTCTGCAGCGATTCGCAACCCGGCTCCGCACGATTTCTCCATGTCCAAGGTGGCAGTGGAACTCATTGAAGCCTTTCAACCCCTGGCCAAGGACCACATCCGCCATAAGTTCGTCCAGATTGATGAGCCCCTCGTTGACCGTCTGGCCAAATCAATGGCAATGCGCCGCCAGTATCTCAAGTATCGCGAAGAACATGCCAGCCGAATAGCCCGAGGACTGGAAGAGGTTGAGCAAGGGCTCCAGTGCGATGCTTCCGAGTACACAACCACACAAACAGTTATTTCTTCGCTCCCTGGCCATCTCAAGGACAATAATGCTATCTCTAGTACCTTGTTCACTGATTTCGATGACGTACGCTCGCAAACATCGTATGCACCAACGGAGGTCAACTCCAGCGAGCTCCGTGTTCCCAGAATACCTCCAGAATACGTTGACGGGCCCTTCAGATGCCCCTATTGCCAAATGATTATCGCGATAGAGACGAGACACGAGTGGAAGTACAACCCCCTTTACTTCTAGAAATCCACGGAAAAAGAAAAAGAAAATGAAACCCAAACATCATCCGGACTAACACGCATCTTCCAGGAAACACGTCTTCCGAGACTTGCAACCCTATACCTGTCTTGAAGAAGCGTGTACCATCCCAAATCAACAGTTCTCCCGGCGCTCGGAATGGGTCATGCACATGGAGCGCGAACACTGGAGGGTCTGGCATTGCTTTCTAGGTTGCAATGAGGCTTCGTTCGATAACCTGGATCAGTTCCTGAAGCATAACCAGTCCGCCCACACCGGCGAGTTGGCATCTTCCGGGGTAGGGCATCAAGCAAACATTCACGCTTCTTCCGTCAAGGATAAGTCCAAGGCCCGCGGACAGTGTCCTCTGTGCCTCAAAGTACAACTCGGTACTGAAAAGGAGTACGCCTTCCATGTCGGAGGACATTTGGAAGGCCTGGCTTTGTTTGCCTTGCCTCGTGTTGATGATGACTACATGTATACCACCGGAGATGACTCAGATGAAGACCAAAACGAACAAGATTTAGTCAAAGAATCAGACGAAGAGGACATGGAAGAAGACGAGCTTAGTACATCGGCCGACACCGCTTATCATGTGGAACTAGAAGTACGTTCCGAAAACGGAGACATTGACGGACGTCACATCGAAGGAGAAGACCCGGGGGCTTATGGATTGTCTGATGGCATACTTGATGAGATTACGACATATGTGGGTGAGGCGCAAAGATTACAACCACGAGAAGAAGAGCAACCTTCGGAGTCCATCAATATGCGCGATCAGCAGACCCGAACAATCCAAGATGTGCAACTGCAACAACAGCAACAACAAGAGCAACAGCAACAACAAGAGCAACAGCAACAACAAGAGCGAAAGCAACAACAAGAGCAACAGCAACAGCAACAGCAACAGCAAGAGCAACAGCAACAGCAACAGCAACAGCAACAGCAACAAGTGCAACCACCGGTCAATAACCGACAATCTGTTCCCCAGAAGCCGACGGACGGCGGTAATTCAACTTCTGCGACTCCCGGTATGCAGGCAGGCCCTGGTCAACCACAGCTGAACGGTCCGCAGAATGCACAAACTGCGACGATGGCAGCCCTTGCCACCAACCCTCGGGCGATACAAATGGCCGACAATTTGGATATTCCCGCAGATACGCTAAATGCATTGCGTGGGATCCTACAGCCCGCGATCCTGCCTCCAAATTTGAAGAAATGGGTTCATCTAAAGGCCTGGCACCAGGCAGCAGGCCTACCTCCTCATGTTCAGGACAAGGTCGCCCAGGTGTTGACTACTCACCAGCAGCAACAGATCCGGCAGCTATTACTTCAAAAGCAGCAGCGAGCACAGATTGCCTCCATGGGCGGAGCTCTATAGAACCCCAACGGGCCCGGCCCTTCACAACAACCTAACAGAATGCCGCTCATACCCCCAAAGACGAACGTTCCTCCTCATATACTTCAGATCCTCCCGCATAAACTAGAGATAGCCCGCAATAAGTTTCCCGGCCATTCGGATCAGGCGCTTCAAGGTATAATACGGAAATATAAGTTTAATAATTTTGCCAGGAAGCTATAGGCTATGAAAAATGGCGCCGGTATGGTAAACTAGACGCCGATAGTGCAAATGCCCCCCGTAGGGTCTAACTAACCAAATACGGCCTCTTCTGGACTAGTGGCGCAAATATACGCCTAGTATGCCGCGTAAACCGGTATATAGGTCCCAGGCCCATTACAGCAGCCCCCATCGTCGCAGTAGCTGCAGCAGCCGCAAGGGCAATTACAGGCGCAACCACAGGCGCAACCACAACCACAAACGCACCATCATCAACAGCAGCAGCAGTAGCACCAACAGCAGCAGCACCAACAGCAGCAGCAATAAGTACAACCACCGGTCAATAACCGACAACCTGTTCCCCAGAAGCCAACGGACGGCGGTAATTCAACTTCTACGACTCCCGCATTATCTACCTCGAGGATTAGCCAGCAACCTCGAACTACCCCGCTAAACCCATTACCGGTCGCAGCCCAAAAGAACCTTAAACGACCACATCCGGGTGGTTTAACCGAGGTACCGCGCTAAAATAGCGTTCCTATATAGCAAACTCTGTTGTAGGCGAAGTAATGTAGTACCCCCCCGTCAACGGTCAGTGACCGATTCAAGAGTATATACGTAGATGAGATGAGATAGGCGTTAAAAGAATATAAGTAGAGCCCATTGCCGCCGGTTTATATGCCGATGGATATATACCAATCTGCGGTGCTCAAAATACGCGAAGTCAACCAAAAGATGAATGAAATGACCACTCTTCCGGGGGCTTTTGATCGAATGGCAAACAATGAAGGTTTAGTTAGAATGTTTACCCGTTGTGTATGTTACTTTCTCCCCGCGAAACTAACTAGATATTGTAAGAAATACGCTGATATATGTACTACTTCAGACTCTGAAAATCAAAGCGCAGTTAGATAAAACGATAGGCCAGCCTCGTAACCCCTTACATATCACGGTCCATGAGATTGATGAGATTAAGCTGTTCTTCGATGGTCTTATTAACCACTTCAAATCAGGGGCTTCTCAGCCCGCAGCTCAGTCTACGGAGCAAGCAGCAGGCCAGCCTCAACCTCATCAACGTGCAGGTCCATCTACGCTGTAAATGGACCAAGATTAGCAGAAATCTGGTCAATCTAGAGACCCTAACCATAGCGAAAGAGCGATTTAGGGTTGAGGATGACTCTGTCATCGTCCTACGCGGCTTGGACAGAGACGAAATCAAAAAATATGTGGACATGACCGCCGAGCTGAGAGCAGCAAGATACGATGGGTCGGACTACGAGAATGAGCCTCTGGAAGACTCAAGATCTCCACCTGTTTCCGGCCACGTCGACCAAGCATCTGCTGGACACCTGCAGACTAAGCCCCGAGTATCTATGGTGCCAAATGGACCAAGATAAGTAGGAAAAGGGTTAGCCCCGAAGCACTTACTTTAGGCAAGGAGTGTGACAAGGGCAGGTTTCTGGGCTTGGAACAATGGTTCAATTCCGCTGATAAATTACTTTGGTCTCGAAGGCCTTGTTGATCCTTTCAACCCTCAAGACGAGGGCTGAGTTCCCAGGCCTTCTTATACAAATCCAGACCATCCTTCTGATCAATACATACAGGGTCCTTCCGGCCTGTCAAGGCCGCAAAGCATCCTCTTGCTGACAGTGTTTCCTCTTGAGCCGTCTTAGCCGGTCTGATCCTTCTTGGTTGGTTCGGGTTGCTTCCAGTTGAAACTCGAGGGCCCGTTATCGCGGCCTAGCACTGAGTAGTGATGAGGGCATTCGGACGTAATGCTCCGCCGGGGGAATAGGCCGTGGCTGAGAATCCAACCGAGGGGAGTGTTGCAGCCCTGAGGCCACCGGGCATCTCGAGGCTCATTCCAAGCATTGAGGCTCTGCTGGGCCTTGCGACCCTAACCCCAGGACTGTGGGCAATGTCCGTGTGACAAGGAGCAATTTGAAGTACGAGGTGACTTTTGTTATCGTGCAACGCATCTTGACCCAGGATAAAATCCAAGAATATAAAGGTAGTACCGCCCAAATCAGGGACGCGAGATGGAAGGAGTACCAGCGTAAGCCAGAAGAAAATCCAGACTCGCACACAGATGAGAAATTAACCTCTGCCAGTCCTCAGGTCTCCCATCAGACCAATGGCCCGGTTATGGACCCGCCGAAAACCGTCAATGAGTCCCCTTGTGAGCTCAGGAGCTTCTCAAGCAAGTCATCCAACGGTGCATCTTCCAGCGATGTGCCGATGATGGCGAGATCGAAGCCCGCGACAGGAGATAGAAGGAGAAGGGGGAATTAGCCAAGACTGCGGCTGCCGTGGAGAACTGGTGGAAGGCGAAAGACCCATTGGCAAACCCGGTACCCGAGGATATGCTTGGCCTAGGAATGGAAGCTCTTGAGAAGCAGCGGGAGGAACTTGTATTAGAACTGATGCAGACCTTCCCGGGAGGAGATCAACCTATTGCCGACTCAACTGAGCTTAAGAAGTAAGTTTGACTTCTCTCTCCGTACGCAGCTTCATTGAAGTTAATCTGCTTGTTTATTAGCCGCATACCGGAGAACCCACGCAAACAAAAGAAGCATCGTAGCATATTCTGTTGCCCTAGATGTAAATAGGACCTAAAGTCTCGCGAAGCCGTACAGGCGCATTTATCCGTACCCAGCGACATGATTTGGAGTAACCTGTTACGATCCAATCAAAAGCCCCTTATGTAAGTTAGATAGATTGATTAATAGAAGGAAATTCGAACCTAGAGTCCCGGAGTTCTGAGAATACGGGACTACGGGATACCGCCCCTACGGTCCCGGGGTCGCGAGGTCGCGGGACTACGGGACGGGTTCGAAGACCAGTATATAAGAAGGTCGCCTCCCGGCCTTCGTTATTCTGGTTCTTCAGCAAGTAACAGCTTCTACAATTGATCAGTACCTTTTGGCTACTACTACCGTTGTTCTTATTCCTAGCGATATACTCCTGTGCTTGTAACGGTTCGTCACACGTTGTTTGCTCATCAGTTTGTATACTAGTATTCTGGAATCTGCTGCTGCACCTAAAGTTTCCTCAATCAAGTTTTCCTCAACCCTCACCTTGACTCTCCCACCGTTATCATGTCCGGAATCCCGACTGGTAATCTTGCTGGAGGACCCGCTGGAGCTGGACTCCCAGGTACCGCGGCCAGAGACCCTGGCCCCGGCACTGATACTATGACGGGCATTGTGGATAATGACAGCAACTAAGTCAAGGCCGCCGAGCTTCTTACTAGAGAAGAAGCCCGTACTCGCAGGGCTACCCTCGTCCCTGCTATTACTAAAGAGATTGATGAGGTCAAGTTGCGCAATATCATTAATATGTTTCGCGTTAAGATTAACGACCTTAAAAGAGCGTTCGACAGAGTTCGCTATCCGTGTCGTTACCGATGCGGTCCACACAGCGTGGAAACTCCAGGCCACAGCATCACTAATACTCCTTAACCTCAAGGGCGCGTTCGATAGAGTCAACCACCGATGGCTGCTCCATACCTTATGGGAAATGCGTCTTCCGCGGTGACTGCTATGGTGGATCTATAGCTTCCTCTCATCGAGGAAGGGTTCACTATTTTTCGACGATGAGTTATCACCACCATACGATATTACATCGGGGGTGCCACAAGGATCCCCCCTCTCACCCATCATTTTTCTCCTTTTCATTACGCCGCTCTACACCAAGCTAAAAACGATCCCGAACGCAATTACCGTCGGGTTTGCCAATAACACGAATATCCTGGCGGTAGCAAAGACGACTGAGGAGAACTGCAGAACTCTCCAAGCGGCTTGGGAAGTCTGTGCCGAATGGGCAAGGGAGCGGGGATGGAATTCGAAGCGAGCAAGACGGAGTTGATGCACTTTACCTGGACAAGGAAGCCACGAGAAGAGACGCTCCGGATCGGGGAGACTGTCCTAGAACCGGCAGAATCCGCAAGGTTCCTAGGCGTTTGGTTAGACAGGAAACTCAACTTTAAGGCCCACGCTCAGGCCATGAAGAAGAAGATGGCGACGCAGACCTTCGCGTTAACACGGCTAGCGGCAAAGACATGGGGTTGCTCTTTTGAACGAGCCCGGGAGATCTACACGAAGGTTATTCGAAGCGCAATAGCCTACGGCGCATCGGCATATCATCAACCGACGGAGCTATACGGGAAAGCCCGGGGAATTGCAACCCAGCTGGCGAAACATCAGACCAAGTACCTAAGGGTAATAACGGGGGTATACAAAGCGACCCGGATAAGAAACTTGGAAACCGAAACGTACTGTCCACTGATCGACCTTTACCTAAATAAACGGGTAAGAGCCTTCGAAGAAAGAATTGCTCGGACGGGCCAAGCAGAGTTTTGTTAGGGGGACGGCTGCATGGGTAGCCGGTTGCATCCAGGAGAGGGCCCGACGACGGACTTTCCCTCCCAAAGACCTACCGGAAAGCGGAGCGGCCAAAGCCCAATGGGCCGAGATGGACGCCCACCGCCGACCTAATAGAGGAAACAACGCCGCAAGATGCGCCACACGATACGCAGCAGGGTACGCCGTATCAGGAAGAGCCATCGGCCAAAGATAGGGAGCGGTGGTTAGAGGAAGCAACAAGGAGGGAATGGATCGCAACGTGGGAGATGCAGACAGCGGCGGCAGTCTCCAAGGCGGGACGGCGCTACCAGTTGATGATCGCTGACCTATACCCAAAGTTCGATGGTACCTCGATAAGGAGACATATGGTCGGCTCCAGAAAGAAAAGGAGGCGCGGAGAGGCTGAGGACGAAGACCCTCGCCCCCTCTCTAAAGCCAAAAGCTCACTCCTCATCCAAGCGCGGACAGAAGTAATCGGGCTCCGGTCCTTCCTATTTTAAAGGAAGGTCCCCGATATTGAAACACCGTACTGCTCTTGCGGGACGGGCAAGGAGACCTTTGCACACTTGGTTTATGACTGTCTATGGACGTTCAACCAACGAATAAGGGAAGAAGAGTGGCCGCACAGCCAAGAGCAACTGTCTGTATACTTGGATGACGGAGAGCAGGCCGACCGCCTCCTCGGTTGGGTGTTGAGATTGGGACGGCTTCGAGAGTACCGTCTAGCAGTTGAGTTGGAGGAGGAAGGAGTCGGCGAAGCCGACCCTTAGGGATAACACATCGACCGATGGTAAGATATCGGTGATGGGTTAACGTCATTATTCACCGAGCGGTGGGTGAGCATCGCTACGGTAGGAAACGCAGGTGCTGGCCTCGCGGCCGGGCAAGGGGCGGTGGTTTTTATCCGGCAGACGGAAGTATGTACGGTTTTCCCTCCGAAAATAGGTGAAGGACCCCATGTGCTGGCGTTGCCGGCGATACGTCTAAGAAGAAGAGAAAGAACAGGAAGAAGGGATCCCAAGTTTCTTCCGGCCTTATAAGCCCGCCTCTAGAGCCGAACGCTGAAGTTGCCCAGCTCTATACTCAGCTGGCTCAACTTACCGATCTGGTTCAACAATTAATTGTCGAAAAGACCAGAAATTCTTTGGCGGACCAAGGTCGTAGTAGGCGAAGCTCTAATATTATTAAGGGTAACCCCAAGATTCGTAGGACGTCCTCCGGAGGTAGTAGCAATAGCGAGATTTATTACGATAGCGACGGCTTCTCTATCTACGATGAAGATAAAGAATTCGACGACAATAATACTAAGACGGTAGTAGCGGACGAGACAACTAAGGCGAAGCGTTTTATAGGCGTGCCTTACCGACGCGGTAGTAAGTCCAAGTTAAATAAGGGCGAAAAGGGCGATAAGGCTAAAGATAAGCATTAATAATAAGTAGGCGAAAATCCAACCTTTAAACTCGAATATATAGTCCTTAAGACTATTCTAATGGAGGAAGATAAACAAATTAGCAACTCCCTCCAAATTCGTAACATTACCGTAGCTAATAACTAATATATTCAATAAGAGCTCTTTATAATCAACAACGTCAATGTTAATGTTATTAAAAATAAATCTCGGGATTCCGAAGCTTGGGGGGTTCTTAGGCGGCAAATTGTTATCGGGCCCCAAGGAAATAAGTACGCCGACGAGCAGCCCGGAGCCGAGCCCGCGGAATAGCTTCAGCAAAGACGGGGAGGAGGAAGTCCCAGCCAAGGATAGATAGCCGGACCCGTTTAAGTATCCGCCGTCGGCTAGTAAGGTACGCCGAGCGATGAGCGGCTTGTTAAGGACGAGGGGCGCGCCCAGTTTGGAATAGATCCCCGAGACGGAGTTCGAGGATTCGGATCTAGAGGATGGAGCGATTTCGCCGTAGCCGAAACCGGGGATGCTGAATCGCGCTGTAACGGGTATGAGTCTGGACAAGCTGGACTTTAGGAAGCCGAGGTCGTCGGCCGTGGGTAGGGAGACGGATCGTAGACCCGCGACGGCGATGGACGCGGAGTCGATTAATTAGAATACTGCATCGATTATGCAATTGAAAGCGTCGGCTATAATGAAGAGGGTATTTTCGGGGATGATTCCTACTACGTTAAAGCTATAAGCTAGCTTGGATCAGTCCGAGACGGAGTCGATTTCCGGAGCCAGGCCGAGTATAATAAAGAGAGCTATAATGGGAATAATTCCGGGAGCGGCGAAGCTAAGGTCGAGCATAAATTCAACGGTAGAGTACTCGGGCGAGTGCAAGATGAGTATAGGCGCGGCGTTCAAGAACTTTAGTATAGGTAGTAAGTCCCGGGAACCGTCGAGGATACGGGAGCCGACCAGTCAGGGACCGGTAATAGACAAGAAGGAAAAGTCAGAGATGTCCTTCAAGAGCGTAGTCACCCTGGGTATAGCAAGCAGCAATCGATCGTCGTCGAGCAGTCGGAGAAAGAGCGTCGAGCATTCGTCCCAGACGCAGACGCAGCCGCCGCCGCCGCCGCCAGCGATGCCGAAGCTGGAACTGCCCAGCTTTGGACTGGGAGATTCCCTACTAGGATCTCCACCGGGCACATTATCGGGTTTAGGAATACTCTCGCCGCCGGGGACGTCATCGGGTCTTCCTCCCCCGCCCGCAGGAGGATCGATGTCAGCGCCGGGAACCTCGTACGGCTTCCCCAACATGGAGACGCCGCCGGAGACGAGCAGACCCGGTTCATCCGGGTCATATCAGACTACGGCCGCCAAGCCCAGCAGGTTGGATCGGACGATCTCCGGGATGAGTCTGTCCAGGCCCAGGAAGAGTATAAGCCAAGAGACCTCTCCCCTAGACGCGGACTCGTGACCGGGAACTGGGTTATCAATGTAGTCGCCGCAGCAGCCGCCGCAGCAGCCGCAGTTCGCGGTGAGACCGGATCCCAGCCCGGCGCTCAAGTCAAGAATGGCCAGCTTCAACAAGGTCATGACGCTGGGGTTGATTAAGGATAAGAGCGACAAGACTTCTACGCCCAGCCAGCACGAACCGGAGACAGCGACGCAGACGAGGATGGGAAGAGCGATGTGATACGGATCATGTTTATGTATGTGGAGTGTTGCATCAAAGACAGTAATTGATCGTGAATGCGGGTCGCATGGAACCTTCCTGCCAAGGTTGCAGGGTAGGTCCTAGCGATAAGATAAGGATAAGATAAGGAAGTAGGTCCGCCCAAACGGATTACCTCAATCCATCTGCACGCGGCTCCCACTCTTCTTAATCCTTCTTTAGACATCACACGTTACACAGGAATAATATCATTACTTTTATGTTAATCGTAGGTTTATTCTTTAAGGTGAGAGCAATTCATATCACTTCTCTTCTTAGTTTGAAACTCGGAACTTGAATATAATCTTATTAACTAGCATGCAGTGTCACAGCAGTGGCAGACCACTACTGTGACGAACGGCAGTCTTGATCTGCCTAAGTGGGATAGCTGAAGGTAACGATTATCAAGTGCAGTTCGGTGAAGCCAAAGGGTTCACAACAAGTATCGTTATACGTGTCTCTGATGACGATGGTCTATTGACTACTGTCGAACTATCTAACAATCTGTGTTCTCCAGTCGTCCCTTTATACCCTGCGTGCCTGTCTAGACTTCTCATGCCTCAAGTGTCTACTTGGTTGCGATGTTGGCTCACTCATGGTGTTGGCTTACTGTGAGCACCGGCTTACTGGTGAGCCCGTGCATGCAGTGAGTACGCTCCTGCGCCCTTCTGGTCTAACCCTGATTCTGAGGGTTACACCGTCCGTGTCGCTTAAGTTCGTAACAACTACGCTAACCAGGCCATGTTCCTGCAAAAGGATACAAGTAACCGAAGCTGGCAGTTCGGTCGCTTAAGTGGTCTTATATAGTTGTAACGGCGCATACCTACGATGCTTCAACCGTGACAATTAATATCAGCGCTCTTCACTAATTATATAGGTTTTTGTTACGAACTTGAAACGAACACACGGGCCAACCACACTGACGAGACACAACAGACAGGGCAGTGTAACGTCAAACCAACAGGACTGCAGGGGAAGCAGGCTCACGCTGACAAAGACAGGCTCACGTGCCAAGCAGCAGTGAGCCAGGATCACGGGTAGTGAGCCAGGACTGCGAGACCACAAAACAGCATCGTCAGGATTAGTATAAAGGGACGACTGGAGAACTCAGATTGTCAGATAGTTCGACAGTAGTCAACAGATCATTATCATTGAGACTAGTATAACGCTACCCTACTTGTTGTGAACCTTTTGGCTTCACCGAACGTCTTCTGATAGTCTTCACCTTCAGCTATCCCATTTAGGCAGATCAGACTGCCGTTCGTCACACCAGGCAATAGCAATGCCCCTAGGTTTGCGCTCTTTGTGATGTACTCTACATTGAATACTGGATTGATTGATAGGTGGTACTTCCCGTCTTCAAATTCTTGAACGGGATCCTCTGTATGCACTTTCAGGGGAGTGCATTTGGTGTAACTGCAATGCTTTGATCTTGAGCGCGACGGGAGGTCTATCTTATTTTAGAGAAATTTTCGCAAAACGACCGATCGCGGGCTAACAGACTTTGCGCTGAATTTTGAGCCCACATGTTAATGACAGATAAGATAAGCTGGGTCGCTGAAAGTCATGCTCGAAGCGGTTAAGTAGTCTAGATATAGCCCGCCTCCAAATGTTGAAGGCATCCACAAGTGGGCCGGAACCTTCTCGCGCGACCGAAAAAAGGCGACTGCCCTGCCAGCGCAATGGAACTAGCAGCTACATTTACAGTAAAGGCTCAGGAGAGGCCTGTCCCAACGCCTTTCCTTTCCGGGCTTGGCGCCCTGGGCCTCTCAATCACCTATGCCCAACGATGTACCCAACGCAATATTGACGAGTCTTCTGCTTGCAAGACAGCTGTGTCGAAGAGGTTGTGCCGAAGAGGCTGTGCCCGATACCTCTACACAGTTCCCGTCGGTTGTGGTGGAAGTCAGAGTCCAACTTTCTTTTTGCCAGGCATCTCGTCCATCGCGCGACACCGAAAAGATCACCATTTAGAACGCGAGGATTGATACGGACGTTGGGAAACCGACAAGCGTTGGTGTCGTCGTTATCAGATCGGACAAGGCACCCGCTCCACGACAATGGGGGACGATCTCAAGTACGCCGCTCCTGCAAGCAAGAACGGCTTTGAGATTGCGATACTCTGCGCACTACCCAAGGAACGAGCAGCTGTTTTGTTACTCCTCGACGATCTCTAGGATGGAAAGGGCAGTAACCGGTACCGGTATGCCAGGGGCGAAGGGGACTACAACACCTACACGCATGAGCGGATCGGGAGGTTCAATGTGGTTATCGTCCTTCTTGAGATCATGGGCAAAGCCCCGGCTGCCGGTGCAGCTACCGCCGTCCGAATCGGTTACCCCAATATTTCCCTAGCCCTGATCGTCGGCATTTGCGCCGGGGTGCCGTTCCCCAAGAAGAGTCAGGAAGTCATCCTCGGCGACATCGTTATCAGCAACATCCTGATTCACCACGACTTTGGAAGACAATACTCCGATCGCTTTAAAGCCAAGGATGAAGCCGAGGATGTGTACGGCCGACCGAACAAGAATATTCGGAGCTTGCTTAGGTTTCAGCCCTACGATAAATCTCGCAAGTCTGATATCAATTTCGAGATCTTTTCCGCAAATACGAACGAGTCTATCCTTTGTTGAAAGTGCTCGCTGAGATCATGGCTGGCGCTTCACCTATGGAGCGGGTGAAACAATTCCTCAAACGTGGGAGCATACGTTCGGCGAAATCGAAGACGCAGGATAGCTCCCCAAACTATGGCGCAGTCTCCTCGTTAGTCTCCTCGTTAGCGAACATATCACAAGGTATTTAAAGCGATGAAGCTCTCCCTTTCTCGTACTGACAAGCTCTAGCACATGGGCCCCGGCCGCCTTCAGCGACAGACGCCGTAATTGCACCCGTGCCCGAGCAGCTCCGCAACGAAGCTCACGGCTCCACTCCGGCTAGCAACAACGTCTCATCCGACCACGCTGTCCCACTACAGCTACAAATATCACCCGCCGAGCCGCTTTCCACAGGAGCTGTCCCTTCACGGGAACTGGCCTCTACCACCTCTTTCGATAGAGATAACTTCATAGAGACGAAAGAGTCGGGCCGAGCGCCACACACGGGATCCGCAGAGCAATCTTCCAAGCGTACGCTTTGGGACCAGGCCGTGGCGCTGCTGCAAGAGTCTCAAGAAGGCCCGGCCATCGTGGGCATTGTCAAGGAATTCACGTCGAACCCAACCGCCAGTCCCGATGGCAGCCCCGACTCCGTCAAGGGCTTGGCGAAGGATATTACGGAGGAAATGGAGCGGGAAATTAAGCGTCAACCACAGGACGACCACAGGCATCGCTTTATCGAAAAGACCATCTCGATACTAAACAAATTCATTGCAGTTGGTGATGTCGTCGTCAGCTTCGACCCCGTGCATGCTGCTCTTCCTTGGGCTGCTGTCCGCTTTGTTCTCGTGGTAAGTGTCGGCAGCCTGCACAATGCATGTGCCCTTTCTGAAGCCGGCTAATCTTTATAGACCTTAACCGCCAGCAGCGAATTAAAGAGTCAACTTCTCGGCGGCATTGCGAAGGTCACTTCACTAGTCCTGCAATGTCACACGTACCGGCGATTGTACATAGAATCCGATCTCACCCTCCAGCTACCGGAAAACGTCTCGAGCGCCTTAGAGACATCCATTATCCAGGCTTACGCCAAATCGCTGCTGTTTCTTGGCTTCACAATCCAACGCCAACGAAGTTGGAGCAAATTCGTCGATGCTTCTTTCAAACATAGCGATATAGACAAATGTATAGGAGGTCTGCTTGAGAGTGGAAGCCAACTCGCCCAAGCTGCAGACGATTGTGAGAAGCATTGCAATCTTCTCAACCGCTCAACAGTCAATGAACTACATAATATCGCAAAAGAGTTGCGTCAGGAAATCCTGGACCAGACGTACGTTACAGAAATATCTTCAAGCGTGTACCCGCTAACGTTATCTATAGTAACTTAGTCCTCAAAATCCACCAAGATTTCGTTCTCGCCAAGCTGCGCACGGCCAAAGGTGCCGCGTTTGATCACCTTAACCAGGAGCGCGAAGCAAAATGCCATCCGGGAACCCGGGTCGCCCTCCTCGACGAGATAGGTACATGGGCCAGCAATTCGGAGAGCCACAGGATATTCTGGCTGCAGGGCATGGCGGGGACCGGCAAGTCCACCATCTCTCGTACGGTGGCACGCATACTGGCCGACCGTAAAAATCTGGGTGCCAGCTTCTTTTTCAAGAAGGGTGAGGTCGATCGCAACAGCGCGACGCGCTTCTTCACCACGATCGCTTCGCAGCTCGTCCGTCGGCTACCTGCATTGGCCCAGCATATGAAAGAGGTTATCGAAACCGATCCCGAGATTGGCGAAAAATACTTAACTGTACAATTCGAGAAACTCATTCTACAGCCGCTGAAGAGGCTTGATCATGACCGCCGGATTTCTTCGGAGACGGTGGTAATTGTGATCGATGCACTTGATGAGTGCGATCCGGAATCGCATGCTACGGCGATTATCGACCTCCTGCCGCAAGCGAAGCAGTTATCATCGATCAGCCTCAAGTTTTTCGTAACCAGCCGACCGGAATTTCCCATTCAAAGCGAGTTTCGGAAAATCAGCGGCGAATACCAAGATTTGATCTTGCATCGCGTGGACAAATACATCGTCGAGAAAGACCTATCCGTATACTTCGACTCGGAGCTTTCCAAGATCAGGGATAAGTACAATATGGATTTTCCAAACTCGCCGCTGCCCTCAAATTGGCCAGGTCAAAACAACCTCCAAATCCTGGTTGATAGGGCCGTTCCGCTATTTATTTTCGCCAAGACGGTCTGCCTCTTTATTCAGGATCAAAACTGTGATCCTCCTGACACGCAGCTGAACAAGATACTACAGTATCAGACGATGGGACAGGAGTCTCGGCTCCACGCCATGTATTTCCCGATTCTAGACCAAATGCTTATGAAACGCATCGATTCGGGATTCATCAGGCGTACTGACGAGGAACAAAAGGAGATAGTGGAAAAGTTCCGCGGGATTGTTGGCGCGCTCGTAATCCTCGCCGATCCGCTACCGGTTAAGTCACTAGCTCGACTGCTTGAAATTGAGGAACGAATCATCCGCCATAGGCTCAGCCTGCTCAATTCGGTCCTGAACATCCCGTCCGACGTAACCGCGCCGGTCAAAACACTCCACCTATCGTTCCGCGACTTCCTTATCGACCCTGAGATGCGGGCTACCAACCCGTTCTGGGTCGACGAGGAAATGACCCACGGGAAGCTAGTGACCAAGTGCCTCAAACTGCTGAGAGACTGCCTCCAAGAAGACATTTGCAGCCTACAGAGGCCTGGGAAATCTCGAGCAGACGTCGACAGACAAATCTTCCTTAAGCGCTTGCCGTCTGAGATTCAATACGTGTGTCTCTACTGGGTCTATCACTTGAAGCGGAGCAGGCGCACGGTCCGAGACGGAGACGAAGTGCACTGTTTTCTCACAGGTTACCTCCTCTACTGGCTTGAAGTGTTGGGTCTTATAGGTAGGATATCAGAGAGCATAGGATTAATAGACGATTTACAGAGTCTAACGGATGTAAGTTAGCCACCGATGCCGTACGCTAGCGCTCGCTAACGAATCATCCAGCCGGAAACAGGCGTCAAAATCTCGAGATTCCTTCATGATTGTTACGATCCAATAAGGATTGATTATGTAACTAGGCTAGACAGACCAATCAGGGCCGCGCCGGGCGCCGGCGCCGTAGATCAACGGCGCCACGGCTCAAAGAGCGCCGTGAGGCCGGGAATGGCCTCACCGGCGCAACGGCCCATACTAAAGAAGGCAGTATAAAAGGAAGGTCTTCCCAGACCTTCCGGTACTGGCTCTTTAGCAAGCAATAGCTCCTACAATTGATCAGTACCCTTTGGCTACTACTACCGTTGTTACTTATCCCAGCGATATACTCTTGTGCGTGTAACGGTTCGTCACACTTTCATCTCTTTCTTTTACTCCGTCGATGTCTCGGGACGGCTCCGCCGTCATGGAACAGGTTCATCTTTTCTTCACTTGGGACACGTCTGGAGGATGGAGGACCATGCTAGATAATTTTCACATGGAGGAATCTACGGCTCTGGGGCTGAGCCTTTCTTTTGAGGGGGGGGGTAATGTAATGGCTTGGCATGTCAGCACCTGTTGACATCTGGGATCTGGGCTTGGATCCCATCTGCCATTGCATATAAGAACCTCTCTCCTTCCATCCGATGTATCTAGCTTCTTCTTTCTTCCTCATCTTTAATATCTTATTACATTCGTCAGAGCCTTTTGGAGCCTCGCTGCTCTTAACTCTACGTGCCGTGACAAGTAGAAGATATTAAAAAGCGGAACGTCCCTATTGAATTCTACCGGAATATTCTTTACAACTTCGTTAGAAAGGCCTTAATTATTTAACTTCGATTGATCTTATTATATAACTTCCTAATACGGATATTAATATAGAGGAGTATATAAATACAACCCCTTTATATATAATTTTATTGAGATTGTATAATATTATTATTATTATTAAACTAGCGGAGTTTAGTACTATAGAAATATTATATGATAAATATTCGTAGGTTTAATTTTACAAATATATTCTCTATAGTATATACAATAATGCCTTAGCTCTCCTTAAAAGTAGATTTAATATACTAAATTCTAAGGTCGACTATATTATCCAATCGGATACCCCCCTAATTTTTACTAATGTAATTATATCTAAAGCGCGTTTGAAGGAGTACTATCTTAAATAAATTAAAGAAATTATTTGTATACTAATTTAAAATTATAGCCTAAATTTTAACGCTCTCCTTTTTAATAAATTTATTAATAAAAAAGAAAACAAAGAAGCAGAGGAGGATAGTAAAGAGGAGGAAGAAAATGAATAAATTATACCCTTAGAATACTTAATGAGTAGTAATTAGTTAATAGTAGAATATTTAATTTAACTATTAGTTGACTTAGGCATTCGATTTAATATCCAAAATAGAGATTATATTTCTCTTATATTTTACTTATAGGTAGAGTAATTAATTTTTTAAGTTCTAAAGGAGGGTATTTATAATTATACGTTTATTCGCTTATAGACGATTCGTACGTTTATTAAATTTTACGGTTGGGCGAATATTAAGTTAGATAAGAAGTATACGTAGGAAAGGGAAGAATTAAAACTTAGCCAGATTTTAGAAATCCGGTTCCCGGGGTAGAAGCCCTGTAAAGAATAGAATAATAGGGCATTGTAGAAAGATTTTATTTAATACCTTTCGGACTGTTTAAAGTTGGAGGAGGATATTAAAATCGACCCCCCCTTATTTTTAATAAGTAGTACTATAAACAATTAGAATTTGGATTGTACATATATAATAACTTTATATATATAATATTTCCTTCCTCTATAGGATATTACGTACAATTATACAGCCCTATATACTATTGGAGGTTGAAGACTATATATATACAAATTATCATTATTTAATATATAAGATTTATATAAGTAGAAATACGACTGAGGGGTTGGGCTAATTCAATTAAACCTAATAAGCGCCTATAAATATAGGTACTTTAAGTATTAATTAATTAGTATTATAATAAAGGCGGATCTTTTACTAAGGGAGATATATAGTTTTTCCTTTTAATTATTGATATTGAACGAGCAAGCTAGTAATCCGGCTCGTATAGATAATAAAATACTATCCCTCTTTCTAGATTAATTATATTTGAAAGCAGCCGCTAGAGCTATAAGCCATATAGAAGTTCCGGTTCTAATATATTATATAATAATTAGACGCAAACGTATGATGAAAAATCAGATAATACGTTTAGCTTATATAATATATTAAATATAATATATACAGTTTATTTTCATAATTTTATAATAAACTAATTAGATTTTAATAATTTTATTAGGAACGAGAGTAGGAAATAGATTCATTTGCTGTATAAATTATAATTAAGAAAAATTTTAGTTTTAGACCGCTCGGATGGTAATTCGATTTATTTTAGTTTAGTTATACGAGCTAAATTGTTAATTTAGAAGAAATCTTATAGAAACTTCAAAACCTAACTAATTAATAACTATTTTTCAATACTAATAAAAATACATTAATCGATATATAGGAGAATTAGTTAAATAATAACAATTAATTTACTATAAATCTATATACTTTATAATATATTTTAGGAGTATAATACTCTCTTCCGGGTAATTACATAGTTATATATAGAGTTTAAAACCTATAATATTATATATATAACGAATTAGGGTAATTATTTTTCCTTTAGGGAGAACTTTTTAAGTAGAGGACTCTCTCTCTTTATTTTCCTATCTACTTACTACTATTATATACGGGATAACCGACCTGTAAAAAGTGATAAAACTGTATATAGAGTTTAGAACTGGGAATATTAAATTTATAGTAATAATCTTTCATAGTATTATTAATTTCCTCCTATTTATTAAGATTGTAGAGCCCGAAAGGGGGTAGTTATTTGTAGAAAGGATAGTTCGAAGGGCCTTAGGTTTATGGAATATAATCAAAATAAATTAATCCTTTTTTCACTTCCTTTTTGGAAATTAATAAAGATTAATTAGAAGCGATATAAAGTAGTAAAGTTTGTCCTATTCTAAATAGTTCTATAGAGAATTGAAGCCGGTAATTTATTATTCAATTCAAAATATTTATATACCCGACTTTTTATTTGTTTTCCTTAGACTTACCTCCTTTATTTTCTTGTCTTAACCTTCTTAATTAATTTATTGTAGTGGATTACTAAACCGTAATTTAATAAAATAAGAGCGAGAGATTTCCTTGCTACGCTCTTATTAAAATTGGGCTCCTCGGCTATTGTGAAGGGGCAGTGACCTGTAATTTTTGATAGTCAAAGAGAAAGGCGGATATAGAAAATCCTGCTGCGGTTGGATTATCAGAGCTCATACCGAGTAAGGCATATACTTTATCGCAACGATCCGTAGCTTCGCGGGTGTGGTACATCTCTACCAGTTCACCCAAAGGGCGTATGTCAAGAGAAAAGTTGTCCGCCTGACTGGTTGCGTAGACGTATTTGGGCCGGAAGATTGCGCCCCGTATAAGGTAGGTTACCGAAAGGATTTGAGCCCGCAGGTCTGCGCGGAGTTCATTGAATAGGTTTAATGCATTTAGGCCTGAGGAGAATGCAAATCCGGCAATCTCAACAGAACCACACTTGATTAGGATATAGCGAGCCGCGGCAACTTCCTAAAGCACCTATATTAATCTGTTAGTTTTCTTAATTATAATATTTTGACATCGGTTTCCTTACCCAGATGCGCTGAAACCACGATCGTTGAAGCAGAATAAGGATTCTCGCTTTATTGTCTAATGGTCTTGTAGACAGCTCGGTGTCTAATCGTCTTGTAGACAGCTCAGCTGCGATGCGTATTTCTTCGAGCGCTTGGTCACTACCGGCTGCCTCTTCTCCAAGCCAAACAATTACGCGACTTGCTTTAGCGTAGATCTTCGCCATAGATTGAACTTAGCGTCCTTTTTCTTCTTCGTCATCTTGGTTGATGCAAATGGCCGCCCGAGTAATCCTAAACATTTGGGACCTTTAGTGACGGAGGCATTTTGCTCCCGTTGCCCTAGGGAAAAATGCTGTCCGTTGTCTTTATCAAGCGTTTACTAATATCCATGTGGATTTCCAAACGTCCGGCACGAATTCTACTAATATCCTCACTCGTCCCTGCAATAGGATGGAAGAGTTACGTAGTGCGGTGGAATCTATGAAAAAGATACTTCCCTTACAGCCCATAGATGAAGCGGTTTTGAAAGAAAACGCCCAGAAAAGGCGCTAGGCTTACAGCCCATGTGTAAAGCCATTCTGAAAGGAAATTTCATACGGCCCAGAAAAGGCACTGGCCTTACAGCCCATACGTGAAGCCATTCTGAAACAAAACTCCCAGAAATCACAAAGCAGAAAAAACGCTCAGAAGCTTCGGCACGAAGTAACCGATAGTCAGGAAGAAGTACGGAGTAAACTTTTCGTAAATCTTGGTTGTACTCCTGGGTGTAGGAAGGTCCTGCTCCACGACTTCGGCCTTGGTCTTCACTTCCAGTTCGCCAAATGATCCAGACCCCAAAATAACCAAGATGGTAACCTAATGCTCCAAAGTTCCTCAGGATCGCAGGCTTGGCATTTCTCCTTCCCAGCCCAATTCCTTTTTTTCGCCTATCCAGACAATAGTATCCATGTATTTCCCATGCGCTCGTCCTAAATTCCCACCTTACCTCTCTAGCAATGCTGTGACTGAGTATCGCGCGACTAACACCGCCAATGACGATGCTTCGAATTATGCGCGGTTGGCTCCTGTTTTCCAGGCGCTAACGCAGACAAAATGCGCAGCGTGCGGGGTTGGTGATCCAGGCAAAGGCAGCGCCTTTGAAACAAAGACAACAATAGCAACCACCTTCAAGGCTCCCAGTCAAACCCACCGAGATATACGCTACGAATTTTGTCAGTTACTTATGGCAACTTCCCTAGTTTTAGCTACTAATTTACTATACCTACAGTCCCGCGAACATAAACCGTCCGCTCGTGAAGCCTGCGAGCCTTTTCCCACCATCGAACATTTGTGTGATTAGCTGCCGACGGAGCTGAGCCTAGCGGACTCTACAATACGGCTTCTAGAGCGTGATAATACCGGCGGGGTCCGTCTAACGGAGGACCTCCCCAATAATAAGATTCCACCGTATACGATACTTTCACACACATGGGGTCCCGAAGAGGTCCTCTTCAGAGACATAATGGATGGTACAGGCAAGAACAAAGCAAGCTACGCTAGTTCCAGGAGCGAGACGTGGAAGGAGTTGTGGATTCGCCATGTCTTGGGCAAGGTTAGTCGGACAGCGGTAGGGGAAATCACCTGAGATATTTTGAAGGGGCCGTGGAGCTTCCTATCAAGCTTCTTCGAGGGTCTTTGGGTCTTGATGTGCTTACCGTTCAGCATGACCAACTGTCCCACCTCGTAGACCGGTGCCTCCGTTCGTTTCTTATCCGCCCACTCCTTCATCCTCTGACGGGCGCGGTCGAGATGTTTCTGGGCGTGATCGTGAACCTGGGCTATGTTCCAAAAGGATACAAGTAACCGAAGCTGGCAATTCGGTCGCTCAAGTGGTCTTATATAGTTGCGATGGCAGTCAAGAGGCACAGCTGCAAGGCTGCCGTCACAGTAAGGAGCATTACTTTTCTTCTAATAGAACTATAAGAGAGAGCCATTAAAAACAATATCGCCCGGCAATTGAGTAGAAATCATCCCGTATGAAAAACTTCCCGTCCTCGACCTTTGCACCACCACCCATCCAAAATCTTCTTCCATTTTGTACCTAATGAACAAAAGTAATACGAATCGGAAATCCCAGCTTGAGAATTCGCAATAAGAATGTTGCGTGCGCGTTCGAGGTATGCTGTATAACCCTCATCCGTATTAGGGTATCTTCTGTCATTGTACTCCTCCGCAAGGGACTTCAAATCGGCGATCGCTAAGAAACAAGAAACTTCTGCAAACCCCTCGGTATCAACCAAGCATTCCCGGGAAGCGGCATAAGCAGCATTCCACCTAGATATAGCCGCTATACGGCCATTTGCTGATTGTCTTCCAGTAATGTGACCGATAATGGCATAGCCGACCCTAATACGGAAAAAAGCCCTCCTCTTAAGCTTGGACGTATCACCTTCCAAGCATCTGTATTCTTTGAAAAGAGGAGCAAAAGTTGCTTCCGCAGCTTCGTCATATGCCAATCGCTTCTTTTCAAAATCTTCTGGATCCTTTAAAAAAGAATCTAAGGTTTGAGCTAACCATAATTCTGCGTATACCACTCTGAGGATGCGAGCTTGTACATCCGTGCTCACCGGTATACGGTGTAAGAGTGATTCAGCGTCTTTATAGTAACCAAGTTCCGAATAAACGGATAAAAGCTGAATGCAGCTTCGAAACGTCAACGTCGTCCAACCGTTTTTTTGGAGAGCAATCGGTTGAAGGAGGGCTAATGTGGCTTCAAACTTTCCTTGAAACCGGTGCAGTTTCCCCTTGAGGTAATCTATCTTGAAGTCCGTTTGGGAAGGTTGAGTGGCATAAACGGGCGGTAGTAGAGCCTCTAGCTGCTTTTCCGCTTCGTCTAATTTTCCCCGCTCTATCAAGGCTTGTGACGATAGAATGACGAATTCTGCAAATTGTATCTTGTTCTTCGGAGGCGGTGGTAGTTGAGGTATGTTGCCCCTGATTATATCGAGTTCGATTTTCCTTAGTTGGATGTTGATCGTCCAAAATTCCGACGCTTCGTATTTAGACGCTAGTTCTTCAGCGAGGTGAACGAGTTCGAGCTTGGTTACTATATTGCCGAAGTTCGACGCTGCTAGGCAAACCCCGATAATATAGTGGATGTTCGTCTTGCTGCATTGATCGAAAAGATATTTCTTCGAAGCGTGAGCCTCTATGAAATGTTGGACTAGGTAATAGTACGATTGGCCACGCCCTAGAAAACTGGATTATAAATTAGTACAGAGAATAAAAATTCGTTAGGAAAGGAAATCCAATACATACTCTTCTTTGGACTTATCAGTTGGGTACGTATGAGCAATAAAGAGAAGGGCTTTCAGTTCATATGTACGCAGACAGGAAGTGTCGATCAAATCTCGGTGGATTACGTCTCTCGATGTCTGGTTGAGCTCAAAATTATGGTTCGACCACCGCAATTGATTCGCAACAATAGGTGTCGACTTCGGCGTAGCTTTAATAGCTGTGGTCCTGTTTTGGGTCTTGGTTTGGGTGACGAGCTTCTCCAAGAGCGAAACCAACACTTCCTCAGTTGGGATGTGCAAGTATGAGAAAACTTGTTCCTTAATGTTACTCCCATCCTCAGACAAAAGCTCGGAGAAGGAAAAACCCCGGTGCAGGAGATCGCCATCTATACCTCTCTCAGGCAAGCATGTCATTAAACGTAACAGCTCCTTACCAGCGTCCCAACAAGCTGGGCAGGATCGCGTATGACGTAGTAACGAAACCCTATGTTGGTAAGAGTTACTACAATAGCACGAATATTGTTCAGAATGAATTGAGGGGCTAGAAGTTTGCATGTTGTCGGATGTGGAAAACGATGTACGACCAAAGGGTTGATGTTGAAGAAGCGGGGTGAAGTAAGAAAGAGCCGTATACGTGGCAGATTATGTACGGGCCTCGGAAAGCGACTCGAATCACGTGCAATGACCCGATTGGAAATTAGGTAGAGTAGGAAGTTTGTGTTACCTATCCTTTTGGAACATAGCTTAGGGGTGTAGTAGTCCGCCAGCGCCGTGACACTAACAATAGAATAAATATCGATAGAAGGGAATACGAGCGGGAATTTATACAAATGCAACTAATTTAATATCCTCCTAATATTAGCAGCCGCCGTAGCCACAGTGAACTACTTACTATACGCCGAGCTTTAAGCCTATATGTAGGCTGTTAACCCCGTACTCTCCAACTCACTTTCGACATCGCCTACATAGGCCAACTGCGCCCACACCCTCCAGTGGAGAATACCAAAATGAGCAATTCCCGTTGCTATGTCCTTAATACTAGCTTCCTCGCGGGGATCCCTATTGCTCGACGAGCTAGACGAAGTTGAAGCGCTCGTAGTAGGTTTATTGCTACTGGGGCAGGAGGAGGATTTGGTCGAGCTGGCAAGTTGATGTGTACGCCAGAACGTCCCCGCAGCTCGGCGCCAGTGCAGATTCTGGTGGCCCCTAGTAGCAAGGGCAACAATAATTCCAAACGTATCTCGTTCTTGCTTTGGGTGGACAAACAACACTGTTAGCCAAAATGATGAAAAGAAAAACTTGACATACTGCACCTAAGATTCGCTGGTCGTCACCGACGCCTCGGTTAGAAGACCATTCCTAATTGGTTCCTAGTATGTAGTTAATCGCCGAGTTTGATGAGAGCGTGGCAACGTTGGTAGTTAACGGTACTGTATAGCATACAGTATTATATGTATTGAATATCACCAATATGTTAAAAAAATCTATTAGGTACGTACTCTTTAACTATATTTACTCAGTTATATAGCTCTATATAAAGTAAGTTTATAATAAGATAAGGAATTCCTATAAAGGGATTCCTTTGTATAGCAACCTTCGGCTCGCCTTTCCTACTTTAATATTAAAGTACCTAAGACTATTCTATTTATTTGAAATCCCTTTATAAATATATATTATTTATACCTTTAAAGTCCTACTATATAACTATCTTTTTATATATAGAAAGACTAAATACTATTTACCTCGTTATCTACCCTTATAAATTATTCGGAATAGCTCATAATTGTATTTCTATATTACTTAATTCGATTAGTTTCTATATTTTTATTTGTACGACCAAAACACTTTACTAAAAAATAATAATTTTGCCGCTCAGGAATTCTTAAACAGTACGACTAGGATTTCCTATAAATAATAGGTATAACGGCTCGTTTTCTAATATTAATAGAAAATTATACTAATAGAGGGTAAGGATAATAACAAGAGTAGAATTGTTAGTGGTCGGTTAAACCTACTCCAATTTTTAGAATGCGCTATTATACCTACTATTTATAACATAATCCTAATTTGGCTTATAAAAAAGAGGTAATAATAATAGCGAAAGTAAATCTTTTAGAGGTTGGCTAAGCCTACTCCAGGGTTAAGAAATATTTTATTATATTTACTATTAAATAAGAGTTATCGAAGGGGATGAAAAGGAGGATATAAGAATAGTCTCTCCCTCTTTTATTAAATTGATTATCCTATTTAAATAGATTAAAACTATTGTTCGTTATACATTAGCTACTCCCTTTAACCTATATTAAATAATATTAAAAATATTATTGTTATATCTTTCTATAGCGCCTCCCTTAGCCCGTTGAAGAATAATACTATAAATACTAAAATTAACTATTACTTCTTCAAGGAACTATAGAATTTAATAAATATAATAAATAATACCCTAAAGTACTATTAAAACTATAAAAGAAGCTCATTGATATATTTATAATCCTTACTATACTTCTTATATATTCTAGGTATATATAAGTAAAGTTTTATATAAATAATTCAAATTCAGATTTAAACTTAAGATAGAAAGTATAGTAGTTTCTCTCTAAATATAAATATATCTTTCGTCTTCAGCTTTAATAAGTGAAAATCTATAAGACCATCTAAATCTTTTCTTTCATTTAAATATTAATACTATTACTTAAAGCCGAACTTACTTAAATAGAATAGTATTATTACTTACCCCTCTCTACTATAATATTCGTCAACGTTAATTATTATAATTAACTACTTTTCTTTAAGGGAGTAAAAGCGCAGCGATAAATATATATAGCTATTTTTATACTAAAATAGTACAAATATTTATATAGTAATAACTAGATTAATAAGCCTAGCGTCACAATTTCTATAGATTTTAGACGTTAATAATATAATTAACGGTCTAGTATACGACTTATTTATCTAGTATAGTGCGTAGGATATCTTTATACTATATTTATTTTATTGCTATTATTAGGTAGGTAATAATAAGGTAGTTGTAGAAGTATACAGTACGGTATATTTAATGAATATGAAGGAAATGTGGAACATTAAAATTATTAGAAATTATATTATCCTAACGATTTAAATAAGTTATAGTATACTCCCTATAGAATTTACTATCCTACCCTGCTAGTATATATTTAATATATTAAATTTACTAGTTAGTATCCCTATATAATAAAGTATAGAGGCTTATATAATTCTATTTCTTCGAATAGTATTAATATGCTTATTATTAGCCCTAACTTTGCTATTAATTTAGTAAGTATACTTATGACCGCCGGATACGAAGAGCTCTTTAGGATTAATACCCTTAACAAAAATAATTAGATAGAGTTAAAGATTAGTAATACAAGTATTATAGTACTAAGCAATAGAAACGAGAGAAAGGAAGTTTATATTCTAATTGCTTTTGCGTTTAATAATAAAACGCCCAGCTTTAGAGTATATAGGAAGTATGGTAAGGATTATAAATATACTAATTAGCCTTTTTAATAGTGTTAATAGTACTTTGGGGTATTGTTTACTATACCTATTAAATTCGATAGTTACTAGGAGAGTATAACGAATAATCGTCTAATCTACCTAAATAAAATAATTAAAAGTAGTAAATTATCTAACAATCTAAATTCTCCAATCGTTCCTTTATACTTCGTGTTCCTAACTATAATAGTCCGACTTATTAATTATAAGTTGGCTCATCTTTATAAGCCTAGCCTACTTCTATAAGCCTAAGCCCGCTTATAAGCCTCACTTCCCTATTATAGTTATACTACCTAGCCTTTACATAGCGGTTGTATACCGGTTGTATACTAGTGGCTTAATTAGTCCATATCCTTCGCTTATAATTCGTAATAGAGACGCTAACTTTGTAATAGATTTTGGTATAATTTATAGTTTTAATTATAAGTTTGGAATTATTAGAATCAGCTTTATTAGCGCTTATATATATTAATATAATTTCGTCCTACCCCCTTCCTACTTTCGATCTATCTATCTATTTATTTATTTATATATTTTTGTTTGCTAATTACCAAATAGCGTCCCAGTACTTTGGTTAGTTATATATATAATCTATATTATATAATAGGTATAATAAACCTCGTTTAAGTTTAATATTTCAATCATTCCCTCCTCTATTTAAGTACTGAAATTAGTAATTATATAGTAGAAAATCCTTTTTAGTAGTTAGAAGGATTTATTTAGAAGCTCTTATAACCTTATTAACCTATTCATTAGAAATGATAAAAAGTATAGTTAACCGTTAGGGATAATTAAAATATCCGTATTAAATTACTTTATTTTTAATAGGTTAATAGGTTAATTATCCTTGATTGGTCGAAGTATTTATTGAGATTAACTTTAATTAAAAGGTTTTATTCTATTTAGGGATTGCCTACCTTTTTGATAACTAATTCCTCTTTAAACTTAATTATTTATTTATTTAACTATTCTTTACAGATTTTAAAAAACTGCCCTAAATAGTCGGACGGAGCTCCGGGACCTAGTAGGTCCTTATTATTTATTTTATTTTAAGAAATAACTTTAAAATAATTAGCCCGTTTTTAAAGTCTTCTAACTCTCTATTAAATAGCTATTCCTATTCTTACAGCTTTATAGAATCCAATAGAACCATAGAAATCTCTAGCTCCATTGCGGGTAAAAGAATTATAGGCTTCTTATAGACTTTAATTACTACTAATTTAATTAATTCAACTAAGCGTTAAAATACTATAAGAATTATATCCGAATCTAGAAATATCTAATAGAACCATATAAACGTTAGTATAAAAGATTATAACCGGGTAAAAAAAATATAATATAAATATAAATAAAAAGGTAGTATTTAAAATTGTGGATTAATATATTTCCTTTAATTATCCAAAGCTATTTTTCGATATCCGTATAATACTAACCTACCAATAGGGATTCTATAGCCGCTAATTATCCAATTTTTGTTTAGGTAGCAATATATTATACGCAACCTTATTTAAAATTTCCAACATCTTTCCAATTTTAAATATAATTCTACTATACTAAATGGCGCTTTTAACTTTTTAGTCAACCCTTCTAATTTATTAATATATATTAATATAATAACTAACTATCGATACCTAATAATCATTCTTACAATAATATATACTTTCCAAATCTAATTTAGAATGTACAAAACCCTTTCTAGATATTTAAGATATTAAACTTTTAATCTAAAAGATTAAAAATAATTTAAATACGCGTATTGTAAATATACCCTTAGTTAATAAAGGCTTGAACATATACGTAAATAAATTATAATATTATTAAATATTAATAATTAGGAGTTAAGGAAGTTAAACCGAACTTACTCCTACCTAGGGTATTTATATCCAAATATACAATAAATTAAATATAATTACTCGCCTAGTTCGTAGTAATATTAATATACCCGACTTTAATAGGGCTCTAATCGAACAATAGACTTCTGAAATTTATTTTAAAATAGCTGTCTATAACTTATTATATTCAAAACCAAATACTTAAACTTTTCGGCTATTATATTTTTGTATACCTATTCAATACCCAAGCGCAAATTTTACTATACTTTCTTAAAACCTAAACGGTTGCTAACTCTTTATTTTTTAAAAGGTGGAAGGAGAGACTAATATATAGAAGGCTCTCAATTATAATTATAAAATATTGAAACGTTTTTTTTCTACAGGTCTTCTATCCCTCTTTATCCTATATATTATAAGAATTAAGGCGCAATTAATATATTTATATTAATTTCTCGTCCTAAATTAATTAGCTTATATTCGTATTATTCTACTCAATTATAATCTTTTATATAATTTTCCTACCGAGTATTTTTTCAATTGGCTATTTAAATTTAAATTAGATTCCCTTTCTATAGCCGTTGCCCTAATACGCAAGTTCTAAATATATATCCTAAAATCTAAAATCAAAGCTACAATTTGCGAAAAAAGTAATATAATTAGATAAGAAGACAACGAAGAAACAATAAGCCGCGTTACATTAGCAGCAAAATAATCTCTTTTATATACAATACCGTATATATTCCCGCCTAATATACAATATATTCCTACTAAGTATTTTCCATCTCTCTACCGCTTTATCCTCGAATATAGCGATTTCAGCGTCTATAATATAACTATTACTAAGAGGGAAAATAGAAAGCCTCTTATTACTTCTTTATTTAATTAGGAGACGGGATATATATATCCTACAATTTTATCGGATCCTTTAATAGTAATTAATCCTATCAACCTAATTACGGATAAGGATGGCGAACTTAGTATTATATATATACCGGAGGACCCAACATCCGACGAATTTAATATATATATAGAATAAATATATTACTATATTTAAATAAAATTAGTATATCCGCAATTCTTATTTTCATTTACTATCTTAATTAAACTCTAGACCAACAATCTAATCTTTATATTTATCTAGTATAGAAATTATATCGGGAGGCGCCAAACTATAAAATTGCTATACAAGCCGGTAGAGACCTTCGCCATTTATAGTTTATATTATAAAATTAGCGTAGGGGAAATTCGGAAGAATTCTTCAGTACCCTAGGAGCGTAAGCTAAGGAGTGTATAAAAGAGCTTAGAATAGAAGATATAGAGTAAGATACCGCTTAATTAAATTTCTCAACCTACCTTCCGTAACTATAGTACTAGAATATAAAATATTTACTCTAGCTGTAGCAACTAGAATATTAATAATAGACAGGGTTACTTCTTTAGCGAAATAGTCACTAGTCCTATCCACTTTTTAACTACTGCTAGCTATTAAAAAAACGCTACTTTATCCAGGGCCTAAGCGGACATCCTATTCCACACAAAAATCGTAGAGATATATTATATCTTTTAAATCCGTTATTACTTATTATCTTCAACTGCGCAAATATATAAGCATAAACCTATTATAATACGGGAGCTAATAGGAATAATTCTAAGGACTAGACATTCGAAGGTTAAAGTGAGGATTTAATACTAATATAATGAATATATAGCGGAAACTGACCTAGATTATTTAAATATCTTTTAATAGTAACGAATAGAAGTAAAGTCCAAAGACAATATATTAGGATATTTTAAAATATATTAGGATTGGACTCTCTTTAATACTTTTATCAATACTCTTCTACTTACTTTAGTTTTACCTTCCAACTTCCTTTTATTTTAAAATACTCTACTCAATCAAGAACCCCATCTAAGTTTAACAAGGGCGGTAAAAAAAATCTTTATAGCTTAGAATTATAATTATTCTAGCTTAGGATCGTTCTAGCTCAGGATCGTTCTAGCTCAGGATCGTTCTAGCTCAGGATCGTTCTAGCTCAGGATTATTCTAACTTAGGATCGTTCTAGCTTATTATTATACTAATTTAAATTCGAAGGCCTATTGCCTAATCCTAAACTCGAATCTAAATATAAAGGAAGGCGGTTAAATACAAAAGTAAAAGCCTAAATACACTTATAATTTCTTAAACCGTTCTAACTAAGGATTGTTCTAATTAAGGATCGTTCTAGCTTAGGATTATTCTAGCTTAGGATTGTTCTAACTCAAGATCGTTCTAATTTAGGATCGTTCTAACTTGGGATTATTCTAACTTAGGATTATTCTAGCTCAAAATCGTTTTAATTTAATATTATTCGTAATTGAGGATTATTCTAATCTAAAATCGTTCGAACTCAGGATTGTTCTAGTTTAGGATCGTTCTAATTTAAGATTGTTTTAAATTTAAATTATTCTAGCTTAAGATCAAAATCCTATACTTAACTTTATCAAAGTATTTTTATACTAATAAAATAATTAGGTATAAAAGGCAGTTGAATATAACCAAAAACGGGGATCGAATAGAAGGGTACTTACTATAAGAGAGTACTTATAGTAAACAAAAGAGTATTATAATAGAACGGGCCCACCTTAAAGTACTACGGCTGATATTAAAACCGCATTGGCTAATACAGTACTTAAAATAATTGTCCTATATAAATAAGAAGCGACGCTTAGATATTAAGTGAATATAATACGTAAAATATAATTATATAATAAAACTTAGGATTTAAACTAATTATCATATTATATATTAAATATTATATAATAGAACTTCTATTATATATGAATATTATATAACTCCCTTAGAAATTCGCTTTAATATTAATATTAAATTCTATACTAATAACTTCTCTAAAGTCTCTATTATAGATATAGCGACTAAAAATAGATATAGACTTATACCAAAGAGTAATCTCAAAATAGATTCGGTCCTCCGTTAGTAGGAAAAACCTATGTTTAGCTTTACTAAAGTATTTTTATATTAGTGAAATAACCAAATAATAGTAGTAATTCTATAATTCCACTTTTTTATTAAGCGCCTAAATAATTCCTATTTTAATTAGAAAAAACTTACAAATTCCTAGAACTAATTATAGTAAGTTTAATTATAAAAATATTAAAGAATACTTTAGTTATATAGTTCTTAGAAATATATTATAATTAGCAAGTAAGGATATACAGAAAGAGAATTCGGTTAAATTCGTAAACGTATTAAAAAAAAATAAAAATAATATTAAAGATAATATTGAGAATATAATTATAATAGAGAGTCTACTAATATTAGGGTTATATTATCTAACTGTAAGCGAAGTTATTGCGTCCCGATAGTTTAATTAGCCTATATATTCGCTTAAATTTGTAATAAAAAGACATTAAAATATAGTATTTTCTTTAAATTATAAAGGAGTATAGGGTTCTATATTATTATCTTATTAAGCGCGAAATAATTGGTGGCTTCCTCCCAATTATACACCAATTACTGAAATACTATTTCTTTTTTTAAGCTAGGTATTTATAGACCTAAAAGATTTAAAGTGCTAAATTAATTACCTAGGTTAAATAAAGGCTGTAACTTTCCGTTATAAGTCTATAAGATTAATAATAGTACACTAGCAACCGGCGTAGTAATTTATACTATTTATAGGAATATAGCGTGGGTAGGGCTACAAATTGTAGTAAGCCGGTACATTAAAACCAATCTATTTTAAATTAGCCAACTCTAAATCCGCTTATTATAAGAAAAAAAAGAAGGGAAGTAAAGCGAAGAAATAAATATTATATAACAATTAAAAATCGATATAATCTTCCTCCCCTTTACCTCGTAGTTACTCGTAGAATAATTTCTCTATCTAATCGAAAATATAATTGTATTTAAATCCCTTTATTCGAAAGAGGTAGTTAAAAATCTGATGAAGGTACAAATAGTTCAGTTTATTATTAAAACTTTAAAACCGGAATAAATTTAACTAACCTCTTAAACCTCCACTCTTACCTTAATCCTAACTCTCTATTATAGGGTTATAACTACCTATATGATATATATTTTAATATTTATTAGTAAGCGAATATCGTCCAATCTTTTATAAATTCAATTATATAAGTATATATATCCTATCCTATTATACTCTTTTCTACGTATTTAAGTAATATAATTAGGATTATTCCATAAGTAGTAGGTATAACGGTTCGTTTTTCGAGTTTAGCGTACAAATTAGAATAATTTTAAGCTGGAACAATCCTAAATTAGAACAATCTTAAACTAGAACGATTCTAAGGCAATTATAAACCAGAACGATCCTAAACTAGAATAATCCTACGCTAGAACGATCTTAAACTAAAACAATCCTAAGTAAAAACTATTCTACAAAATACTAGAACAACCCTAAATAATAGAATAATTATTATAGCGCTAATTAACTACTATACTACTAAACTATATTCTAAAAGGATATAAATAACTAAAACTAACAATTTGGTTATTTAAATAATTTTATATAATTGCGACGGGTAACTAAACCATTACAATAATAATAAAATAGAATAATCCTAAACGAAAATAACCCTACACCTTTCGTTTTAGAAATATAATAAAATGCGCTAAGGCTTTAGAATATTAATATATATCCTTTATAATATTTATAAATCTTTCTTAAAAAATAGTAAAAATAAATACTTAGGGGTAAGAATAACCTATTACTAAGGTTAAAATTTACTAAAAAGTTTCTCGCAAATTAAAGTATAGGAAGAAGTAGGTCTTATTAGTTAACGTTCTTAGTCCGTTTCAAACGGAAAGGGACCGTTAGCAACTCGGGAGCTGGGGGTTCTATTTTCTACCCCCCATACGTAACCAAATGTACACTTTTCTACCCTTGCCACTCTTTCGCGTAAGAAGACTAATCGCCTAACTAGTAATTGGGTCGGTGACGACCAGCGAATCCCAGGTGTTGTATGTCTTTTTTTTTCTTTTTCAGAATTTTTTTTTTTGGCCGTTTTTCCTTGTTTCTCTTGATATGTAGTTCCTTCTGGTCCGTCCTCCTTATGGCACACAAGTCATCTGGGGCTGTTGGTGCTGTTTCCCTAGGTACCTACCTAGGAAACATTTGCCGAACATGATGATGGCGAAACTTGGAAGATGGGTAGCAGGAGGAAAGAAGATGGATAACGAGAACTAACTCGAGAGAAGGTACCAGTTGCCGTTTGCTCCCACTTTGGCCTTCAAATACCTCAAAACCACATACCTCAAAACCCCCTATGACAGCAACCACTAAACAGCAAACTCATGTTCCCAAAAAGCCAAAAACCTCTCAACTTCCACTTCTACCTGCTCATTACCCCCCGAAGCTAGCGCCATTGCGTTCCTGATTTGTTCTTTCCCCTCTGGCGTCTCGACTAGCTCTAGGAGATCTCGGAGGCCGGGGAAGTTTCTGAAGATTGGACCGCTGAGGATTGCGCATGATTGAGGGGAAAGAGGGTGAAAGAGTATATAAGAGCGGGCCCGGTTGCGGTGGGTGGCGGTGGGGACGGTGCAGAGCGGGAGGAGGGTGTCTCTGCTGGGGATGGAGGTGTTGACGTAGGGTGCTACTGGGTGGTGATAGATATTTGGGTGGTGGTGAGCGTGGGTAGTTGGAGGGATTGGGATGTGAGCTTGTGCCGGTGCTGGAGTAGAGGATGGTGGTGGTTGTTGGAGGGAAGAGAGGAGTGATGGGAGGTCTGCAGGGTGGGAGATGGGGAGGATGGGGATGGAGGAGAGGGGTGGGTTTTGAGTTGAGAGGAGACTGTAAAGTTGTTCGTTAGTTGCCTGGCTTCATTATGTGATTTGTTGAGGTCATGATGTCAGAAAACAGAACCGAAAAAGCAGGGGACCAAAAAATGGAGACGTACCTAATCTGCAACTTCATGAACCCCTCCATCCCCTTTTCCTTTCCTTCCTCGTCGGTCTCAAGCGCATAAACAATCTTTGCCTGCGAAGCATCACTTCGATCCGAGCGACAGAAATCATATAATCCGCCGATCCACTGCATCGTCCTTGCCTTGCCGACATCAACAGCCGAGTATAACAGAAGACGCAGGACCCGATAACTATTTCCGCTGGGAACCATGAGGGTGATGTCGTTGTAGCGCAGCTCAGTCTCTGTTGGAAGGGAACGAAGGCTGTCAGTGGTACTGAATGATGATTGGCATGGGAAAGAATGAAGAAGGAACGAGGAATGTACCTTGCCACTGCCCTCCTGGCTGATGAAGCAGCTGAAAGACGACTTCGGTCCATGCGGGTCTTTGTCTGAGGTCCGAGGATAGCAAGTTCATGGTTGTTGTTGTTGGGTGGTGGTAAGGGAACACTGGGTGGGAAAGGATGGGGGAAAGTTCAGTTGGATGTGAAAGAGGGTATCGTGGGATGTGATGCTGCCTACGGTTTGCAATGTCAGAAAATGGCCCATCGTACGATGCCTGGAATGTTCTTTCCTATCTTCCATTCAACTGAAGGACATTCATCGCTCCTTCCTCGGATGATTAGAGTAGCGTATATTCGCTGAAAAGTCTTGAGGCGCACCTGCCTCCAAGTTCCTGACGATGGTGTACCTTTACCTCTGAGCCCGGGATCCAGGTTTGCCAACTATAGGTAGTTTCCATCGCTAAAAGTTTGCTGAGAAAAGCGATGATAGACAAGTAGGTACCTTATCTTTCCCAACTCTTGTTTCATTCCATTTCTTTCCTGTCCTTGCTCTGAACTAAGGTACTTACATACCTCTACCCACACTCACCTAACCTAACCTAACCTAACCTAACCTAACCAACCCTATTCCTCCCCTTTCATCCTCCCTTGTCCATGCCCTTGTCCATGGCCTTGTCCTGTTCCTCCTCTGACTGGTAATTTATGCCCTCCCGATCCCGACGATGTTCCCGACTGTTGTAATGTCTGTTGCTGCTGTTGCTGCTGCTGCTGCTGTTGCTGTTGATGTTGCTGCTGCTGAGAAGAAGAAGAAGGCATGGTCGGTACCGGAACGCCGTCCACAAAGGAAATGACTGGCTCGGCAAAGGCTTGGAAAGATGGTTGGCCTGTTTCGGGGTGGGTGGGGAAGAGGGATTCGATTAGGTTCTGTATGGTGTTGTTAGTGATTATCCGCTTGAAGAGCATTGAAGAGATGAGATGAGATGAGAGGGGGATAGAAAGATGAGAGAGAGATGAGTGGGTAATGAGTGGGTGATGAGAGTAAAAGACACAGGGGTGGAAGAAAAAGGAACAGAAGAAGAAAAACATACCCAATCAACATTTATCCCACCACCTATCGTCCCGCCCGCATTTCCTCTGCCTGACCCTCCTCCTCCACTACCACCAGTAGCACCAGCAGCACCACGACTGCTGCTGCTATTACTTCCACCATTACCTCCACCACCACCACCCTCATTTCCATTCCCATTACCAGCAATAGAGGCACTAGAACCCCCACCCCCAACAACACTCCCATTCCTCCCCCCTCCTGGTTGCCCACCTACTTGCCCCCCTCCATGACCATGACCATGAGCATGATTCACCACACTCCCCCCATCGCTACTACTACTGTTCTCCGGACTCCCCGGGTTATTACTATTCCCAGGCGGCAACCCCCAAAGGACAGCGCCGTCCGAGACCCCTGCGTACACCATGTTGGGTGGCGGCATGTTGTTGTTGTTATTGTTGGTGTTGGTATTGTTGTGCCAGTGGGGTTGTTGAGAGGGGGGCCATTGGTTTTGTTGATGATGCTGCACGTGTACATGGGACTGGTGATGTTGCTGCTGCTGCTGTGGGTGCTGCGGGTGGTGTTGGGATTGTAGGTGTTGGGAATGTTGCACTTGGTGGTGGTGGTGCTGTTGGAGGAGGAGCAACTGTTGTTGTTGCTGCTGTTGCTGTTGATGGTGGTGCTGTTCGGCCGGGGAGAGAGAGCCGTTCATGCTTGAGTTTGGAAGAGAGAGGATGTTGATGGAAGCCATGGCTGCGGCGGCGGACATGGACATGGAAGAGGATGGAGGCATGGTGGGTGTTTGGAGGCCGGGTTCCTGTTTGAGAACTAGGGGTTGTTGCTGCTGCTGCTGTTGTTGCATCATCATTTGTTGTTGTTGATGGTGATGATGATGCTGAGCCTGCTGATGAGCGTCATACGACTGCTGCTGCTGCTGCGACGACGTCTGCATCATCATCGGTGTCGGCGGCGGAGGCGATTCCTTAATGGCCTGCTTGCCCGGCACCGCCCTGACCAAGTTCGTCGGGGCCCGCATCTTGCGCATGCTCGTGTACACGCTCGTCTTGCTCATGATCTCAGTCAAGATCCTCAAACTCTTGTCCTGTCTCGGCATCTCGCACTCGAGCTGGAAGACCCAGTCCAGACACGCCCAGATGCGATCGGCCTTGGTGTTGTTGGGCCGATAATAAATCTCGGTCGCGAGCAAAAGCGCGATTTGGTACTGCTGGTAGGCACCCAGGTACCATGCCCAGTCGCGGAACTCGGGCGTGGTCTCAAGGGCGATGGAGTGCTCGATGATCAGGATGCCGCTTTCGACTAGCAGCCCGTTCAGGCGCTCGGGTAAAGGGTGGGCCGTGTTGCTGTGGTAGGGGTGCAATACCATGGCGTGGAGTCGGTAGATGAGCAGGTTCATGACATATCGGGCGTATCGTTGGATGGGAACCCGGTCGTCTAACAAGGGTGTGTACTTTTCCACCATGCGCTTGCGGAAGTTTTCGATTTTGGCAATGACAGGCGTGAGATCCATCTTGCGGGCCTCGAGCTTGCGGCGGTCCGACCAGATGATGCGCATCATCTCGTTGACTTCGAAGCGCATGATGGTCAGCAGGGATGAAGTCCATTGGTGGTCTTGTGGGACGACAGGGTAGCCGGGATGGTTGACGAAGGCGTCTTCTTCGCAGTTTAGGGGAAGGCGGGTGTCATAGTCGTCTCGTCGGATGGTGGGCTTGGGACCTTGAGCTTCGCAGGTCCGGATGTCGAGGAAGCAGAGCTGGTGCCAGATGAGTCTACGGACGTGGGTTTCCAAGGGGTTGAGACCAAAGGCTTCACCGTCCCGATGGAGGCCCATGCATTCGGCCATGCGGACGGCGGCGCCGACGAGGACGGAGTGAGCCCGGGAGACTTCTTCTCTGCAGAGGGGTATCTGAACGTCGTTAGCCTGCCTGTATGCTACCCTTTTTCTCGGATGACAACTCACCATGTACATGACAAAAGCCTGTAGTGTCTCGACCTTGGTCGTCCTCAAAAAGTTGGCCCTCGCCAGCGCGCTCTCCGTCCCAATCTTCATCTTCTCCAGCAACTGCGTCTTGTACCACCCAAATTCCCTCTGCACCTCCTCCTCCTCCATGCTCACACAGGCACTGAACCAGGCAGCAAATACCACCGCCTGCACCGACGCCCTCGGCTCGATGTTGTTGAGCACCTCCAGCCAGAACCCGTCATACAGGGTCTCGAAGGATTGCTTGTGGACACATCGAGCAATGGGGTGCACGGCGGCAAAGTATCGAGCCACGAGCCCGTCACCGATGAACTTGTCTGGCAGGAAGTGGATGAGCGAAGGGGGGTGGCCAGTTTGCCCAAAGAAGAAGCCGCTGGTAGGAGGAATGTATGCCGCACTAGGACGGAGGAAGTCCGGGACGTGTTCGGTTACGTTTCCGTCTTGGTCGATTATGGCGTGGTATCCTGGGATGTTGTTGGCATCCGCGTAGCTCATGTCTGTGTCTACCTGCTGCTGCTGCTGCACCCCGTTTGGGTTGGACGCGTTCCCCATACGAGGACTTCCAATGCCGACTTGGATCTGTCATCATCGTGATAGTCATCAGTATCTTTCCCCTTCAAGAATAACATCGCAAACATCAAAAGACAGAAACTCACCTCCTCCGCCAACCTAGGCCTACTCATCCCCCCAATCCTTTCCGTAATCCTCATCTTACCCACCTGTATCCCCAAATCAATCACATCATCCGTCTCATTCTCATCATACGCCACATCATTCGTCACCAACGGCGTAATCTCCAAGTCTTCCTCTCCCTCTTCATGTTCTCCCCCTTCTCCCTCTGCCCCGTCGTAATCTTCTCCCTCTCCATCATCCCCGTCCCCATCCCCATCCCCCTCCCCATTTCTATTTCCATCTCCCCCCCTTTTTCCTCTTATGCTATTATCCCCCCAAGTAGAAACACCACTCCCCCTCCTCCTCCCCCCCACACCCATTATCCCACCCATTCCCATCCTGATCCCTTCTCCTCTATATCCACCTGAAGAAACAGAAGCAGCGCCCTTGGCAACATCCCTCTCCAACGCCCGTTCCAAGGACCCAACCTGCTCTTTGATCTCTGTTAATCGCATCTGGGAAGCTTCGTCGAGTTTGGGGCCTAGGTAGAGACACTCGCGATTGAACTTTTGGCAGTTGACGCACGGTTTGCACTTGTTGCATTTGAGTTTGCGCCGACGACATTCGAGGCACGAGGTGATCATGCGCATGCGTCGGCGAATGGGTTTTTGGCCCCCGGTGTGTTGGATTTGGGAGGGATGTTGGGAGAGAGGGCGGTGTGGGCTGTTGGATAGAGGTAGGGTACTGGTTAGGCTGGACATACTGGATATGGGTATGGGTACCATAGATATGGGCATGGACATGGAAATGGGCATGTTGGGGAGAGGGGGGAGGTTGTTGGGGGGGTAATTGGTGGGCATTCCGGCGGAAATGCCCGTGGCGATGGACATGATGTTGTTGTTATTGTTGTTGTTGTTCATTTGGGCGGATGAGGTGATGATGGGTTGTTGACTGCTGCTGCTGTTGCTGCTGCTGCCCATTCCGGATCCAATGCCGCCTAGTAGCCCGTTTATATTTCCTGCCCCGACTCCAAGCATTCCCATGTCGAGACCCATGCTGGATGGTCCGGGCCCGTAGAGGTTGTTGCTGCTGTTGGGGTCAAGACTTCGTGGAGTGGACATCGGGGTGACCATCTGGTCGTCGTCTAGCGTGGCCGTGGTTATGGACGAGGCGACACTTGTTCGTCGGAAGGTACTTTGCTGCTGATGTGCGTTTGACGGTGGGAGGGAGGATATACCGCCCATGATTGTTGATGACATGCTCACGGAAGGAGGTATGCTAGTTGGATAGGCTTGTTGTTGTTGATTAGCTGCTGACGTTGAGGAAACGGCGTGTTGTTGATGCTGATGATGCTGGATATGTTGTGCTCCTGTCGTCTGCGATGCCATTGAAACCGGTACCGCAGTCATCGATCGAGGATGAGGGTGAGTTGTAGTATGTGGCTGTCGATTACTGTGATCTTTTGTTGTGTTCATGGTATTCGTCGGCATGCCGTTCGCTGTGGCCATTCTTCGACGGCCGCCTTATTTTGTTCGCCCCCCTTGAATTAGGCAAATGTATATCCTGGTATCGTGAAATCACGTTATTGGTAGAGTTTGCTTGTTTTCTTTTTTTCGTTGTTTGATTTAAGGTGGCTCTTATGCGAAAAAATTATCGAGTGGCTTCATTGTTTGTCCCTCAAGGGGCGAACTAGGCAATCAGCGGTTCAGACTCGAAGGGGCTTTGGCGATCTCCTATATCCTATTCCTGATCTGATTCTCGGCCGCAGCCGCGGTTTGTGTCGATTTTCTTCTTGCGAAATCGATCTCAGCTTCAATGGTCACTCTGATTTTATTCGCGAGTTTGCGCCGATCCTGGAGAATAAAGGTCGAGCGGATGATGCCGGACCCTGATAGACGTAGACGCATCGGTTTTCTGGCTGTGTTTAGGGGTGAGATGCAAGTTGAAGAAGATGAAGTTGTCTTGATTCAGGAGGGTCCTTAGTAACAGAGTAGATTGGAAGGCTGATACTACCTGCTACTCTTGTGGTCCGTCTTGGGGGTGGTGGTGGTAGTAGTGGCGGTCGCTCAACCACGTGCAATGCTCTGGTCCTGCTGAAAAGGAAAATGAGGCGTAATGTGTCTTGGTAGTGCTACTTGCTCGTCGGTACCGTCGGGATAGATAATTCCGGCTTGGAGCTCATACGACACTTCCGTGAATAGTAACGGGTCGGTGTGTTGTCGTATACCTCAGCTTCTCGGGAAAACACTTTCCATCACAAGAGAGACTCAAAAAATGCTAAATTCGAATAAAATACCTGAACTTAACAGATATGTTTCAGTAAGTTCGTGTCTGTTGGGGAGAACGGATTCTGTGCGCTCTCTCTCAAGACTATTGCGTCTGTGTCCAGTCTGTGTGATGGTGCTCTCGCTAACTATATCGTTCGGTCTTGGGTTCAGCCGCTTTTTGGGTGGTTCATGTCCTTCTGAAATGCCACCGACCGACCTTTGCGTGATGTGCGTCTGTGTGTCCGGAAGGGTACCGTACCGGAGGGTTAAAGCTGGAACTGGAACTAGACTGGAACTTGGGGGGGTATGTGTGTGTGTGTGTGTGAGGAGGGGGGGGGAACACGTTGTGCGAGGTGATGCTGCTTTCTTATTGTTGTCACACTCACTCTCACTTGTCTCTTTGGGGTTTCCTGGCTTGCTCTGGTTGCGCTTTTGGAGGGGGGGCTGGCGTCACGATCGATAGTAGGCGCCACAGCCACCACAACCACGCGAGATGATGAACCCTGATCACCGACCGACCCCGAACAAATGGGAAAGTATGGAGATTCCCGTTCCTTCTTTTAGCAGCAGCAGCAGCAACCGCACAGGAAAGGGGAACAAAGACTATTGGACTGTTGCTCTTGATTTCTCTTCCCTTGAAGACGGCACCCGGAACGCCAGCCGACATGCATCCAGGGGTTGGACCTAAAGTTTGTATGTACCGGGACGGCGGCTGCTTGATCCCCAGATTGTCAGCTCCCAATACCATAGGATGCGTGAGTCCGATAAGGGTATGTGAGGTAAAGAAGAGAGGGGCAGGTATGAAAAGGGTAGCTGCGGCTAGCTACCGAACCAAGACCGAGTCAAAGTCTCGGACCGTATTAAATGGGGGAACAAGAACAAAAGAGAGAGGGAGGGAGGGAGAGAAGACAGATGGGTCGGTCAGACAGGCCAGACATGCACCACAGATTGGGAAACTGGGGGAACTGGGTGAGCGATAATGCAGAAGCGAGTGAAATAAAAGGGATCTCGGGCAGCAAGCTACCAGGAAGGATCCGAAGCTCCTTTCAACCTTCTCGGTCGGTCAGCCAGCCTTTACCGAATTGCCATTTTTGGTATTGAGCTCAAAGTACCTCACTTTTTCCCCCCTCTTCCCCTTACATACGATGATATTCGCGTAGTTGGTGACAATGCCGGCGTGACTGCTTACTCCCAACAGTGATTGTTGACTGTTGGGTGGTAATAGTTCTTCATCGCCGGGATGGATCTGCATGAGGAACTGGGAATTGCCTGTTCGCTTTGCGCTCTTTTTCTTATATGCCTCTTTTGGGTCTACAGACGAACTCGATGGTCCCATTTCTGAAGAAACGAGTGTAAAGTCCTTCGGGGAATCTCCTTGCTTAGACCCACATACCTTGATCAAGACATGGATGGGACAATGGGTGATGGGGGTTTATGTGAGCTGCAGACGCAATAGCGCTTCACACGCTCCCGCCCGACCGACCAGACGGGATAGCACAGCAACGCTTTTTGAAAGACTGGGGAGGGAGAAGGATTGGGGACAGAGAGCTAGGGGCAGAAGCTGCAGGCAAGCACCGGAACGTTGATCCCACGTTTCACAAAGAGTGGAGGAATCTAGGTAAGCTGAAGTACTATACTGCGGGAGTCGGGGTGCCGTGGTGTTATCGCCATATGTCGCTTGTAGGTATGCTTCTTCGTTTATTAAAGATCAATTTCGGTGAAGTGAACTCGATCAGAAGAATGCCATTCGATTTGGAACATCAAGACCTGGCGAGTTTTTCTCTCGTCTCGAGGGCTGGCCCATGATCCCATGTGTCGTTTCGAATCACCACCACCACCACGAGGCAACTCACCGTAGCGTTGAGAATATCTCGTCAAAACATCCCCAGCCGGAATGTATTCCTTCCCATTCGCATTCGGCACTCGGTTATTGTTGACTCTAAGCCCTTTGAGGAGTGGCAGCCCACTCCACGCAGGAGGCGTTCGATCCGCCGCTCCCCTCACCACCTCCATCTCTGGTTTTGTGTGTGTCCAAACAACAGCGTGTGGGAGGCTGGGTCCGAGTCTAGATTCCCTCAAAAGCCACCAGCCAGCCATACAAGACTGAACCATGCGCGCGAACGCCACTTTGCTACTTGCTTGCTGATCGACCGTGTGTCTCAAGATGAAGATACGTGAGTGAGGGGGTTGATGATTAAGAGGAAATTCACAGTAACGACGGACTAGGAACCTACGCCGGAGAAAGATTGTGGCGTGAGATCGTGGCCTGGCAGGCGGACCAGCGGGACAGAGAGCACAGAAGCCACGATCGGGAGACTCCATGGAGGAGGAAGCCTATCGGACGTTCTGGTCGTCTTTGTGTGACTGTTGCAAGTATTGAAATGTTGCTGCAGGTCATCGCTGACCCATCTGTCTCGCCTGTCTGTTCCTTAGACCCCCGTCCTTGTTTATGTCTCTGAGTCTCATGTTTCAGTTGTTGATTTAGGTTTTGATTTGGGTTATCCATCTTTCTTGTGCTCGCAATCTGCTGTTGAGTTTTGATCCCCAGAATAAGAATAAGGGATGAACAACATAGATCGTAAGTTAACGATCTTTCGTTTCTCTTCTTGTGTACTCCTTTCATTGCCGTTGAGTGACCTGAGAGTGTCCCAGCGGCCAGGCCAGACCAGATCGTCTGTTAGTAACCGTGTCACCCCGTCTGGTTGTTGAAGGTTCGTTTTAGGCACACCTTGTAGTCAAACTCACGTACCCACTTACAAATCCACTCACTCTGATTGCCCTGAGGCTTGCCATAGGCAGATAAATCGTCAACCGTTGAGATCTCTAACAGAAGTCGGAAACATGGAACCATGGCTGGTCGTTTAGGCGAGTTTCAAGTCCTGAAATCATGGAGTACCGCGCGGGACTTCCTCGAGCCCTTTCAAACCTAGACACGCCCTTTCTCGCCTTTGGTAGTAGGTATGTATGCTTTGGTCGGGGCCCGCCCGAGCACGGAAGCATGGTGGCGACCAACTTATTTGCATATCTGCCGTGTAACCACGATTGGTCTCTGTGGCACCATGACACCATCCACCCCGACCGACATCCCAGCAGCGCTAATCAAAATAATCATGGGGAGCTTCTCGGTCAACGCAATCGCGGCGGTGGAAGAGACAGAGTCTGGGGAGGAGCCCTTGTCGAGTAACTGCCGTCGCGACAGATGTTGAACACTTGAGTATTGGAAAGCAAAAGATGCCGTGGGTATGTATATGCCCAGAACCAGAATGTAGACAGATGTTGTTGTTGAAAATTGAACGTATTGAAACTGAGTTATGTTCAGAAGAAAGTAAAAAAGAAAAAAAAAGAAGAAAAGATATGTGCAAGCATGCCTGCTTTCGTTCGTTATATACGCCCCTTTCCACCTAATATGACGACATCTGCTTCAACTCCCTCCTCCTCCTCACCTGATAGGAATTCGGCTTGTCCTGCTCATAAAGCTTCGTCCTCCAGTCCACCAACTTCTGCCTTGTCGCTCTCGCCACCTCGGGTCCATAATGCCTCTCCATGCACTGAATAAAATACCTGAGCCTCGTTTCCCTGCCCGGTCGGCCCATGACCAAGTCCTTGGTCACAACCTTGTAGAGAGCCATCAGGACATCTGCGCTCAGCCCTTGGTTCCATGGATTCGGCTGGTGGATCGCGTCACGGTCGTTGGACTCGCTGTACCTGGAGTCAAGGGTGTGCTGCACCGTGGACTGAATGTCCTGATCAGTGAGACCGCCCATGCCGCGGGCAGCCTTGATGGCTTCGACTTCCTCCAGATAGCTGATGGACTGTTGCATCAGCCGGTATTTCTGTCTGTCGGAGAGATGTTCAACGCTTGCGAACAGGGGTGCGATCTGCGCAACGACTGTGGCACGCTTGTCACCCACGTTTCCATGGAGGCTCAACCGCTTCCGTTGGTCCTCCAAGGAAACCCTGTCGGGGTCGAATGCCTCTTCGAATCTGGGAATGTCAAGGACTTTCCAGATGGTGGAGATTCTGATGCTCGGGTCGGCAATGATGGCCTTGGCATACTTTAGGTATACGTGGGTGCTGAACGGCGCGTGCTTGTCGCCGTCATCCATCTTGGGTGGCATTTTGGAACTCATCATTTTTTCCATCTTTTCCCTGAACACGGGACCTATCGCTCTCTTTTTCCAGGCATAGGCTTCCCAGATGCGACGCATCTTGAGAGCTACCTTGTGGTCATCACAAAGATAGGCAAGGTCTTCGAGAAGAGTGCGGTTAATAAAACCTCTTCGTGCGAACTTCTTGAGGGCCCTGGGGAGGTGATGAACCCGGTTGAACGATCGGAGGATATGGAACATGCTGGTGAACAAAAGCGCATGATTTGTCGCTGGTTCGGACTCATATATGGCCATGGCAAGGCATGCGAGTTGGCTGTTGTCGAGACCAACTTGGTATGCCTCATGCTTGTGCCTGTACATTCTGGCCGTTAAAAACCTTCTCTTGAGACGATCTCGACTGGCCCAGTGAAAGAGCATCAGCGAGCACATATGAAAGTTACCCAAATGCTCAATGGTTTCCGGTACCGTCTTAAAGGCATCAATGGCATCGCAAAGTAATTGTGTGTTCACTCCGTCCATCTGGGCCAGCACAGAAAGCCAGTTGTATACTACCGGACTTCCCATCCCCTCTGGACTGGAGCCGAGTTGCAGAACGAGTTCAGTGGCTGCATCGAAAAGGATACTGTGCTTGTGTGGGGAGACGGCTTCCAAGGCCGCAGAAACCCAACGAACATGTAGACAGTTTCTCTGAGGATTCTCCCCTCTGGAACGGACGTTGAGCGCAAACAGGACGGAGTCGACGCAGCTGATAGACTTGGGATCTGGTGGAGGCCATTCCAGGTATAAATCTTGATTTGGGTCAGTGTCGACTTCCTCCGTGACATCTTCGTGAAATTTGACTTGGTCCAGATCGTTGTTGTCAAAATCGCTCTCGTCGATATCTTCTTCCTCAACGTTTGGCGTAGCTTTATCAGCCTCATTCAATTGACCCCCGTCAGGGCCTTCCCCAAGATCTGTGGTTCCTGGCGGCTGAGCAGCCCATGCGGTGAGAATTCGTTCGAGGACTGTCAAAATGCCTTCCATACCCTTCTTGATACCAGGTTGGGATACGGTGCGCATTCCCCAGTAGAAGAGGTAATACAAGTCGTTGCCAGGTTCAAGTTTGGACATCCACTCGAAGAATTGCCGCCAGAAGGCAGGTTCAACGGCGTCTGCGGTGAGAGTTTCGGAACTTCTGACGCCGTCAATAATGGTTTTCAGAAATACAGCTAACTGTGCCTGTGTCATGTTGTACAGCGCCGAATAATGGGTCTGCATCATGTCCTCGTCTTCGCCCCATCTCTCCTGTATGGTTCGGATCAGCTCATGGGAGATAGCCCTAAGTTCTATGGCCGATATCTCGCCAAGAGCAATGTTTTGCTTGAGGTTGGCGCATATTTCACCGAACAGTTCCGCAAAGATCGCCAGGGGTTCTGTGAATGCCGCATGTAGACGATCTACGTCTTGTCGAAGATTTACGTACTGTGCTGACGGGGATTGTGGTTCCTCCTCCAATATATCCTCTTCTGCCTCCTCTTCCCGGACGGCCTCTGGACCCGTGGTTTCCAGCTCAACGTCCCTCTCCATGTTTTCCAATTCCTCAGGCATCGTTTGTCCCAGGGCTTCCGAAAATGACTGGAGGTCACCTCCTCTTCTCAGGGAACGTATGTTTATGGTCTCTGGGTCTTGAAACCATTTTGGTAGTTGAACCGCCGAGGGGTTGGTAATCTCTGGTTCTGTAGGCCTCGCTTCCTCCGGCGGCTCTGACGTTGACCATTGTTCCATAAAAGCCTCTGGACTTATCCACTGATCGGGCTTTGTATTCTTTTGATCTATCTCTGATTCTGGAACTGAGGTAAAGAAGCCTGAATCGTCAAAGACATCTGGTGCAGTTGTCGAATGGCTGGTGTCTATTGAAGTCGCAGTCTTTAGGTCTACTGTAAACGACCTGTCGAGCGCTCCATGTAAAGACCTTTCTTCCCATGGGAAATTCTGCTGGGCCGAGTGCTGTGTAGCCTCTGGGCCTTTCACATCAACTTTTGCCGACCATTCTGGTATAATTATTTGATAATCGGAGTGCTCCAAGGTGTCTGTATGTTGCGCTGTCGGGTCCCAAGTGAAATTTCCGGTTTCGTCAAAGATGTCGGATGCGGTTGTTGAGTGACTGTTGTTCTTCGAGCTCGCAACTTCCACGATCGGAGCTTCGGGGCTTTTTTGTGAAGGCCAGCCTTCAAATGGTGTATCGTTGGGGGTCGAGTACTGTGTATCCTCGACACTTTCTGTATTCTCCTGAGCTGACCATGCATCATCAAGTGGGATGTCGTGTCGAGCCGAGTGCTGTGTATCCTCGAAGCTTTCCGTTTCTTCTTGCTCTGTCAATGGCTCATCACATGGTATGTCATCCCGAGTCGAGTGCTGTGTATCCTCGACACTTTCTGTTTCTTCTTGCGCTGTCAATGGCTGATCATATGGTACGTCATCCCAAGTCGAGTGCTGTGTATCCTCGAAGTTGTGTATTCCCTCCTCTACCGCGCACTGTTCCAGAAACTGTTGTGTTATCGGTTCATTCTTCGACTGTCGCAAATCTTGATGCGCCGTCCAACCGCTTACAAAAAAGTCGGCATTAGCGAGCAAATCCGTTGGCGTAGAATTATCGAACCCAATTGCCGTACGATCAAAGGCAACATGTTGCGCCGAAGCTGAAGATGGCGGCTCCCAATTCCACTGACTCAGGTCGACTGGGTAAGGGAAGGCCCATGGTGGTGGAGTGGGCGGACATTGTAAGGCATTGAGATCTCCGAGGTTCCGTTTCCCCAAGCGGCGGCGGGCCTCGAGCGGACCGGGCACGCTCCCCACCGTCCTCCGTGTGGACTGGACAAAGCTGGCGAGATGGGGGAAGTCGGCGGCGGAGGCGACCCAACACGGAGGGCCGGTCGGGAGTGGGCTTCGGGGAATGGAGGGAATTCGCGGAGTTCGACTCAGCTGGAGCAGGCGGTAGCAGTGGGAAGTTTGTGGAGTCATGGGGAGTGGACTCGGAGCGGAGGAGAAGGAGGAGACTCGACGTGGGAGCTTGACTCGCGTTCACGGGCGGCGGAGGGGTGGGTGGTCGGGGGATCCCAGCCTAGTGAGATCCATCGGAGGGGGGAATTGCTTGTTGATTGAGGTGTCGAGATGATGTAGTGTATAGCAATTAAGGAGGTATATCATGACAGACAAAGAGAGTGAATTGGTGTTGAGGAGGACATGGCGAGACCAGCAACGTACGACACAATGAAGAGAACAGCTTAGCTTGGTAGCTCGAGACTTGTGAGAGTTCGTGAGGGGGAATTGTGGATATCAACTTTTTAGTCTAACATCGATTGCGGGCAGGCCCAGGCAACGGCGCGGCACAGCTGAGCATCTCCAACGGAACTTAACCTATCTAAGGAAGCAAGCTGTAGCGAGCTGTGCTTTGTCTGTGGCTGATGGTACCTGCATTCGTCTGAACTTTCCTTGAGGGCAGTTGTGGCTTTTACCTGTTACTATACCTCTAGGTAGCCCACAGTTTCCAGTCCTAAAGTCGTAGGCCACAAATTGACCGAGAAAGCGCGCGGGGGATTGACAGACAGACTTCCAGGGACAAGAGGGGTAAATTTAGTGGGAGCTCGATCGTACCAGGGGTGCAATTGGCAGCAGATCGACCCCGCAATACGCCAAAAAGGACTCCACTGAAATTCAGCAGCCGAGCTTCAACGCTGTGGGTGCGGTGATCCTCCACCGGGCAGTTCTGTTTTGGATATCACAAAGTCCATGGAAACATGGCGGGGGCTTCTCTCTGTCTCTTGTCCTTGTCCACTGCCTTGGTTGCCTGGTACCTTCACAACAAGTCAACAAACAGACACAAGATGGCTTCCCAATTTCCTCCTCTCAAGAATGACTTGTTGCTCAGGGCCGCCCGTGGTAAGTCTTTCCGAAAATTTCAGACAAAAAAAGAGTCATCTCATCTTTCACATGCAATCTCATTCACTAACACACCCATTTTCTCACACACAGGCGAGACCGTTGAGCGTCCCCCTATCTGGGTGATGCGCCAGGGTGAGAAGTTCTCACTTACACATTTTTACTTTCACTCCGAAACTCACCTCTCATCCTCACAGCCGGCCGCTACCTCCCCGAGTACCATGAAGCCAAAGGCGGACGTGACTTCTTTGAAGTCTGCCGCGACCCCGAGATCGCCTCGACCCTGACCCTCCAGCCCATTGAGCGCTACGCCGGCCTGATCGACGCCGCCATCATCTTCTCCGACATCCTCGTCATCCCCCAGGCCATGGGCATGACGGTCGAGATGGTCGACAAGAAGGGCCCCCACTTCCCCAACCCTCTGCGCTCGCCCAGCGACGGCCAGTACGCCGAGCTCATGAAGCGCGACGTCGACGTGGCCAAGGAGCTGGATTACGTCTACAAGGCCATCACCCTCACCCGCAAGAAGCTCGACGGCCGTGTCCCCCTGTTTGGATTCACCGGTGCCCCGTGGACGCTGCTGTGCTACATGGTTGAGGGCGGCGGTACTAAGCTGTTCAAGGAGGTCAAGACGTGGATCTACAAGTATCCCGAGGAGACCAAGGCTTTGTTGCAGAAGATCTCGGAGTTGTGCGTGGAGTACTTGGCTCTGCAGGTCAAGGCTGGCGCTCAGGTAATGCCCCCTCTTGTCTGGGTCTATCACTTTGGCCATTCAGTACTAACGACATCCAGATCGTCCAAGTCTTTGACTCCTGGGCCGGCGAGCTCTCCCCCTCCTCTTTCAAGACCTTCTCCCAGCCCTACCTGACCTACATCGCCAAGCACCTGCCGCTTCGCCTCAAGGAGATGGGTCTCGAGCCCGTCCCCATGGTTGTCTTCCCCAAGGGCGCATGGTACGCTCTCGACGCCGCCTGCGACATGGGCTACAATGTCGTCGGCCTGGACTGGCTGCACGACCCCGCCGAGGCCGTCAAGGTTGTTGGCGACAGGCCTATGGTCCTCCAGGGTAACGCTGACCCTGGTGTTCTCTACGGATCCCATGAGGCCATCACCAAGGTCGTCGAGGAGATGGTGCAGGGCTTTGATTGGCATGGCAGACACAAGGGCTGGATTGTCAATTTGGGCCATGGCATTACGCCGTTTGTTAACCCGGATGATCTCAAGTTCTTCTTTGAGGAGATTCATCGGTTGACTAAGACCAAGGCTTAGGTGCCTGGTTGTATGTACGTATAAAAACGGTGTTGATGATGTATGAAATTTAGATAGACATATATCCCCTCAATCAAATTTTCAAAGTAACCTGCTCAACGCTTACAACGCATCCCCAGCTGTAGCCAGATCCACCACGGCCCTATTTTCATGTCAGCAGCAACTCTCATAACGTCAAATTCCAGGGGAAAAAAACGGGAATACTCACCAAGACAACAACCACCCAACCCGCCCACCAATACTCCTACAAACCCCCTGACTCCTATAATTCTCTAGGAAAACATCCGCAGCTCCCCACCCATCATCGCCATAATCCTTGACATGATCCCTCATGACTTTACAAGCCACCGCCTTCGCCAGTCCCTTTCCGCGGTATTGCTCCTGTTTTTGTTTTGTTCTTGTCAGCTTCCTCGTCCCTTTTTCTCTCCTTTTCTCTCTCCCTCCTCCCTCTCCCGTTCTTTAGTGAAAATGTAAGGGGAAAAGGAAAAGACAAACCTCAACATGCAACGTCATCAACGTCCCATCAAACGCCATGAACCCCCACGCCACCATCCTCCCCTCTCCATCCCGTACCGCCACACTAGGAAGTCCCAAAAGCGTATCCTCCTGCCTTTTAATACTCGTCCGGCTCTGCACCAACCTTACATCCTCCTTCGTCCTAACCCGATCCCACACCAACCCCTCTTCCTCCCTCATCACCCTTTCCAACCCCCCCTCCTCCTTCTCCGACGACGACGACGACGACGATGACGACACCAACGCTTCCGTCCGAAACAACCACTTCTGACACACCTCCCACTCAATCTCCTCAGGGATATTCGCCGTCTTGTGCATGTGGACCCGTCCCTGATCCAAAAACAATCGATGGCGATGAATCTCCGCCAGACTACCTATCATCACCTTTGGTCCCGGGCCTCCCGCGGTAGCGTCCATACAAAGATATTCCCTCGCCTCAGTCCAGTTCTTTTGTCTGTGCTCACTTGCGTTCTCTAGAACAAAAGGCATCTGCAAAGCAATGGATCGCATCCTTCTCAAGAGGGCCAACATTAGCTCATCGCACTCTTGGGCCTCTTCCTCCGGTAAGGAATGCGACTGCGACTGGGAGCCAAACACTTCCGATGTTGTCGATGTTGTCGATCCATCCATGGTCGTACCCATACCCACACCAGGATCAAAAAAACAATGATCCTCCATCGTAGAATAAACCCACGCCTGCGTCTCGGGAAACCGACTCAAGTCCACAAACGCCGCGGCGAAATGTCTCCTTCTTCTTCTCCTTTTTCCTATTCCATCCGCTGCTGCCGCTTGCCCACCTTTTCCAACCGCTTCAACTTCAACTTCATCTTCAGCTTCAGCTTCAGCTACAGATTCAAAAGGCTGGACAAGATCCTCGAGGGAATACTTGGAAGCAAATAAAACATGGGAGTAGGGAGTCGTGCCCAGCCCGTTATTGTTGTTGTTGTCTGAAAAATTGGCGGCGTATTGAAGACGGCGGAGGACGGGGAGGGAGTAAGGGAGGTGGTTGGATAGAAGGGTGAGGAGGGAGGGAGAGGGGAGGGGGGTGTCGAGGAGGTGGAAATAGAGGGCGGAGGGTTCTGTCATTTTTTTTTTGTTGGTGGTGGTTGTGGTGGTGGCTGGGGTGATGGTTGTGGTTGCAGTGAGGAGGAGTGTTGTCGAGATATTTTGCGTAGAAAAAAAGCCGTAGGTTCTGGTGAAAATTTTCGAAAAACGGATATTTAGCCGAGGCAGGGAGGATTCAAATCCTGGCGGCTTTCCGAGAACAGATGAGAGACTGAAGACCGTCCGTTCCCTGAGTAAACTTGCGTGGAATTGAAGGAACAACCGAAGTGAAGAATCGATGTTTTGATGCAAATGTAGTTTGTTGTCGTCAAGTCGTATCAAGATCCCTCGGAATAGTCATACAAGTGGGCCAATCAGATTATCAAAGACAGAAACACCAATAACATCGACGAGTGATACGGACAATACGCGGATATAGGCAAGTAGGTAGGTGTTTGGTATCTCTGCTCCGAAATATAGACATGAAACCAAATCTCACGCAAATGACTCATCACTCAACTGATGGCATCCGCGAAAGAAGTCATGTTCAGTCAACACACTGTTAACCAGAAAAAGACCGTAACATTGGGATCACAAACGTCCAGCGGGCAAAATAAAGTAGAGATAAATCAGGATAACTTTTGGAAACCCTTCTCTTTCTTTCCTTGCCTGTTTTAATATCAAAGCTTCTTTCTGTCCTATGCCGTGCTGTGTTCAACACATCCGTACATCCGTCAAAAAACACCCCCATCCAAAATGCTAATGTTGAAAAAGGAGAGCCCCAACCTGTCATAATGGCCTATACCCAATCCATCGCAACCCCGTGTAGAGAGGTGAATATCCCTTAACGCCAAAACCCCTGGGTATGAACAGTGATGAAACAAAGAAAAATCCCACTTTCCGTGACATGCCGACATCGGTAGATGTTGACAATTCGGAGAGGAGGCCGAGAAGAGGGTCGCGGAGCATCGTAACAGCAGCCCCTCATCAACTCAGCTTGCCGTCCAGCCCTGACTCCATGATCACCACCGTGAACCCCTCAGTATGGCCCCCTCTCAACTCAATCGCATCACAACCGCACCACAACCCAACCCGCCTTACGACGAACTATTCCCACTCTTCCTCTCTGCACTCCCCTCCCTCTTCTCCTCCTTCTTGTCTGTCTTGTCTTTCTTTCCAAACAAGAAATTCCTCCCCTTCTCCGCCCACCCCAGTTCCGACTCGCTCTTTTCATTCTTCTTGTGGCCATGGCCAGCTTGTCTCTCGCGCTCAGCCTCCTTCTCCTTTTCCTTCTCCTTATTCTCCTTATTCTCTTTGTGATTTCCGCCATTATGTGTCCTTGACGAGTGTAGCAGGTTGTGCAGATGCAGGTGGTTCTCGTCTTCCTTGTCAATGGCAGTGGCTCCCGAGTGGCCAGCCTTTTGGGCTTCGCGAGCAGCTTGCGCGTCTTCGGCCGTGAAGACGTTGCCGGTGCCGCCGCGGCCAATGTGGGTGGCGCCGAAGGAGTCGCGGCGGACGACACTGTGTTACTGTGTTAGCAACAAATTGCTGAGGTGGGGGAGATGGATAGGGAAAGGTAAAACGTACGGCTCAACGTCTTGCCTCCTCCTCGTCTCAACGGGGTCCGAGTTCTTTGCCATGTTGCCGTTGCCACCGCGGCCGGTTGTCACCATGGCTGTCTTGAGAGTGGGTGTTTGTAGGTCTTCGGGCTGAATGCGGGGGGACTTGGAGCTGTCGACGATGTTGCCAGCGCCGCCGCGGCCTGATGATTGCATGTGGGCTGTCATTGTGGTTGTCGATTGTGTTATTTGTGATATGAATTGCCAAAGTTGAGTGGTTGGGTTAGAGTTTGGACGACACAGGAGACGATCGCGCCTTAGACACTGTCTCTGACGTAGAAGAACCTGAGGGCCAGTCGGGTTGTTTGTTAAGGTGTATTTATGTAGATCGTCACGAGGAGGGTTGACGATTGGAGGTGTTGTGGTTGGATGGTTTGCGCCAGTGTGGCTGATGTCGCTATGACTTGATGTCGTAGATGGTAAAAATGGATGTGAAATGAAGAAGCCCCAACTCTAGGAATAGGATGAGTCTTATATTCGAGCGACTTTTCCTTGTTCCTGGTTTCTTTAGCAAAGTCAAGACTCTTGGATCGTCGTTTTCGGTTTCTTGTCACTGCACTGAGATGGATGGCGGGGCCTGGGAGGGGTGCACGGGGTGGTCTGAGTGGGCAAAACCCTTTCTTTTCAAGTAGCTCAGCCCAGCGGACAGGCTGGGGGCAGGCACTGCACTGCACTGCACCTACTGCATCTCAGGGCACCGCATGACCAAAACGTGCTGTCGACAAGAACCACCTCTGGCCACGGCACAACAAGGATCTTGCTTCCTCTTTGGCCACTGAAAAAAGGTCGATCACAAGGGCCCGAAAAGATTTTTTTTTTTTCTTCATCCTCTGTTGAAGAGAAAATTTCAAGGGTCTCGTCCGTCTGGGCGTTGACATCACACGCACAGCCTCAAGGAAAGAAAAAAAGAAAAAGAAAAAGAAGAAAAAAGGTCACAAAACAACACTCGACAGGCAATCCCAGCGGAAGTGGAAATCTTCTTGATGGGACAGGATGAGAAACAAACCCCCAACCCAAGACTCTGCAACAAACCATTCCAGGGCGGAGAACACACACGGGAGCAGGCGAGAGCCATCAGCCAAGAAGATGACACCATCCAGCAGATGATGTGCTCCGTCCAACGAAAGGGATTCCTGTTACGTACACGAGCATGACTTGATGGGTTGGTGTTGATCGATGGGGCAGGCAGCTGGGCAGTCCAGTACATAGCTTGGGATTCGCCGACTGGTGCGCCAGTGAGTGGTGTTTTGATCTTGATAAGAGCGAGGACTCGGTCAATGTTCTCGTTGACATAGGATGCACAATGAAGTCGTCATCACAAGGAACCCGCGTACGGAAAGGAAAGGCCATGTTGATGGCGGTACCGAAAGGAACCTGGCGGGGCCGGACCCAGCCGAGTAAACCCCGGCGACGGAGACCACCGCTTGGGCCGATATTGTGCGGCAGAGGGTCCGCGAGCTCTGGGTTGGAAATGCGATTTCAGCCCGACCGCCGACTTGTCTCATGACAACATTTCGTAACATTTCGTGGTGAGACTGAAATTCACCGTGTTGGGTCCGGTTCCTGAATGAACCTGATTCCTGTTCCTGTCTCGTGACTGTTTGGGACGGGAGATCCCCGACCTTGATTTAACCACATGGATTTACTCGATTTACCCTTATTTCTGGGAATACATGCAGAACGCCGGACAGATGGGATTCCGTGCCTCAACCACTCGTTCCCAATGATGGGACAAACATGCCTTCCACAATTTTTTTTTTTTTTTTTTTTTTTTTTTTTTTTTTTTTAATTCCCTTTTCCTTTTCTCCCTTTTTCGATGCGATGAGATTTCGCACACGGGACCTTGCTCCGTACCTAGATCTCCTGTTTGAATAGTCATTACCAAACAAACTGAACAACAACAACAACAACAACAACAACAACAACAACAACAACAACAACAACAACAACAACGACAACAACAACGACTCACACAAGCGTTGTTTGTGCCTGTCGAGATATATCTCAGTGACGTATGCCGCGGCGACTTCTTGCCATGCTTTCTTTTTATCTTGTTGATCTCCCGAAATCTCGAATGTGCCACTATCTGACATTCTGGCTGATCTCGCTTTACGCATCTACACTAGGAAATGAGGCCAAGAGCTTTATCTCGTTGATCTATCAAACCTAGGTACCTACCTAACGAAGATCAACTCTAATAAGACAATGTCATGGAATCAATCCTAACACAAAGAACAACAACACCAAAGACCTCTCTTATCAGAAACTGTCTACAGTGAAGTTACTTGGCAGTGGAGCAAAAAATAATGGTAATGATAATGATAATTAAGTGTTCGACTGTCACCGCAGCTTCCAACAGACTCGGCGCCGATTGCTCCTCGGACAACCAACCGCTTCGGCATCTTCCCGGCGGCGATCTAGTACTGTACCGATCCGGTCACAACCCGGGAAAAGTGGAGAACAACGGCACAGTGGAGTACCCGGCATAGCAGTATCCGGGGTCGGGACTTCAGTTGCTCCACTAAAACAGCCGGCCGGGCGGGTCCGAGTCGAACTCTAACTTGGTCCGTTACGGCTTCGGTACAGCGGTCTACAGAATAAGTGGCTATATTGAAATCCAGATTGACCCAATTAGCTCCACGGTCTTTGTTGATTTTCTTTCTCCTTTTTTTTTTTTTTTTTCCCCTTTACACATCTGCTTCATCGTCCATACCTCAAGGTCGTTCGTTTTCACTCCGAAATCCGAATGTATGCAACTCCGAAAATTGACCTTGACAGCAACGAGTTCAGTGCGTCAAAAAAAAGAAGAAAAAAAAAAAAAGCGGATGGGACCGACAGATGTGAGATTGGAATTTTGTTGCATCCTCGAGGTATGTCGGTTTGCCTTTTCTTTTGGATCTCATGATACGAGCTACATGTTATACTCTAATATGGTAGAGTGGAATTGCAGACGTAAAAAGTCCCGGGAGAAGAGCGGAACCGGGTGTATCCAATATTCGTTCCATTTGGTCCGTCTTGTCTCTTTATTCTACCTTTGCTTCCCGTCATTTCCATGTTCGGTTTCTTCACGACGTACTGGACTGCCGGGAATATCTAGGTAGTTTCACCTCTCACCTCTGGCCTAACCGATGAGTGGCTCTTCCGCAAGTAGTAACCTCGCACCTCTTCACACTCTATAACCACCTATCTCGTTCTCCAAAGAATCAAAATAAGTATTTTGAATGTTGTAGTCTACTTAATCGTCTGACATTCACCATATCATTACGTCCATCTTCAACAAAACAAGTTGAACTCTCAACTCAACCACCCCGCTCCCCCCCTTCCTTTTCAAAAAATCTGCGCTGGCCTATGTTGATCTCTATATATTAGACAGGCAGACGTAGTCCGCAAAACGGGTATCGGCTGTGTTTGGTAAGCAATGGGGTTTTTCATTCATTATCCTGACAAAGACATGGGAGAAGAAGAGGAGGGGGGGATGATATTAACCGATTGGAGAAGCGTCTTGAGTAGGGTGGATGGAGGTGGTTATTTTGGGGGATGTGCCAACCTGTGGTGAGGGTTCTGGTGATGGTACTGTTGTGAAGGTTGTTTTTGAGGAAGAAGAAGGTGATGATGGGGGTCGTGCTTGTAAGAAGGATCTATATAAGTGTCGAAGATGGACGTTGTGATGACGGGATGTAGAAGATTTCTAACAGTTCTGATAACGATGAGCATATAGATACTAGTTTAGTAGGAAGCTTGTGGTATCTTTGCCCGCCTACTTGGTGAACCTTGAGACTCACTACGTACAGTCATTGCAGTTGAGACGGACAACCACACTACCGTACAGTCCACACCCCGTGCCTTCCACTCAGGTTCCTTCACGGGGTGCAAACACCATGGCATCGGATGAAATCTCCAACTGGACCGCCTGCCGCCTGAGCCTCGGCGCACTTGCCATTGATAAAGGGCCAATCCAGGCCGAGTTAGCAGGATCTCCACGAGACCAGAATAACTCAACTGGTCCCATTGAGGGTCTCTTCAGTGTGCCGTACCACCCCCGGTCCACGAAGAGGTCCCGCGTTCGAGTCGGTTGCGCGTCGCGGTTTCTTCGAGCAAGGCTTGGGTTATCGGATGTCGACACGTGCCTCCGTTCTCGCTCCCGAGGAGAAAGGAAAGGACTTTAGTGGCTTTGTAGTATTACTTTTTTTTTTGTCCTTTTTTTTTTGTCCTTTTTTTTTTGTCCTTTTTTTTTTGTCCTTTTTTTTTTGTCCTTCTTTTCATTCATCATCGCCTTCGCCACCACGTGCCTCACTCAAATGGGTTTGGCATTCGGCCGTTACTCAACCTTTAGGTGGTCAGCTGGGGAGGTAGCCAAATTAATGGAAGTGAATGATGATAACCGTAGTGCTGCCTAAACCTGTACCTGTCCTAGGCTAGTCGGTTAATGCAAAGGGGAAGGGCGGAAAACCGGAAACTGGACGGGTGTAGCCTTCATAAGCACATGAGCAAGTACTGTGTCAGGCTACTGTTCCTCTGCTTGAATCAAGACAAGTGCTCACGACCAGATAACGTATGTACGACAGACAGAGGTGATGAGGAATAGGGACCAGAATTCAGAGACAGACAATAACTGGCCAAGTCCAAGCGTCATCGTGATGTGAGCATTCACTGCCATGTCTCCAGTGTCTGCCAAATTTCCCACATGAGCAAGACGCCCCGAGTGTCTCCGTCTCTGGGTGCCGCATCCTCGTTCCGGGTTTCCGAGCATGTAATAATGATTGGCGAGCTCTGCCGTTTATTGGCTCTGGGATAGGCTTGTGCTGCTGTATGAGGGTGTCATGTTATCCGAGACACTGCCTCTTGGTGATTAGTCCTCTCCTTGATGAGCGGTAGACTTTCTGCCACGCCCACCAGTAATGTAGATGTAGTCACTTCGAGTAGGTTCTGGGATGCCATATCGTAGTCACATATAACCTAGTCCACGAGGAATGGCCGTCCCTCCTTCGCACGTTCTACTATTTTGGGAAAGCACATCGTATGGCATACCCAATGTTCAGGCAGGACAGAGTGGATTACCTGGTTCGTTGGCAGCCATGGTAAGGCGGGAATGGTCCATTGGGTGGCGATGCTTCTCTAGTCACCCTTATCCATATGAGCATCATATCGGTACCGATGCTGGGCCTTGGTGATGGCCGCAGATCCGGTACGTCATGAATCCATGCCCCTCTCGGGTGTTCCATTGCTGAACGCTTGAGGTCGTGACTGCAGACATGACCAAAAGTAACATCGGAATGGTGAGCCACGAGAGTTTATGAGCCCATGTCTCTCCATAACCGCCCGGGGCTCCAAACCCCGCACTTTTGTCAATGCTTTTGGCTACCCGTGTGTCCATTTGATAGTGACGCTGACAGGATGGTTTGATGCAACCATTCCCGATACCATGTGCCCACGTCTGGTCCCTCCAGGGGGCCATCAGTTGCTGAAGGGAGGGGGCCTCTTTGCAGAGAGCGGCTGCCTCAGAAGCAGAGTAACACTGCCTCCAGACAAGATCTCACATTGCCTTGACGAAAGTACGGGGTGGGAAAGTCCCATTCCCGGCGGTTACCAAACTTGCCGTCTATGCAATCTTGTGGTTGTGATGACGGCATGACAAGGACTCAACCTCCGACTCGAAGACTGTGAAGGACGGTCTGGTATCTACCCCTGCTGGATGTACCAGTACAGACAGATGAAAAGGGTGCTGGTGTTGGTGCTTGGAGTTGTATCCCAAAGCAGTTCGCTACAGAATCGAAAGTTAGCTTCATGCTTTATCTTGGTGAAGATGATGGGGGGATGGTGGAGTTGCACCACACGGTATACGGTGCGTCAACTCAGGGGACAAACACTCATCGGTTGCCTGGCAGCGCGAAATGGTAATAAGACGATAGAGTAGCAGTAGCAACCTGAGGTGGGCTCGCATGAATAATGCCCTGTGTTGTTTACATGCCTTTGGTTCGGATGGGCTCGTGATGGTCCTGACTCTTTGCGAGGGTTAAGATGACTGTCGACTAGAATAAAAGTCTGATGTCTCGTTGTTTTTGGTAGAGTGAGTGAGTAAAAGCGCGCTACAGCTGTTTCATCGACGACCTACGCATGAATGCACACGGATGCAGAACGTCTGGAAGCCTTCCTCAAGGATCTTAGCGAGCCAAGTAAACAAATTAAAAGGGGGAATGGGAATCATGGAATGCCCGAGCCTGAAACAAACAAATAAACAAACACTCAAATATAAACTAGATCCAAAGGGTCGTCGAACATTCTTTGATTATCTTCCACTCTCACCCACGCACGTTTTTATGCGCACGGTCTCGGTTCGTCGCATGAGGCGCCATTCAGTCATGCTGGACGTTCGGCTGTGTAATTGAATGGTGGTGATGTTGGATCCCTGCGATAAAAATGACCGAGGCCTGACTGAAGACTCCAACTCGAGAAGAGCATGGTAGTCGGAAGTAACGAGAAGAATGGTTGGGTATCAGAGGTTCAGTTCGCGATGGTCACAGTGTCGGTCTACGGGGGAATCAACTTGAAGTTCGAGGTTGTCAAGTGGAAGGTCTGCTGGAGACACTCGACGAGCGTTGACGAAAGAAGAGATTTCATTTCAGAGACAAAAGAGGGGATCTCAAAGCCAGAAGTCTTCTAGTCCCTTGATCGTCCCTTCTCAGAACAAAACATTCTTTTCATTTGTCATTTCCAGTCTGAATTGGACAAGATCAAACATTCGGGAAGGAATGACCTCGAGGCAGACCTGCCCTCTGCCTTTTCCCAATTGATACCGTCTGTGCGCACCTTTCAGTAATAAATGCTTAGTCTGAAGAGAAACCCCACCTTACCAAACTCAATCAACCACTGTGACTTTCTTGATGCTATTTCTAGGTTGTCACTTCACCCTTTCATTAGCCGGATCGTGACATTCCCGTTGCGGCTCATTAAACCTCTTGTTCACGTGCGAGTGTCAATCGCCGTGTACTCTTATGACTTTGCCTTTACAAGCGATCCAGGTCCTGAGTATCTCGGGGTGTCTAGCAGTTGCATAAAGTCCAGACTCACCGTCGTGGTATCAGTCAGACTCACAAGACGCAATGCTTGTGACAAGGGAAGAAGGAGCGCGCCTGCAGGCGAACAGTATAAGTCGTGGCTCGACATATAGCCTTCTCCAGCAAGGATCTTCGTCGAGATGTCCATTTGACTGTCGCTCTCCTACATCCTACCTGTACCTGTCTCACTCTTGCTGACGAGGCACGGAAGCGGAGACCTGCAGTCAAGGCACAACACCGCAATGCGGTGGGATTCTGACAAGTCGATAGATGTCATCTGTGCCTCTCCCGCGGAAACGGTATGCCCTCTCCGATCACGCTGTCCGACTCATTGCAGACCCGGCTTCCGCCGCCCGGGAAGTTGCCGCGTACGGCACGGACCCGCTCTGGCGACTCGGTAGTACGGTACGTCGCGACTGGTCGACTGTCGAAAAAAAACTCGTTGAGGAATCTCAACGTGTGGGCGTGGGCTGGCCAAAGGGAAAGCGAACGGGACTCGATTGTCATCAGACCTTGCATTACACCATCATGTGACGGCAAACCAAGCCTTGGACTCATTCACACATCAGTCTCCCATTTCAGCCTCTAATCTCGGGTCAGAGAAGGGCAACACATGCACAGAGAGCGGAAACATCGTCAGCCGAACTTGGTAACTCTACGCCTGATAGCACTACAAGGGTATGGCGGGGCACGGGACAGGAAAGGTAGGTCTTGCCGACCGTTACGTCGACATTTATGCCTACAGCAGGCAGGTGAAGACGAAATCGTGGCTAACGCCTAGGCATGATGGCGGCCGCCTGTCTACATATGTACAGTAAGGTGCCCTGATACTGCAAGGCCCCCTTATTGCAAATGCCCCCATATTGCAAGCCATCTAGGCTGCCCGAATTCTTTTACCATATAATAACTGCAAACTGCAAATTGCAAGCCCGCCAGGCGGCCCTGCCCATATAACTTTGCACTTTCTGGGTGGTTGTCAGGGGATTCTGGCACCCCTGTAACCCCCTCGACAGGGCTGTCAATGGCTGTCAGTGGCCGTCAGAACCCCAGCGGCCCATCTACCGGCCGCCCAGTAAATGCAAATGCCCAGATATTGCAAGTCAAATGCCCTGCCCGAGTGGTTTGCATTATCAGGGCACCTTACTGTAGTACTGATGATCTCTCCATCAAGCTTGAGCTTATCGCAGGGAAATCTGCACACGACCTTGGACTGCCGGCATCCCATCTCAGCGGTTGAGGACGGCTTCATGTCATTGCTGGTGGACGCCCGGTAACGGCCCAGTGGTCGTACCTGGACTAACTATACAAGTTGTGCGATTGTTACATTCTGCTGTACGCTTTCTCTGGGTGGTAGGGCAGTCCGGTGAGGTATCCCGTCTGAACCCCGTCTCACGCACACCACCCACCCCTTGTCCGGTCGTTGCTGGCTATTCACTGCTACCATAGCACAAAACAGGACAAGCTGGAATCCGAAATGGCTGCTGCTTTCTACATACATAGTCCCGGGCCACAGCTTGAGCATGACAGGTGAAGCGCCGCTACTTAGGTGAGGTGACAGTCGCAATTCCGGGTACCGAATGAAGGATCAGCTACCTCTCCATGCAAACCCTTCAGCTCTACCCTACCTAGACTGCACCAACACACATGCTACGGAGCGTTGCTTTTCTTGATTACACCCGGGGCCAAGATGCTTGTGCTCCTTGATCTTTCGCAAGTGTCCGTGAGCATGTTGCGACAACATGGTCGCCTGATATTCAAACAAGGCTCCTTGCCTGGTGGTCGCCATGATGGGACATGATCATGATGCGCCGGTGCCCTAGTAGCCGTTTTGAGCTCTAGTGGCATTCGTTTGCGGGCGTCAACGAGCTATAGGTTTGGGAAATATACGACAATTATAGAACTCTATACAGGATCTATTATACAATGACCCGCAACGGCTGCCAGACACAGCAATTGGACATTGCATTTCCAGGAATGAACAACACACTGACATGTACGTTTAAACTTGACGTGAGATTGGGAATCAACTCTCCCAGGCCTCTGCGGCTGATGAGCTAACTTGACTCCCGTCTGACGAACGGGCATTTGCACAGTATCACATAGCCGACGGCAGTGGCCAGGAGCCCGGCAGCGGACTGAGTGGACTGCCTGTCAACATTCGATTTCCCGTCGTCTAGACAGGTACCCAAACCGCTACAACGTCAGACAGGGGTAGACCTCATAATCACAACAGCGAGATATAAAATGGACAGGCAGCGGTATCCCTTCCTCCCTACACAGTAGAGGGCTTCAATGCCTGTGTTCAACAGCTGCACAAACGCCAAGCAGACCAAAAGGTTACCAGGTACACTGGGACCAGGACGGCTGAGTGCGTGTCGGAGACTTTGAAATTGCATGGACGGTGCAGCTTCAACAGAGTGTACAGGGCAGTATGTACCTCTAAAGGTACAACTACGAAATGCGCGAAACCATGGACCCAATGAGAAGGCCCGGAGGCAATACTGGAACTGAACTTGAGAGCGACCCCAAAAGCTTGTGAGAACTAAAGAGCTCCACACACGCACCAGGGCAGGCCTTAGGTACGTTACCTTGCACCACTAGGAGACCCTGGCCAGCTAGTACCTGCCATTCTGGGGAAGCAACCTCGCTTTCACGGGCAGTTCACAGGGCGGACAGTTCCCTCACACACCTGGTACCTCACCTGGCTACCCAAGTCAAGGGAACCTCTCGAGCACACAGACAGACACACGACAAGGCCTCACGGGGGGATTCAAGGGTAGTGGGCAAAGCCATCGACGAGAAGATTGACAAACCTACCGAGGTCTCTTCTTTTCTCGGAAGAGTCGAGCAAGTTACTTCAAATCAACCACATCAAGGCATATTCACGAGGCGCAAATAACACATGCTTCACTTGCTCCTCTCTCTTTCAAGTCAGTTCACTTTCACCTTGGAACCCGCCTTGGAAAAAGTCGACAAACCTTTCTCGGACCCAACCCAATCGCCTTCGTCATCGTCATCTCACTACAAGTTCAAGCTGGCCTGACTCTGCCAAATCATCATCCAGCATTCCATGACCCTCCCCTCCCGTTACATACTGCATTCCCGACTCCCGTCAGCCTGGACTGGACTGGACTGTCTGCTAAGTACCTAAAGGTGCCCCACGCGGCTGCCGTTCCTTCGGTGCCACTGACCGAACCCGCCCCTCATCCACCACTCGCGGCTCTCCACAAAAACCCATCTCCAACCCATCAGAGAGGTACCGCAACAGCTCCAGCTCCAGGGTTCCTGAACTTCCTGACAACTTAAGCGATCACATTGTGTACCTTTCCTTGCTTGCTTGCTCTTCCCCAAGATCTGTCGTCAGCACTTTTCACTGTCTTGTTTGGAAGAAGGACTTTAACAAAAGCTCTTGTACGCCCACTTCCCTTGCGCCCACAAAATATCAACCGTGGTTCAGCTTCTCTTGGTTCGAATCCAGAGATACAGACAAAAAAAAGACCCCTCCGACTTTCAGTTCCTAGAACCGGACTCGAGTCCGCTCCAGCTTCCAGGGGATCATCAATTGCGCGCCGGCATTACCTACCCACCCACCTACCGACCTAGCGCCGACAAGAAGCAACAGATACCTCTAGGTCATTATAGCCAGATTGGAATCAGAAGATAGAAGGGAACAGACAAAAAGGATGCAGCCGTACACTTCAAACCTACCGCACCAGCTGCCGCCCGACCACGGCTATCACCACGATCCTCACGCGACTCCATATCCCCCGCGTCATCACCAATTGCAGCAGCAACACCAGCTCCCCTCCATGGCCCCTCCCAGCGCGCCACCGCCGCACCATACAAACCCATACCAAGATCCCACCATGTCCGGCTCCGCGTCGTCGGTTCCTCCTCATGCTCCCCCCGGCCCGGGTGGTTCCAGTCACGGCGATGGAAGCAGCCATGGCGGCCAATTACAATCAACCCCGCCATCCCACCAGCAGCTACACGAACGGGCGCCCTTGACGGCCGAGGAAAGGATGCAGCAGGAGCAAAACTTGAAGCCATACTCGGGGACCGACAGTCAGGGGAGGATGTATTCGTGAGTTTTGACCTACATACAACCAACCCTTGGTTCCGGCGATCTTTCCGTTTGCGATCGGCGGTGCCAGAGACAGAGGAGAGGGAGCCAAGAGACAAGAGACAGAAAAGACAGCAGGGCTAACCCGGTCTCATCCCATGCCATAGGCTCGAAGTTGTGCAACAACCACAACGTGCACGAATGTGTGGTTTTGGTGATAAGGTATGGATGGCTTGCTTATGTCTGGCTGCTGCTGCTGGCTGCTGGCACATCGCACATGGACACTCACACATTCGGTCCCTCCAACCAGTGTAGCCTGTTGCGTTGTGTTTCGCTCTAGAACAAACGGATTGATCGGTGGCTTACAGATGACATCGAATAACAGGATCGAAGACCTATCACACCCCCTCCCTGTGTCAAGCTGGTTATTAGAGATGCGAAAACTGGAAAAGAGATTGATTGCAAGTTAGTAAATTTTGTCTCTGAACCACTAGAGCTGATCGATGACTGACATGGATGTTACAGTGAAATTGAATACTCAATGTTCATCTGCAACGTCAGCCTATACACAGAAGACGCCCTAAAGGAAGTAAACCTCGTCCGACACACGACCTCAACGCCCTCCATCTCGTCTACCACCCCAGCTTCGTACGCCTCCCTCGAGCAAACGACGCCCGCTTATTCGCATATTCTCCCGTCGAATCGAGATATGAGCTATGGGCATCACCAGGGGATGCAGTACCAAGGGAACCCGGGCATGAATCCGTATGATATGCAGACAAGTCCTTACCACGGTGTGCTGCCCCTCATTCCGCGACATTTTACAGCAAGTGCTAACAATAACACCAGCTGGCTTTGTAAACGGCAACCCCTACGGCGCCCCCGCTCCCTCGCACTACCAATACAATCAACCACTTCCACCCCAGCCCGGGCCTTACGGCGCCCCGCGAGGTCCTTACGACCACCCAACTCAGTATGGCGGTATGCACGGTGGTGTAGGCGGACCTCTGCAGCACAGGATGTCGGTCAGCAGTACTAGTGGCCAGGGCGGACAGCAGCCTCAGGGAATGTTCACGAGAAACCTGATTGGAAGCCTGGTTTGCAGCGCCTTCAGGCTGACAGATACAAACGATAAGATTGGGATTTGGTTCGTGATGCAGGACTTGAGTGTGAGGACTGAGGGTGTTTTTAGGTGTGTATTTCCGTGCTCACATTCTCACCCCTTCATCTCCCCATATATTTATTTTTCCCGTCTTACCACATCCCCTCTCCAGTCGGATCAGAACTGACAACACCTCAAATAGGCTCCAATTTTCCTTCGTAAACGTTGGCCTCCCCACCCCCCTTCCTTCAGGATCATCCGGCTCCGGCACGGGCATCAACCAATCCAAGGCTCCGATCCTCGCTTCCGTCTTTAGCGAGCCGTTCCAGGTGTTTAGCGCTAAGAAGTTCCCGGGAGTGTGCGACAGCACGGCGCTCAGCAAGTGTTTTGCGACGCAGGGCATCAAGATACCCATCAGAAAGGAGGGGGCGAATAGTAAGAATAATGAGGATGATGATGACTATTAAGCTGGTGGTTTTGGATACGGTCTAGCTTGTCAGAAATGGGATGGCCATTTTGTTGAAAGGAGGACACCGAGCAGGGTGTGGATAGACGACCCAACATTGATGGGAATGTTGGATGCTCGACCCTCACTGCCAGTCACGTTGTCAAAGCTGCCATCCGCTGCCGTCCGCTGCCGTCCGGCCCAATCTCGACGAATCACGACCAGATACGACGAGTTTGGGAGTTACCGTGAGAGGGAGGGAGGGAAAGACAGGACAGGATGAAGCAGGAAGCACGAAGATGAACGAGGACGAACATTAATCATGTTTCGTGTGATGATCAGCAAGGGAGCGATGCTCATCCTCTGAAAACATCTTGATTTGAAGAATATGTTGGATAGGAGCTACGAATGGCATGATTCTCCCATGGGTTTTTGAGGACTTGGAGTATGCGAAAAGGACTGGACTGGGATGGAATGGAATGGAATTGAGCAGGTAGTTGATGGATACTATGTTTGTTTTTGGTTTCTTCCTTGCTTTCTTCATTGTGCTGTGTGCTAGACTCACTTTCAACATGACGCCAAACAGGGGACGTTTTTGTACATACATAACTTCGTAACCTTTTATTATTTGGAATATTTTTTTTCTTCTTATTTTGCGAAATATCTGGCTTACATAGGAGAACAGAGGGAGAGGGGGTCGCTGGCTTCTTTTTCTTTTCCTTGTTTTTTTTTTCTTTCTTTTTTTGTTTTTTTGTGGGCCTATCTATTTACTTACTTGCTTACTAGCTGCGTTTTGTAGTTCTAGTTCTACCTACTTACTAGGTCTAGTTCTAGGTATAGGTAGGTACAGGTACCTAGCCAATGTCAGTTCTTCTTTGCCTTCCTTGTTGTTCTTCTTTAGTACCTTCTCCATATCGTTTCGGTTTGCTTTAGTTTTTTTGTCAATCGTTCAACGTGTACTTTATTTAGTGTCTCACCTAACTAGGTATGTTACCAAAGGTACCTAGGTACCTACCACCTTCCTACCTACCACCTACCTACCTATCTACTTCAATTGTATGTATCTCCTCCGTTCGGAGCGGATGGGAACAGAACGGAAGGCAACAAAACGGCACGGAACGGAAGGGAGGGAAGGGAGGGAAGGGAGGAAAGGGGGGGAAGGAAAGGGGCGGGAAGGGAGGAAAGAGAGGAGAGGCCGTTTACAACGCCGCCGGGGACGCAAGAGGTAAGTAAGTTAATGGCTGGCTGTAAGGCCAAAGCCCGCACGGTGTTTGTCGTGATGTGTTAAGTCTACCATAATGTTTGCTAACAAAAATGCGCACTTCAAATGTATGATATTACCTCTTCTTCTAAATTATAAACAAGACCGGAAGGGATGGATGGATGGATAAATGTCAAGTGTTTGTGGAAGTGTCTTGATTTTTTGGTGTGTATCAATGTGTGTCTGTCTATGTACGACGGCAGGTCTATGTAATGGATACTAATGCCGATGACGAACGAGGACTTTTATGCCCTCTCTGCTCCCCTTTTTGTTTTAAATGTAAACAAGTAAACAAAACCAAACAAATACCCAAACTCCAAACACCAACCCTTATCCTGGGTTACAACGAATCCAAACACCTTTCCTATGATATACTTTTGAATGCTCTTTCAAACACGCCATGCCATGCTCCATCCGTACTTCTCAACAATGCTTCCTTCTCCAACAACGCAATACAACCTAACCATGAAACCCGACTCGTTCAAATCATCAACGACTTTCCAATATTATCCCAAACACATCAAAACAACTCAATCATCCAACGCCTCCCCACTCAAGATCCCCCTCAAAATCCCCACTCCCGCCCCATCGTCCTTCAGCAAAGTCTGCTCAACCTCTCTCTCCCCCACACAACTAGCCACCCTCTTCTCATCCCCCGCCACCAGCGCACCTCCCATCCCAAACACATCCTTCTTCTTCTTGCCTCCCCGCTTCGGTGTCCCCACTCCAGGCGAGCTATACCCCAAGGCAGTAAACGATCCCGTCTTGCCGTCCACTGGCGTAATCAAACTGAGAGTTTCCAGGGAGGAGACCACCTCACGAAACTCAGATGACGAAAGCGGATGAAGTAGCGAGTCCTGTTTGCAGAGCTTGGTGTACGCTTCATAGAGAGTCTTGACTGTCGGAGCAATTGGCGCCTCTTGTTTCCTCGACGGAGTGCCGGTGGTGGATGTGAAACTGGCTGAAGCAGAGTTGAAAGCCTCCGACTGCGCGGCGCGATTACGTTTCTCGATGGCGACCAGAGCGCACAGAGCGGCTTTCTGCTGGAGGTTGAGCGTCTTGAGACGTTGAGTGGTGCCGTTGCTGAATGCTGCGGCTGTGACTTTGCTGAGGTGGGCGATGCTGACGCGCGGGGCGGTAGCGGGTGTCAAGGCCTGTAGAGATTTGAGCAAAGAGGCCGAGACGCTGGCGCTGGGTCCAGTGGAGATACTCCGGAAGAGGGAGGAAGGCGCAGGAGCCGAGGAGAGGTTGGTGTTTTCGCCTAGGACGCGCTTCTTGGAGGGAGACATCTGTAGCATCTGCTCCTTGACTTCGTTTTCGTGCTTCAGACGGATCTCGGACTCCACCAGGTCGATGGCGCGGCGGCAAATCTCGAAGGCGCGGCGCAGGTCGCCGGTTTGGCTGGATACTTTGCGCGAGCAGAGCTCGATGGCGGCTGGGTGGAAAAAGGGGATGTAGTTGGGGTCCTTGGGTGTTCCACCGGGAAGCAGGCTCTTGAGACGTGTGATGATGATGTTCTTGACCTGAGGCGCCGTGTATGGAAGGATGGGCAGAAGCTCAGGCTTGAGGTTGCGCGACTTGAGGCGCGGCAGGAAGCGGTCGGTGAGGTCGAGCGCGTTGGCAATGCCAATCAGGGCGAGGCGCGAGTTCTTCTTTTCGAGTGACCATTCGAGGAGGCTGTAGAGACTTTCAGGGTCGAGGGTGAGGATGTGGTCGATTTCGTCCAACACCACGAGGAAGACATCCTGGGTCTTTTTCTTGGGCAGGATGAGCTTTTGGAGAGCTGCCACCACGTCGCTTTCGGTTGAGAGTTCCTCCTTGTCTTCATCTTTGCTGGCTAGCTGGTCGAGAAGGGTGACGTAGAGATCCTTGGACGACTTGATGCTCATGCAGTTGATGTATGCCTTGCGCACTGTTGATGTCTCGGATGCAAACTTGTCGGTGACCTTGTTGACGATGGCGCTCTTTCCGGTTCCAGGAGGTCCGCTGACGTAGAGGCAGCCGCTGGGATGGGTGGTGGTGCAGCGATCCAGGAAAGTGTTGAGCTTCTCGCGCTCGTCGTCGCGTCCAACGAGTTCCCCGGGATCGGCGCTTCGAGAAAAGAGTTGGCGAGCCTGATGGTAAACTGTCTGAGAAGCCGCGGGTGTCATGGGCGTGCTTGGTGTCATGCGCCTGGAGAGCTTGCCAACGGACATGACGCGATGGCGTGGAGTGGTGACTGGTACTCTTGCGAAGACATCGTAGTGTCGTGGTGTGGAAGGTGTGACGGGAGCTGTCTTTGGTGGACTGGCGATGACTGATTTGCGCCTTCTGAGAAGTGACTTGGATGGTGTCTCGGCCTCGATCCTGTCCTCCTCCTCGTCTCCCGTGGGCTTGCGGTTTTCCTTGTGGTTCGCAACGTCTTCGTCGGCAACAGGCTTGGGTGGTGAGGCGGCCTTCTCCTTCTCTGCTTGGATGTGGTCGGGCTCATGGTGGATCTCTGGGTGGATTCGAAGAGAGCGTCTTGTTCGCTTGACGGCAAGAGGGCCTAGTGTGATTTCCTCGTCTTGTGGTCTGTCAGTATGTTGACGGCAACTCTTGGATGTCGTCGTCAGTTGTTGCTCACCTGTGAGTCTAGTGCTCCTTCTCCTCTTTCCCAGAGTCGTGGTCGCGCTAGGCGAGGCCATGGTTTTTTATCAAGTCAAAAACACCAGTCGCAATGCACAATCACAGATACAAGCGGCAATCGTGTGGAAAGAACAATGCGCGGATGTTGATGGTGGTGATGGACTTGTGTGGTTGTGTGGTTGTAAGGTGGAAAGAGGAACCTTGAGCAGTCCCAGTCGCACTGCACCAAAGTCCAGTAGAATTCCAGTTCGCGCGCTCCACCCCTGGCACATTCCACATTGCGGAGACGCGACCGCGAATTTGTGGGGCTGCAGCTCGGTGCTGGACGCGGCTTCCCCGCTGCACTGCGCGTTTCAATTAAGCCCCATTGCGCATGAGCCACACAGACTGTGGCTGGGGAGAGTTCGTTTCGTGGCGCGTGCCTCGTGTCAAAGCGGGGCCTCTTCCAGATCCGGATCCACTCCCCCGCACTATTCCCACAGTGTCCACAGGGGCATTCCAGGGGAACCCTCCACTGAAGCAGGGAGACCGCCGCCTGTGTTTCACTTTGCTGTGCTGGAAAGTGGCGATCTCCGTCCCGTTGGACCTCCCGAATCGGTATAAGAGAACTAAACCTCCAATACCCGCGACGCCACTGCCTTTGCTTGTGTTTATCGATAAGTATCATGACCACAAGCAATGACAAGTCATCCACCTCAGTGTCTGATCAGATGTCCATGTCGATAGCCCAGAGATATCACAGAAATAACAAAGTTGGTTGACTGTTTGTCTCTTGATGGACTTGGTGATACTTGAATGTTCTCCAAGATGGGTTCGTTAAACATACAGCACAATGGCTACCATGCCGACGTGGAAAAGATAAGAGAAGAAGAGTATCCTATGCTGAAGGGTAGGCCCCTTACAATCATCTCGAAACAACTTGACCAGACCACTAACACAGAACAAACAGACTCCATCTACCTCGACCATGCCGGCACCACCCCCTATCCCAAGTCCCTCATGGACCGTTTCGCCCAAGAGATGACCACCAACCTCTTTGGCAACCCCCACTCCGCCTCAGCTTCCTCCCAACTATCAACTCAGCGCATCCAAGACATCCGTCTCCGAGCTCTGCAATTCTTCAACGCCGACCCAGCCGACTTTGATCTCGTCTATGTCGCCAACGCCACAGCCGGTATCAAGCTGGTTGTCGATGCTATGAGATGTCTGCCCACGGGCTTTGACTATGTCTACCACCAAGCCAGTCACACCAGCCTGGTAGGCGTCCGGGAAGAGGCTCAAAGTAGCGCTTGTCTGGACACTCGACAGATGGAAGACTGGTTATCAGGGAGCTACCCCTTTGACAACAACGAAGACGCAGAAAGACCAATACTCTTCGCCTACCCAGCCCAATCCAACATGGACGGCCGTCGCTTTCCCCTTTCTTGGTCTTCCCAGATTCGTCGGCAGTGTCAATCGCCAACCAACAAACGAAAGATCTACACCCTCCTAGACGCCGCCGCTCTCGTATCATCTTCCCCCTTGGACTTGTCCAACGCCCAAACAGCGCCTGACTTTGTCGTCCTCTCTTTTTACAAAATCTTTGGCTTTCCCAATCTCGGCGCTTTGATTGTTCGCAAAGAGTCCCAGGATGTCTTTTCGTCTAGACGATATTTTGGCGGTGGGACGGTGGATATGGTTGTTTGTCTAAAGGAGCAATGGCATGCTCCCAAAGATGGATTTCTTCATGAGAGATTGGAGGATGGGACGTTACCGATACACAGTATCATCGCGTTGGACATCGCTATGGATGTTCATGCCAAGCTATTTGAGTCGATGGAGCGTGTAGCGGGCCATACGGGATTTTTGGCTAGGCGGCTATATCAAGGGCTGAAGGCGCTGAGGCATGCGAATGGTGAACCAGTTTGTGCCATCTACTCGCCCGATCCTGAGACGGAAGACAGCGGACCAGTGGTGGCGTTCAACATCCGAAACGCACAAGGGATATGGATCAGTCTCGCCGAAGTGGAAAAATTGGCAACGCTAAAGGGCATACATATCAGGACCGGAGGGGTGTGCAACCCCGGAGGCATCGCCACCGCTTTGGGACTGGAGCCGTGGGAGATGAAGCAGAACTTTTCTTCGGGGTTTCGATGCGGAACGGATAATGATACCATGGGTGGAAACCCAACTGGAATCATCAGAGTGAGCCTAGGGACCATGAGCACGATAGCGGACGTGGATCGGTTTGTCCAGTTTGTGGAGGAATTTTACCGCGAGGATACACCACCGACTTTACCTCCGCCAGAGACAAAACTTGAACCCTCACTACGAAACACACCAGAACTCTTCATCAAAAGCATAGTCGTCTACCCCATCAAAAGCTGCGCCGGCTTCCACGTCCCCCCTGGCATCGACTGGGAAGTCCGCTCCGAAGGCCTAGTCTGGGACCGCGAATGGTGTCTAGTCCACCGCGGATCAGGCCAAGCACTCAGCCAGAAACGATACCCTCTCATGGCACTTTTACGACCCAATCTAGATTTCACTAGGGGTGAACTCCAAGTTACTTATGCCGGCGACGTCTCACCATTGTCACGTTTACCATCCTCGATATCGGTCCCCCTGTCCAAAAACCCAAAGATGTACGCCCCCAAAAAATCAGGCATGTCCTCCCGCGTCTGCGGTGAGGAAATCACACCCCAAACATACGCTTCAGCACAAATCAACGACTTCTTCTCGACTGTCCTCGGGGTACCGTGCGTGCTGGCCAGGTTCCCGCCAGGTGGGCAGGGGAAGGGGATGATGAGGCATGCCAAGGCGCATTTACAGCGACATCAGCAGCAGTCTGGCCCGATGATGTGCAGCAAGCCAGCTAGACCGACAAAACCAGCACTAATGATGCCGGGCGCTTTCCCTTCGCCTGAAGCAGTAGAAACGCCCCCGTCGCCACCGGATTCGGATACCGAAAGGTCAGCGACTCCAACTCAAGAGGCTCAGGGTCCAAAGCCACGAAGGATACTGCTATCGAATGAAAGTCCGATTTTGGCGATTACGAGTACCAGCGTCGATGCTTTAAACGAGTCCATCGCTGCTCTCAATCCCTTAGCAGCAGTAGCGGGACCAATTTCGGAAGCGGTGTTTAGAGCTAATCTTGTCTTGTCCCCTTCCAGCCCTGCCGCTTCACCTTTCACCCCTTCCCATTCCACCACCTCAAAACAAAAATCCAATCCAATACTAAATCCCTACGAAGAAGATACCTGGTCATCACTAACCATCCTTAACTCTTCTTCTTTTTCTTCTTCGTCTTCTTGTTCTACCCCGTCTTCCTCAGGCTTTCAAACAAAATTTCAAACGCTAGGCTCCTGCCGACGCTGCCACATGGTCTGCATAGACCAAACCACGGGATCCAAAACTGCAGGAGGCGAACCCTTTGTGACACTAACTAAGACGAGGAGGTTTGAGGGAAAGGTGTTTTTTGGGGTGCATATGGGATTGCAGCAGCAGGAGGATGAGAAAAAGGGGGAGGAGGAGGCGGAAGGGGGTGTTGGAAGTGGTAATTTGAAAGTTGTGAAGATTAGGGTGGGGGATGTGGTGAGGCCTTCTTATTTGTGATATCTGGGGTTTGAGATGTTGGGGGTTGGAAGGAATCGGGGGGGGGGGGAGTTGGGAGTTTTGTATCGGAGTTGGTTGGGTTGAGGTTAGGGAAGGAGGTTGGAGGTTGGGAGTTGGGAGTTTTGTATCGAAGTTTTTGAGGTTAGGGAAGGCGGTCAGAGGGAGAAGGGGGAGAGGGGAGTGCTTGGGATGTTTGGGATGGATGTTAGAGGTACTTAAGGATCACTTCACATGAGATCATGATACATCACGAGAATCGTTAAACAAAATGAGGAAACTCTCTCTCTCCTTCTCGACAGCTTTGACTAACTAACTAACTGACTGACTGCCTGACTGACTGACTAACTAACTAACTGCTCAACTCAACTCAAGTCATGTAATGTCGCAAACACACAAACACAAGTACCTCCAACTAATGTGAGATAATCCAGACAGATACTTAAATCTTCCACTTTGTTCATATATACATACATTCAATAGAACGTAAGACACTACCAGTCTCACAGTCCTTGTACAAGAATACTGTCCGTGAACCTCATCAAAGTTGACTAGATTCTCAATTTATAGGTAGGTATTATACCAACCTGACGCCTATCTCGCTTACACTATAAAACCGTGTGCGAGGTCCCAAGTTAAGCCTCGCAACAAAGCTTTGTCTTGTCTTGTCTTGTCTTGTCTTTGATTTCCTTCAATAAGTCTATTGTCAGCTTTCATATACTGTTCTTTTTTTTTTTTTTTTTTTTTTTTTTCTGAAAGCAGCCAGTTACGTACCTACTTATATCATCACCCTCAAGGAGTTATCACTTATAAAGCACGCGAGGAACATCTTGGCGTCACAATAACTAACTAAGTAACGGTGGTTTGTTTAATTATTTATTTCTCAAAATGTATGCTTGAACAGCCGACCGACATGAAGTAAGTAGGTACGCTTCAACTTTTCTCACTTACATTTTTTTTTTTTTTTTTTTTTTTTTTTTTTTTTTTTTTCCACTTCGGGTCCAAAACCCAAAGGGGGGGGGGGGGGG